CTTTAAAAATATATTATAGCCTAAACACCTATAAAAAGCCTTAATTAAATTAAGTTAATATATTTATATAAATATAATTTTATTACTTTTTTAGGGATTACCAAGGGGGCCTATGTAATAATAAATTAAACTTTATATTTAAAATATATAATAATAATTATTAATAGCAACACGGGAATAGTGTTTAATAAAAAAACTAGTATAGGTAATAGTATTATTTATAAAATAAATATAATACTTAAAATTATAGTACTTAAAATAAAAACCACTAAAAATTTAATAAATTAGGGAATTAGGACTTAAATTAGGGTAAAAATTAAAGTTAGTATTAATATTTATCCTGCTAGCTTTATAGCATTTCTAGAAGTTATAATTATTTAGGTAATTAATAGTTAAATTTAACCGCTAATTAACCTTTTTTTTTATAAATAGGGAGTTATAATACAGGCAAATAATAAATATAATACCTAAAATTAAGAGTATTTAGGTACCACGCTTAAAAAAAAAGGTAATAACCATAAGTATATTAGTTAGGGCCTGTGCTATTATAAATAATAAAATAAAATAATAAAGCCTATACTTTTTAAGTAAATTAGCTAGATTAAGCTTTTTTTTACACCCCTTATATTCCCGTGTAAATTATATTATATTATACTTGTGTTTTTAGCATAGGGTATAATAAGTATAATTAATAATAACCTAGTAATTATACTATGCCTTATAAAGGTATTTACCCTTTATTAATTAATTACCCAGGCATAGCTAATTATTAGAAATAAAAAAAAATTAATATAAAAAATAATAGTAAATAATAGCAAGACTGGCTCCGGACTAGACTTTAAAGTTAGTGGTAAGGAAGCTAAATATAGGGGTAAAATAAATACTAGGGGCATAGGCTAAGCCTTATAAATTAGCAAGTCTAGGGCTTAAACTAGCGCGGATAAAGGCTAAAATTAGTTAGTAATAAATAATATATTAAGCATGCTAATAGGCCAGCATATAGAAGTATTATTAATTATTTAAATAAGGGATTATTAATTAATTAAAAAATATTTATTATAGTACTTTTACTACCTAAGGATTAAGATAAGGTAGGTCTTGCAGGTATAAAATAAAGTAATAAAATAACCTATAATATTAGTAATAAAAATATACTAAGAAGAATATAATAAAAATAAAACACTTAATAAAGTATTAATATAGTAAACAGCCAGAATTTATAAATATTAAAGCCTAAAGTAAAGTAAATATTAAATAAAGCTATACTAAAAAAAAATATATAAAAATTAAAATATTAAAAGAGTAATACCCGGACTAGATAGCCTAAAATAAAAAATAAAAAAAAATATATATATATAAATAAATAATATATAAAAGTACTAAAGATAAGGAAATAACACGTGATATATTAAAATAAAAGCCATGTAATATTATTAATTTCCTAAAACTATATTTACTTATTATACTACTAATATAAAAAAATATTTTTATTACCTTATTTATAATAATATGCCCCATAAACTTTTTTATAATTTATTATAAAATATTTTATATATTAACCGCGACCTAACCCATTATTTACACCTAAATAATATAAAATATAAATAAATTATTAATTTAATTTAAGACTAGCACCTAAACAAGACCAAAAAAGTTAAAAAAAGCTTTAACTTTTATATATTTACTAATTATAAAAGAACTTTACTAACTAGTTTATTTAAAATAACAAAAAAGTATAGAACTAGTAAGAAAGAAAAAGGCAAAAGAAAGTAAAGTAAAAAGTAAAATACCTAAAAAAAAAAGCTAAATAACAGCGGGAGGAGCGGCGTTAAAAATTAAAAATTTATTATAAAAAAAAAATATAGCATGTTTAGTATATATACTAATTAAATAAAATATATATTTATATATAATAAAAACTAATATTAAAAAAAAACTATAAAGTAAATATAAGTAAACTAAACTAGTAAATACACTAGTGTTATACACCTTTTTTTTAAACTAGATTATAATATTATTAATGCGTATGTTTACCTTTACTTTAGCAGGACTAAATATAATAATACTTAATAAATATAATTATTATAATAAATTATTATAACCACGGGCAAGAAATAACCTAGCATAAAATAATATAGTTATATAAGGTTAAAGATTTATAGCTAAAACTTATTAAACTAGTTAAAATAATAATATTTTTAAAAGCACGGGATATATACCACTACTTTAATTAAAAAAGTAAATAATTAAGTAATTTAAAATTATATTAATAATATTGCCTAGCCTAAAAAAAATAATATTATTAATTTTATTATTAATACTAGATATCCTAGGTATTATAGTATTAAGTAGCTTTATAAAATCCTAGGTAATATAATAATAAGTAATTAAACTTATTATTAAATACTTAAAAATAAAGCTACTGCTAGCGCAAGAGCCTAACCTAAGTAAAATATAAGTAAAAAAAGTTTATAAAAAATATATAATAGTTTTAAAAAGTAAAGGGGCGGAAACACCCGCAAAGCTAATTATATTAAGTAAAAAAAAAAAAAGGGTAAAAGCAAGTTATAAAGTTTATAAAAAACTTATTAATAGGGATATACTTTTAGTAAGTTATTAACTAAGTAGTAAAAAATAAATATAAATACCAGGCTAATAGCACACGAAGATCCCTAGGCATGTTATTAAAGGTATATAAAAAGTAAAAAAAGTAACTATAGCCTAATTTTAATAAGAATTAATAAAAAATAGGTTAGTAAAGGCTAGGGTAGTAAAAATTAGTAAAGTATAGGTATTTAAGGTAGGATATAATAGTATAAGTAGAATAAATAAGTAAAAATAATACTAAAAAATATTACCTATATTTAAAAATTATGTAAACAAGCAAACTTACAGGCCTAGTTTATATAAAAGGTTTTTAACTATTATTATTTACTTATATAAACTAGGCGCCCCTAAAATAATAATTACATAAATAAATATTTATATTAATAAAATTCACGGCATATAAGCTATAAAATATATAAAAAAAGTTAATATAATAAGTTTATAAAAAAAATACCAGGGGACTAGGACCCTAACAACACAGGGGCTAATATAGGCTAAAAATAATAAGATACGCAAGTGGTTACTACTAATAACTAAAACACCCGGTGCTAGTGGGAACCACGGACCAATTAGAGGCCAAATAACAGTAGAAGAAGCCTTAATTACAAACTATAATATAAGGAAATCCCATCTCCGCGCCTACTGTAGTTCAGATAGTCTCATCAAAATCGTCTTCACTACAATCTCCATGATCCCTATCGTCAATTGCTAGTACTCGTATCCTCCCCTCCATAAGCTCCACCATTATCTCCTCCCACTCCGCACACTGTCCGTCAATTAGAAGCTGTCCTAGGATGAAATAGACTCAGTACAGCAATGTTATGACCTCTAGTTAACGCACACCTCAGAGTCTCGATCAACGCACCGCCATAATGTGCAGTTTGTTAGCTGAGATCAGGGGAAGAAGTAAAGAACGGAATACATACCTTCTTACCTGTTGTCCGCGCAGAGATGGACGGGTCGTACAGTGCGGCACCAGAGGGCAGTCCCAATGATTCTGTATTAGAATACGAACTCCATAAGAACTCTGGGAACTTTGCTTAGGGTCGTTACCAATACACCAATGGATATTTCCAAAGGCTCGGTATATTTTTGTTACGACTACAGCTCACACAACAGGCGTTGAGGCCTGAAGGATCTAGTAGTGGACTCGCCGTTAATCAACTAGTAGCTCTGTAGCTCAATGTACGTTTGCTAAAAGTGTGGCGAGGGGTGAACCCGCGTACCGTTGGCAACAACAGCACTTAAGGGCTGAAGGCTTGGTAGGGGGGTGCCGCAACTCCATGCCATTTACATTCCATGAAGCTGCGATCTTTGCTACGACCATTACTCGCCGAAACAAGTAATGGTGGTGCTGTCGTTTCTATTAGCTACCTACCTAGCTAATAGGCTGACAGGCAACCTGAAACCGCTGGCACGACGGTACTTCGTCCGAAGGCTGGTAACAGGGCGTTAACCCTTAATGCTTGGTCGATGGATTGCTCCAAAGGTGGGTTAACTGGATGGACCTGCCTACTGTTGATGAGCAAAAACAGCCAGAGCTGCTCGTTATTAGGGGGTGTTACCGTTTATCCAAATGAAGTTCGTTATCCAATACATTGCCAAAGGGCTTTGCCGGTTGTCGCTCGATGGGGTAGAGAAGAAGAAGTAAGGAAGAATGGAAGAGAGAAGGACAAATTTGAACAAGAAATCTAAGTGCTTGGTAAGCTTTTCCTGGGAAGCCCCAGTGGGCCAGTCATGCTTTTCGAGAGGTTCATTAAGGTTATTATTCTCTAGGTAGTGGTTAACTGGGGTCCCTGTTCGGAGAGGTTCAGCGGGTTCCGAGCGAGGCTTAGAAACGCTACCCGTGATACTTCCACTTTACATTTATTTTACTTTCACCCTAAGTTTAGTTTGCCCCCCAACCCAAGTAAGCCCCTATACCTAAGCAAAAAATAAAAAAAAAGCGCCCTTGAGCAAAGGGGGGGGGTCCCCCTAATATCCCCGAAGGGGATTAAGGAGCAAGGGGGCGAGCTAGGGGTCCCCCCTTTGTAACAGGCAAGATATACCTATAAAAAACTTTATAAAGAAACTTAATATGGACCAAGGCTTAGAAACTTGCGTGGTAGTTATGGCAGTAATAAAGAAAGGCGGAAAGTATTAACAAATAGTGTTTTTAAGCCTTGCTCGGAGCTTCGGTGAACCTCTCCAAGCGTGGTACCCGTGGTTAACTTCCGGGCCATGATATGTCAGATAGTGCACGTGACCAATATTTGCCATATTGTCCAGGCATCAAGGAGAGATAGCGCTCGGTTATCCGCGGCTTTCCCCGCATTCCTGTCTGGGGAAACAAAAGGGACCCTGAGGTCGACACCTTCTTCCTGCTTCATCAACCTCATCTTTGTACGATCAACATGGCGTCCGTTCCAAGGCCTCGTCGCCTCATCGGCTTATACAGCCGTCGCTACTCAACGACCCCAACCTCATCAACCCGCCTGAACCTCCCAATAGACTACAAATCCACGCCGCTGCTCCACCACACCCCATCCTCCCTCATGAACACCCTAAACCTCCCCCCATCCAGCACCTCGAAATCAATGAACCTATATACAGCAATCAACGGCGCACTCCGTACAGCACTTTCAAAATCCAACAAAGTGATGCTTTTCGGCGAAGATGTCGCCTTTGGCGGTGTGTTCAGGTGCTCGATGGATTTGCAGACGGAGTTTGGCTCGGAGAGGGTCTTCAACACGCCTCTGACAGAACAGGGAATAATCGGTTTTGCGATTGGTGCTGCGGCCGAGGGGATGAAGCCCGTTGCGGAGATCCAGTTTGCCGACTATGTCTTCCCCGCATTTGATCAGATTGTCAACGAGGCGGCGAAATTCAGGTACCGGGAGGGTGCGACGGGGGGAAGTGCTGGTGGGTTGGTGATACGGATGCCGTGTGGTGCTGTAGGGCATGGCGCTTTGTGAGTTTATCATGCTGCGGAGGACATGAGAGGCTGATTGTTTGGTCAGGTACCACTCGCAGTCACCCGAAGCGCTGTTCGCACATATTCCTGGTCTCCAAGTCGTCATGCCTCGCTCGCCCTCACAAGCCAGAGGCCTGTTGCTTTCGGCTATATTTGAGAGCAAGAACCCGGTTGTGTTCATGGAACCGAAAGTGCTTTACCGGGCGGCGGTGGAGCACGTTCCCAGCGAGTACTATACGATCCCTCTGAACAAGGCCGAAGTGATCAAGCCGGGGAACGATCTTACCATCATCTCGTATGGGCAGCCCTTGTACCTCTGCTCGGCAGCGATAGCGGCTGCAGAAAAAGCTCTAGGCGCTAGTGTGGAGCTGATTGACTTGCGGACCATCTACCCTTGGGACCGACAGACGGTGCTGGATAGCGTGAAGAGGACGGGGAGGGCTATTGTTGTGCATGAGAGCATGGTGAATTTTGGAGTCGGTGCCGAAGTCGCTGCTACAATTCAGACCGGTGCGTTTTTGAGTCTGGAGGCTCCAGTTAAGCGAGTAGCAGGATGGAGTACGCATACAGGCTTGACGTATGAGAAGCTGATTCTTCCTGATGTTGCACGTGAGTGGAGTCTCTCTATCAGATGACAGTAGCTAACCTCAGCCTAGGGATATATGATGCGATTAAACAGACGCTTGAGTATTGATGTTCTTATGGTATGCATAGGTTTGCAGATAGACCGGCTAGTTTCACGCATTGCATGGCATGATAATATCCATAGAGTCAAATGCATACGTATCATGATATATCTCACTGATTGAACGTTGTTAAATGCCTTAGTAGCAACAACTCGATTTTGCGCGCTGTGCCAGCCTCAGCGGCAGTGCAGTCCAAATCCTCCCAGAATTGACGGGTATGGTACACACCCCGAAATCTCAATCCGACATCCCGCCAACGAAGAATTCCAGAACGAGCTGCTCATGCCTCGGAGGTAACTTGTTGTCAATCTATGGCTGCTTGGAGTCACGGCCCCGGCCGGAGCCCATAATCTCGCCGTCGTGCATCACAGCTTCACAAGGACAACCTGAGCGCCGCTGGCTGTTCCCATCTTGGCAAGCTCGCGCAAATGCAAATTGCCAGCACAAAGCCGCAGGTAGGATCATGGACCCAACATCGTCTGAGTTGCCCGTATAGTGGTGAGTGGATGGGTCAGAAAAAACCTCGAGAACGATTCAAACGTGAACTGCTTTGCCTTTTGCTGCTTCAGTGACAGCAAATGAACGAGTTTGATCTCGTAGGATAGCGATAGAAGGTGCTGGTCCGACCGGATGTGGTGTATGGATTTCGCCTAGTCGTAATTGAAGACGGTGGCCGCAGCTGGCCTTCGAAGAAGAGAGAGTCATCGCCCAACGGAATCGAGGAAGCACTTCCCAACGCACCCTCTCCATTAGTGGGCTTGAGTGCCAGCTCCGTCAGCCTGGTCCTGCCTCATCACGTTCACCAACCGGGAGCAGCTGGTAGTCGCATCGTCGGCACGAACCCTGTCGTCGACGGAATGAACCGCATATCCGAGATATTACGGCAACGATGCCGCAGATACCGGTGATGCTGGAAACTCCCACGATCACAGATTGTACAATTGCAGCAGCAGAATCATCAGCTTGTCGTTGAAGCGGATCGGTAACTCCCAAGACATTTCCGACCGCATCTAGTGCCGCTAGACGGAATATGGAGCAGTCAAGCTCAGGGGGCAGGAGAATGTCGGTCTCGAACCCTGTCTTCGCATATTCATGCAGTACTATGACGTCCTCGGTGAGATCCGGCTCATCAACCGTTTCGTTGTGATCGAAATTCCACGTCTCGAGTCGCCAGCTTGCGACTTCAGTCGCTCCATTCCAGCTCACGTACACCACGTCCCCAACCACCATGGCGTCCGGCTGAGACTGAGGGTTCCCAACCCAGTCCGCCTTGAAAGCTCGATAGGAGACCACTCGCCCAAAGTCCCAAAATGCGGATGCACCGAAATGCACGTTGCATAGCAACCGCCCGTCCGCGTTGAACTCGCTGTATGCCGCACTGTGGCCCCAGCCGATGAGGACACGGCCGCTGTCATCTAGAACCTGGAGATTACCCTGAGAAACGGACTTCGTATGGTATGGATGATAGAATGCGCTAAGTAAGGTAGCCTCCCGATTGGCAACATCGAGGTGGATAGTCATTCCACGGCTCTGGAAGTCCGGATCGGAATGCGCATGGGCCGCGTTGTCAAACAATGTCAGCGTGTTGCTATCCGCGTGCCAGCGAGCGTCGTGTTGCCAGGAGAAGCTGGTTGCCTGACCATCGGAGAGGTCTTGGAAGCCGTTCGTCCGTCCACCCAGAGTCCATAGGATCTCGCCTGTATGCTGGGAGATGCAGATGATCGAGTGTAAGTGCCTTGCCGATATGATATAGTTGCCTTGGGTGTCCTTGTCAATGCTGTTGATGTGGAAGAAATCGAAGGCAGAGGCTCGCTCTTCGCCTGCTCCTTTCAGCGCGTTATATGTGCTGTTCATTGGGAAGTAATCCGACGCCCGCCATTCGAAGATGAGCTCGCCGGTAGCAATATCGATCTCCTGGAACAAACAGTTATACATCCAGCCGATTTCCGGACCACCGATCGAAGATATATCGGCCAGGGTCGGATCGTATATTGTCACTAAAGCGGTTTCGTCCTTCGTGATGTGAAATTCGTGCAGATCGCCGCCGTAGTTTCCAACTGGGTTGATCACGTAGCGCGGCGTATATGTTGAGTCGAGCTGCCAGGGTTAACCCAACTCTCTGCCCAACCTTCGCGCAATCTTACCATATACCACGACCCATATCCCCTCCCCTCAACTTGGCTACCCTCCCAGTATGTCAGATAGTCCTGACCCCGGTAACGCTGGACTTTGAAGTCGTGTGTCGTGTCCCAGTTATGCTTCATCCACACCAACTCTCCTTGGGAATCGAGAATCATGGGCCCTTCCTGTGCGACGGAATCGCCGCGCGGCGCAAGGAATGTATACCGGGAATCGCATCCGGTGCCATTATCCGACTCGGTGATCTCCACAAGAGGCGATTCATTCTCAAACGATACATAACTTCTCGAAGGCCCGAAACCGTACACGCCCAGGTCATACCAGCTCAAGTCGCCGCGGAAGTCGAATCGATAAAGCTGCGGAACCACGAAAAGGTCAAAGAGGTAGAGAAGGCTGACGATCGCACTTGTGCCCGCAATCCACAGAGAACATCTCTGGTGAAGGTAACGGCGCTCAGCACTCCAGGTCGAACGAGACATCGGGCATGGCGTCGGCTTAAACCACAAAGTCTGGGGAGTCCCAGCTGTTAAATGGCAGAAATAAAGCCAAGGCTCGTGATGCAAGACGCTGACGCATGCCCCCCGGGCCCCATCTGTTCCACGCGAGAAGAGACCTGCCAGGGGTACGGCATCCACGCGGCAAACAGGGTCATCTTCCGCCGTTGGGCCTTTCCAAGCGCGGTGCTGAACTCTCATTCGGCAGCCACAAAGCGTTCTCCAGATTAGCTCTTCAGGAGACGGCGCAGATCCCCATAGCTCCACTTTGAGCGGCGCAATTGACCTCAACACGTATGTACACCGTAGGCCGTCTCATTGTGCATATAGTCCATGTTTTCTGCTATTGGGGCTTTGGAGACTCCCTGTCGAGTATGAGCTGCTTTCGGAGTGCACAGTAGAAAGCATGGTTGGGGCGCAGAGTGCAGTCAGCATGTTAATGGAGATAAACTATGGAGCAGCGTCTTGGCCCCCCACTGTGTCAAATAGACGGTTGGATGGCAACGAGTCAGGCTCTCTGATTTGAGAACACTCCACTTCGTACTCGGATTTTGTTATTCCGATTCGTACTCGGCAGGCATTCAGGAGGTAGGAGTAGGGTTCGGGCTCCATCTACACCGGCACTTGATGGGCTTGGTGACGGACACGTGTATTCGTATCGATAGAGATAGGTGAAAAGGCGGCATTTGGAAAGCAGATCACGAAGATTCCGCAGTCTGTAGTCCGTCAGGAAGCTTGGAGTTGGAAGTGGTACGTACGTAGGATACGTCATTCAATACCCGTGCCCATGGTGCGCTGTAAGTCGGCCGAGCATGCCGTAAGCGGTAGCAGTTTCCGAGTTCATACAACCACTGCGGGCTGTATGGATATAGAACAGGTTTCCCTAGGTTCATTGTCTCCAGAAGCCAAATCAGTGAATATAAAGGTCTTCCGTTTCTTTCAAACTTACTCCGAAACCAGTGGTGACCCTACTACTCCAATCTTGCAAACTTCGTCCTTGGAATGATAGGTAGCCTCACGGAGCCATTGTCTTGACAAAATCTCAGTTAGCTTATGAATAATGCAAGGAGACTAAGCAGGTCGAACACCTTTCCATGGAGAGCTGGCTTGACCATTCCACAACAACTATACTAAGCGTCGGAAGCAGAGGATACGGGGATTCCCGCATTTTCGACAACTCCGTCAACGCCATCTATTGACGATGCGTGTTTGGATGACACGTGTTAAGCAGAACGCCTCTTAAGCCGCGGGTAGTCTCGATAGACCCTACCTCCTGACAGAGAAACAGTTGTAAACGACGTGTAAGGAGTAAGGGGGCTGCGATGAGGATCTGCGGGTTCGAGATTTCAATCTCCACTTCCCCATATCGATTGTAGACCGTTGTGTATGGGGTAGTTCGAGAAATGGAGCCTATTCGGAGTCGACTTGAACATTTCGGGCGGGTTTGACACATGACGACGAGGAAGCACAGGAAGAGGTGATGTCACGGCCCCCTTGGGAAGGGGCACTGCTCTTCCGGATTTCACCCGAGGACACGACACCTGTGGCATCACAACTCAGGATGCTCTGATTTAAAATGGTGTTTCTGAGGCATACATCACTGGCTGATGGGGATGGTCGGAAGCCAGGATTACCCCAACAACCCCTCACTGATAGGTAACCGATACGGTACCTACCAAAGATAACAAACACTCATGATCTTTCGCTCTTCTTCCTCTTCCCAAGCTATGGACTCCCACAAACCCATCCGGAAACGCGCCTCTATCGCGTGAGTTGCATCTAGCCCCTGATTATAATCCATTCACTAACACAGACCAGCTGTGACACGTGTCGGCGGCAAAAAGAGAAATGCGAGGGTGGAGCTCCATGCTGGCGATGCCAACGACTCGGGAGACAATGTACCGTCAAGGGCCAGACCTTGTCGCTGTCAAGGCAAACACCGTCTGATGTGCGTGACGCGGGAAAGCAATCTACTTCGCGCGTGGAAGGCCTCGAACAAATCGCCCGCCACTTCTTGGGGAACGTATCTCTGGACGAGGAGAATGTCCGCCGCATTGTCTCGAGACTCGGGAGGACGCCGCTGGGGGAGTCGCAGAACGTGGTTGAAAGCTTCGATGTGCAGTTCGTCGCGAGTGATACTGCGCGTAAGTTTTCCTGTGCATGGTTACTCAGTAGTTGAACTAATTATCGCTAGACTACTCGGGTGAGTTTTCGCACTGGAATTTCTCTCAGAAGCTTCGAAGGAGAATCGGCCGGATCGAAAGATTTGGGGTATATTCTTCTTGTTGTGTCAACAGTCTACGGTCTGACCAAGGCAGATAAAGGAGTACTGGCGCCCGACCCAGCTCCAGTCATCCACGCACCTCGTCTCAGCGGCCGTTTCCCACCTGCCACCCCGCTCAATTACCGAGTTCCTGCTCAGCATGTTCTTCAAATACGCCACGTTGAATGTCTTCTACATTGAAGAATCTTGGATTAAGGAGCGCGTCGCCCGATGTTATAATTCAGCGGCTGTATATAGTCTTGCTGATACTCCCTGGGTGTGCTCTTTATTCGCCGTCCTGGCTATCGGGACGCAAGTCGCGCATATGGAGGGAGAACAAGCAGAGGCCGAAGATTCCACTCTATGCTCGGAAGACTCAGTCGGTCTTTCGCTGTACCATACTGCATGTCGACTGATACCCGACGTGCTGTTGGTAGCGTCACATGAGAGCGTACAGGCTTTCCTATTGCTTGCGCTCTATGCCTTGCCGGTTTCCACTGGTGGTCTGTCATATTCATACCTTGGGATTGCGGTGAAGATGGCGATTCAAAATGGGATGCATCGGAAATACACGGGCGAGGGCGATCCTCATATCATTGAGACGAGGAATCGCATTTTCTGGACGGCTTGCACCATGGACAGGTGTGTGAAGCTTAGAGAGAAGAGGGTCTAAGATACATTGCATACTGACCATGCCCAGAAGAATAAGTATTCTCCATGGCCGCCCGGCGTCGATTGCAAAGCCCGACATCAGTGCCGACTTCCCGTCCGACACTCCATCATTTGCATCCCCAAACTACGCCAACATGATGGCCTTCATCAAATTGAATTCATGGCTTGGAGAGGTGGCGGAAACACTGTGAGCAAACGGTAACACGTCATGAGCTTCGCTAATATGAGTAGGACGCTTCTTCGCAACTGCCCGAAAAGGTTCATCTCCGGCTATCTCAACCGGCTGCTCCAACTCCGAAGCGACATCACTCAGTGGTGGAGCGCGCTCCCCTCCTCCATTGAGGGCAAAGACATGGCGCTAAGCAGCTACCTGTTCAGACAGAACGCTCATCTCAAACTAACCTATTTGCTCGTGTTCATTTACATGGGCCGACCGTTTATGTTTGCCGATGACTGGAAGCTGCCTGCCAGAGACGATGAAACTACCTCCCCGTCCGCCCGTGTGACGCGTAATGATGAAAAGACAGACAATGACCCAAAAACCGTCCTAGTCCATGTCTGTGTCAAAAGTGCCCTTGAAACTCTCTCAAAGTTACAAACCATGTCCAAATACACTGGCCTCTGCCGCGCCTCCTATACAGAGTTCAGCTCCTGTCGCGCTGCGCTACTGGTAATACTAGCGGATCGTCTTAATGCGCGTACACTGAAATACCAAGACGAGTTCGAACAAGGAATGGCTATGATACGGCGTATGGTTGGAGGATGCTCGTCTGAAAGCGAGATCTCTTATTTGCAGAGTTTGGATGCAGCGATCCGGACTTCTCTCGACAGTGATCTAGTTGCAGATACTGATGCGGGAATGGAAACCTCGACCTACTCGCAATTCAAACAGTGGACGAATACGATGAAAGCAGATGCAAATACCGGCGGAGTTGCCGACCTGGAGATTTCCTCGTTTAGTCCATTTTCATTCATGGACCCAAAGGCTCGTGAACGGACGGATTGCGGTGGCTCGATGGACATCATAAATACATGGCGCGAAGACTTTGGTCATGACGCGACATAATCCTGCAAGACTGCTATCGTGAGAATATTTGTTCGAGTGCGAGAATGGGCTATCCAAAGATCAAATACTGCGCCCTCTTCACCCACGACTTCTTGCCATCCCTCTCCTTCTCTTCCATAGCTGCCATCTCATCGATCCTCTCCATCTCGTCAAACACGACTGCGGCCGAAAAGTCCATCTCGCTGGGCTTGACAATCTTCGTCTTGAACCACCACTGCATCGCCTGTTAGCAAGCATCCTCATTCAGTCATAGGAGACTCACCTTATAAACACAATAATCGAAAAAGAACAACGGCGCCGCCAGATACGTCGAGAAGAAGCTCTTTGCGCTCCCCTTCTCTCCGAACGGGAAACAAGCGAGGTAGAACTCGCACCCGAAAATAAACAGCACGATCAGCAGACTGAAGTACTGCGCGTACGGGGTCAACAGGCCCTTGAAGGGGAGATCGGCAAGGCTCTTCCCTTGGGCACGAAGGCCGTTCCGGAACCGCAGGTGCGCGATGTAGATGGATGCCCATTGGAAGAGCGTTGCGATTGCGACCTGCATTCATTCTCACGTTAGAACCCGGCCCTTTCTGAGGAGAGGGGGGAGAAGTGCATACCAAGCTCGAAAACCACCCATACACGATAACCCCCGTCCCGTCAACGTTGAGATAGCACAGGCCGCCTCCAATCGCCAGACTGTTGGCAATCGCAACCCACGGCCGTCCGGCAGCGTCCTTCCGCCCGAACGCCCCGTGGATGATCCCCAGATCGGACAGGGCAGTCAGGCTTCGACTCGCCACATAGACACTCGTGATCCCGCAACTAATTACAGACAGGAAGATGAACCCGTTGATCGCATGCGCGAGCCCCCATACATCCGCGCGTTTGAGCGCAATGACAAACGGACTGCCCAACGTCCCAGACCCATTAACGAGATCGGGGTCGTCGTAGGGAACGCACATCCCAACAAGCCAGATATTGAGCACAAAGAACGTGAACATCCGCCAGAAGACAGGCCGGACTGTCTTGCGGATCGTGGACCGCGGCGACGCAACCTCGCCTGCAATGACGGCGATATGCTCGCCCCCTCCGAACGAGAACGCGGCCTGGACGAAGCTCTTCGCGATCCCCTTGATCCCGTTGTTGAATGCGCCAGGGTTCTTCCAGTAGGTGAAGATAATGGGACCGTGTGTTGCTGGGATTCCGCCGGACGTCATGATGAACAGGAAGAATATCATCAGGACCACGGCGGCGCATTTGATGAAGCTCATGTAGTACTCGATGTACCCGTATATCTTGACGTGGAAGACGTTGGCGAGGCCCATGGCGACGAGGAAGATTGTTATGTATGCTGCGAGGGGTATGGCGTTTGTTGACGGCCAGAATTGCAGCACGGATACGGCGGCGGTAATTTCGGCGGGGATGATCATTACCCACTGTCATAACACGCGGTTAGTATAGTTTGAAGAGAGGGGAGTGAGACAAGGAACGGGAGCGCACAGCGAACCAAAAGTTGATACCGATTGCGAAGCCAAATGCTGGGTCTACGAACTCGGCGCATTGTCTTATGAACCCGCCGTGGAGGGGGAGGTACGTTGTCATCTCGCCGATGGAGCTGTACTGGGCGTAGACGATCATCCTAGCCCCTGTTAGTATCTTATGCCTGAGCTTCGGCCGTGGTGAATCAAGGAGGATAGGGAACGTACGCAGTAAGCGTATACGTGACAGCGAGACCGGCAGGACCAGCTAAGCCATTGTCAGTATCTCCGTCCCAGGACCTAAGAAGAGAGCATGGATACCATAATGCAGCGCCTGCCCCGTCCCAACCCACAGGCCCGTCCCAATTCCAGCACCAAAGGTCATCATCATGACCTTCCGTCTCGTGAGGGAGCGATGATATCCAACATTGTCAGGGTCGATCTGCATAGACGAGCCATTCTGTTCGGACGAGGAGGTGGCGACGCGCTCGATGTCTGCTTCGGCCTTTGGCTCTATGCCGGTAGCCGGCTGTTTGAGGACTTCGTTAGCCATCATGACTTGGGACGAAGAGTGACCGGGAAATGGCATGATCTGTCCAGGCGGGGAGAAGTGGTCGTTCTCATATGCCCATGCTACTGCAGCAATATGTTATCTCGTATCTCTGTTATCATCTTATCACCGGCCTGATCCGCCGGGATGGCAGTTGGAGGGATCTGCAGCCGGCGGGATTGATAAGTACCATGCCTACTCCAAGTATCCCATACTCCAAGCATGCCCCTCATATCCAGCAGGTGAGCTTGAAATTGAGAACCAGTTCCTCCTTTCCTCTCCACCCAGCACAAGCAACCCCATCACTCGTCCTACACCACTCTACCACCACCATGTCCTCTAAGAATGTCGTCTTCGACGTCGTCGGCACCCTGGTCAGCTACGACCACCTCTTCGCCGCAATCGACACGCAGCTCGGCCCCCGCCTCCGCGAGCACAACATCAAGCCCTCCCTGCTCGGCTACACCTGGATCGAAGTCGCCGAGCGCGAATACACCTACCTCAGCATGAGCGGCAAGTACACCGTATTCGCCGACGTCTTCCGCGCGCTTTTCTACCGGATGCTCTGGATGGCGGGCATCAAGGAGCCGCGTGAGTTCGCGACGGATTCCGATCTCGAATACATTATGAAAGAGTACGCGGGTCTGAAACTGCGGCCCGGCGCGAAGGAGTGCGTGCAGAAGCTCCGGGATGCGGGGTTCAGGGTCTGGTGCTTTACGGCGGGCGATGTTAAGCGGGTTTCTGGGTACTTTGAGAACGAGGGCGTTGAGATGCCGGCGTCGGATTTGATTTCGTGCGATGCGGCGGGGTTGGGGAAGCCGGATCTCGCTGCGTATCGGCCGTTGCTGGGGCAGTTGGTTGGTGAGAATGGGGGGAGGGTGCCGTGGTTTGCGGCTGGGCATATGTGGGATGTTTCGGCTGCTAGGAGGGCTGGGTAGGTTTCTGTTTCCTCTGCTTGTTAAGGTGCTGACGGGTTCGTGCAGGTTCAAAGGGGCGTATACGTCTATCTGGGAGAAGGAGCCGTTGACGGAGTTGTTTGGCGAGATGGACGTGATTGATGAGACATTGCCTGGGATGGCGGATAAGATTATTGCCAGCCAGGCTGCTTCATAGATACTGGATTCTATAGTCAATCACAAAATGAGTCTTCTGTATACTCCGCACATATCTGCCCTGGGTAGTACGGTAGAGCCGACATCCCCACCAGACCAATCCCTGCGTCCACGTATCGACCAGCTCATCTACTCCAACTCGATAGCCAACCACATTAAACCAAAGCCAGTAATCTAGACAATAGTACAGCTAGATAACTAAACCGAGGCCTTCCCCAACAGATAACGATAACGCCACAGATATGCATCCACAAGGTCCTCCTCCAAGTCCACCGGCATCCCGGCGGCTTAATCCCCGGCCTCGCGGTACACCTCAACCGGAGCCCACCCGGTCGCTTGCACGCAATGACATAAAACAGCCCTATCGTGCCTCCATCTCTTGGCTACCGTCGCTCATTCAAGATCTGGATTCGAGATAAGCAATCCGCACCATGTCCGACTCCGACTCCTCCTCTCCATTTCCCTCGTCCAAATCGACAACGCCCTTCTGGCGCACAACCCCTCACGCCCTCGATAACCACCGCAGCACCCCTTCTCTACCGCAACAATGCGATATCGCAATCATCGGAGCCGGATACGCGGGCGCATCGCTTGCACACCACATCCTCGAATTGACCAGTTCAAATCGTCCGAGTGTTGTTATTCTGGAGGGGCGGGAGGCTTGTTCGGGGGCGACGGGGAGGAATGGTATGCTCTTCGCTTTTCTCCTACTCTTCCATTCTATTAGGCGCTAAGGGTGTACCGTACCTGTGCAGGCGGGCATCTCAAACCAGACCCGTTCAACCGCATCGCCAGCCTAGCAACGCAGTACGGGCTCGCCGCTGCCTCCGAAGTCGCTGAGTTCGAGGCCCGACAGGTCGATGCTGTTGCGGACCTTGTCCGGAAGGAAAAGATTGACTGCGATCTTGTCGTCACGCAGGCGGTTGATGTCATGCTTGATGATGAGTACGCGGCGAATCTGAAGAGGGGGTATGATAGGTTGGTTGAGGGGGGCGTTGAGCCGACGCGGCAGACGAGGTATTTTGGTCCGGGGGAGGCAGAAACGGTGCGTTTGGTTATACTTTTCTTGGACTAGATAGAGTCGGAGAAAGACTGACGAGTACAATAGGTCTCCGGGCTGAAGGGCGCGAAAGCCTGCTTCACGTACAAGGCAGGCCATCTCTGGCCCTACAAGCTCATAATGCACCTCCTGCAAAAGGCCGTGGACAGGGGCGTAAACCTGCAGACGCATACGCCTGTCACATCGATTACACCAGGCACAGACTTAGGGTACGCTATCCACACACCCCGCGGTACACTCAGCGCCAGAAAAATCATCTTCGCGACAAACGGCTACACGTCTTCCCTTCTACCGCAATACAAAGACACGATCGTTCCAGTCCGGGGAACCTGCTCGCGGATCATCGTCCCTGCGTCCTCACCAAGCCCTCCACCAAAGCTCACGACGTCCTACATGATCCGCCACAACGCCGTAAACTACGACTACCTGATACCGCGGACTGACGGGTCTATTGTGGTTGGGGGCGCGCGGCCAGCTTTCATCCACGACTCGAGCAGCTGGTATAACGTCACAGATGATAGTGTCGTGCTTGAGTCTGCGAAACGGTACTTTGACGGATACATGCAGAAGCATTTTATGGGGTGGGAGGGTAGTGGTGCTGTGACGGAGAATGTCTGGACGGGGAGTGAGTCTTATTATTCTTTCCTTCCGCTCATTTTGGATTCTGTTGTTTGTGCGAGGGGTGCTAATATCCTTGTCTCCGTGCAGTAATGGGTTATTCGTCTGATAGTCTCCCGCATGTTGGACGCGTACCTGGTGAGGAGAATCAGTGGATTCTTGCTGGATTCACGGGGCATGGGATGCCGCAGGTGTTTTTGGCGGCGGAAGGAGTTGCGAGGATGGTTGTGGAGGGAGTGGAGTATAAGCAGAGTGGGTTGCCGAGGCTCTTTGAGACGACGCAGATGAGGCTGAAGGGGACGATGGAGAAGAGTGGCAGGCCTGTGTCGAAGCTGTAATGATTGGATTGAGATGTTGCAGTATGCAAGCGAAGATACGCAATATTTGTCTGACAGATGTTGGAATCATCAAGTGTCATATTATGCGGACACTATCGCCCCATAGACTACAGATTAATCATACTGACGCTCAGAGGAAGTACATTTTCGTTGAGCGCCACGCCTAAACAAGGACACCTGACAAAGCTCAAGGCCCATAAATCGCCACGGCAGGGCAAAATCCGACCAACTTATCTGTCTCCATATTCGGCCGGAACTTGGCCTCTTTCCCGGCGACCTCCGCGCCCTGGGCATATCTCTGCACCTCTTCAAATCCAAACTTCTTCTCGGGGAGCAACTCATACACACCGCGCGCGTACTTCTCCGAAATCCGCAACGCCTGGCCTAGATACTTGGCCTGGATCTTGGGGTACTCAACCAGCTTCAAGAGCCTTGCCGTGTTGGCATGTAGATGCTGACGCGCCTTCTCGTCCATCACCTTTTCGTAGAGCTCACGTGGCTGGTCGTATTCGCTTGGCTTGCCTTCGTGGTAGAAGTGGGACTTACGGCTGACGACCCGGTCGGAGACCTGGTAGGGGGCTTCGGCGGTTTCAGGACGGAACCTGTGCACGAAACTGTTGGGCGCGTATTGAGGGTTCATGGCGTGGTTCGCGTCGACACGGAGCTGGCCGTCGAAGTTGAGCGAAGAGTAGGAGGAGGCCATGAAGGGGCAGTTCACTATCGGCCATATTAGCAGTGGTACCTGAGAAGGATCTGTGAGGCTTGGTACCTGGGACCTGGTGGAGATTGACACCGACACGGTGGTACTGTGCGTCACGGTAGAAGAACATGCGGAATTGTAGCAGAGGGTCGGGACTGTCCTCAATACCCGGAACCATGCTGCCTGGCGAGAATGCAGCTTGCTCGACGTCTCGGTGGAAGTTCTCGGGGTTCTTGTTTAGGGTGAGTTTTCCAAACTCTTGCAGCTGCAGGCAGTTGTTAGCCATGTCTACGAGTACTAGGATAGACATACAGGGAATTTCTTCTTCGGCCACACTTTGGTCACGTCAAACGGATCAAATCCTAGCTTTTGAGGATCTGCGTCTTCCGGCCTCATGATCTGCACATGGGCCGTCCAGGTGAGCTGTTTTCCATTCTCAATGGTCCGCCACAGCTCGCGCTTCGAGTAGTCCGGATCTTCGCCACCGTAGGCCAGGGCCTCGTCGGCGGTGAACTGCTTCTGGCCGTGGTCTGCGATGAAGTGGTATTTGATGTACACAAACTCCCCGTTGGTGTTCACCCTGAGCCATTAGTATATTCCTGTGTAATTGACAGCCTGAAGTACCATTTGAACGTATGACAGCCGTAGCCGTGGATGTTTTGCCATCCGGCCGGAGTGCCGTGGTCACTGAAGAACATCATTCCGGCGTGGTTTCTGCAAGGTCAGCACACACTCAGCGCATGAATTATGGACATACCCTTCGGGAGTGTTGGCCAGCAGATCGAACAAGGAGTTGTGATCAAGCAAGAAGTTCTGTGGGTTGCGGTACTGAGACCGGATCACGTCTGGACCTTGGATCGGGTCGCGGCAGAAGAACACGGGCTAGCCTTGTTAGCACTACATGATGAGCGGGGCAAGAGTCTTACGAAGTTCAATCCGACTATATCGTAATTGCCTTCACCGGTATAAAACTTGATCGCGAAACCACGGGGGTTACGAGCTAGGTCCGGGTATTCACGACCAAGTGTGACCGTGGAGAAGCGAACAAACACTGGAGTTTTGATTCCGGGCGATCGAAGGAAGTGCGCCTAGGTTGTTAGCTTTCGCGCTCTCGGTCGTCAGAAGAATTTACTGTACCTTCGTCAGATCAGATACATCCTTAGTAACCTCAAACTGTCCGAACGCGCCGCTTCCACCTGAGTTGTTAGCTAGGTGCCAATTCAGGAAGCAGCTTGACATACAAGGATGAACCATCCGCTCAAGATTCTTAGACCGGTTGAAATGCTGCTGTTTCTGAAGCAGAAACGTGTCCGAGATCAAAGGCAACCCGCCAGCTGTCTTGCTATGGGCCGGGTCAGGGAATGGAATGGCCTCGTTGTTGGTAAAGTAAGGTCCATCATCCGCTCGCTTTCCAGGTCCCTGGACACCGGTCAATTTGGCAGCCGTTTTTGCCGGGCCATCGTTGGCTCCTTGGAACGTGGACGAGAGCTGAACTGGGCGTGGATCGCCGCCCACAGCGCCGACGGCTTGACCGATCGCTTGTAGTGGGTGCTGAGCCATTGTGATTGATAGTATCAATAATGAAAGTTGAGGTGTCCCGCGAGAACCCGCCGCCCAAATACCTCAGCCCATGCTTATAACCTCGAGGCATGCTATTGAGTTCTGCTGTGTCACGATGACAGACGCAAAACGTCAAGCATCAACTGCCGCAAGCAGCCGTTGTGAAGCTCTCATAAGGAACGCCATAGGCGTTCCAGGGTTCTTCATGGTGACCAGATCGGTGTTCCAGCTGTCGAGTCCGGTTTTTGTGGAGAAAACCTTGGTCGAGCCGTCAGGGATCATAATCAAGCTGCTGTCATTGGATACATACTGAGTTTAGATACTCCAAAAACTTGAATTGAGTTCACTGATGACACTGAAGCTGTATTTGAGTCTCGACTGGTCGTTGGAGTCTGTGTCTGTGACTCTGTCAGTTGGTCTGGAGGTGCAAGGCCATCGCTCTCTGCAACAGGGAGTGATCGGCAGTGGGGTCAGCTGACTCGCTACCCCGCGCCTCCCAAAGCGGCAACTCCAACCACCGGCACCACTTCCTCTCCTACTTCAATGCGCAACAATAACCACTTCGCTCTACTCCGATGTTTCACGCTCTCGGGTCCATCCACTCCTCAACAACGCTTGATCCGGACATGGTCTCGTACGGGGTACATCATCATCCGCTCTTTCTGCCGTCCTCCAGTCCCCCTGACGGATTCAGTGCGAAAGCTCGCATCAACTTGTCGCTGTACGGAGTACTGCCCATGCTAGAGGGCGAGTACCTTCCCTAGGGTATGCACCCTCTGGATCAGCCGACGGCCCACCAACGCCGTCGAGGTTCCCTTTGATAAATACCGCCATCGAGAGAACTCGTGCTTCACCTACCCTGGCTACTGCCCCCAGAAATACTGCTTCCATCATCGCGAACGGACACTACCTTCTGCAGTCGGCGACAGGGAGGCAGACATCAAAGAGGCGCAAAGCGTTTGCCATAGTTGGTGCTGCAATCTTGAAGAGGCTCAAGTCGAATGTGAATCACATCTCGGCCTCCGTCAATTCTCCATTGCTTCCCATGCGTACTGTTGGAAACTGAGGGCAGGATAGCCCGATATGGGCGCTGAGAGTGGGCGGATTAAATGGGATGGGCACGTCTGACAACTACAGGGCTATGTGGACAATGGGGCCAACTGATGGCCATGAGAGTCATCTGCTAGGTTAATGCTCCTGGCGGGCGTTAATCCCGAGATTTGGGAGACGCGTGGGTGGCAGATATAGACTTGGGGCTGCGACTGGTATGTCCAACATCTTCGCAGTCTTCCGTACTGTGCGCCCAAATGGATTTTCGTGGTTTATTCTTTAAATCCAGGATTCTTTTTGCCGAGGTACTGGGCGTAATCGAAGCTAGGCTATTTGCTTAACGGTCTTCTTAATGCGCGAGCTCATAATCTCCCCTGCCCGAGTACGGGCGCCCTAATCACTCGGGTGAGCGAAATGTTCAGTGCGTTATAGTATATAGCTGAGTTTGGCCAGGAGGATTGAGTTGCCGCACGTCTAAATGGCAGGTATCCGGACTTTTCAGCTGGAAGAATATATAGACTCGATTTTTATGGTAGTCGAAGGACTGAACTGCATGGTCAGTTTACAATATATATTTTAAGAACATCCCACTTCTGCGACCGAACATGCAAAGACCGAGTAGCTTCTATTTGGAAACAGGTTTCAGTCCCCATGTATCGTCGAAAGCTTCTATAACAACCGTAATGAGAAATGAAGCTTGCAAGTACTGCTGGTAGAAACTCTGGGGCCCCAAATTAGGGTCCTGTCGGTCACGTGCCTTATGTATCAGAGTCGACAAGCAGCACATTTTCTCCCATCATCCTTCTCATCCCTACCAGTGCCTTCCGAATTCTGGATCACATATTCCTTTCGCTTGTGTGTATCACCAGTACAGCAACCACAAGTCCGTAAATCCTGGCGCCGACAGCGGCGACTCCGTAATGTGCCGTGTCACTCCACCACTCTACATGAATTTAATACTGTAGGTATCATCTAATGAAGAAGTTCAGGCTTGGACACCGCTTTGTCAGGTAAACTATCTACACCGTAACATCTGTCTCATCGACAATGGTCACCTTGATGCTGGGCCGCCCCCTATCAGCACACAACTCCAGCGCCTCATTCGCGCGCTCCAATGGGAACGTGTGGCTAATCAATGGCTTGAGGTCAGGCAATATCCCCGCCGACATACACGCAATTGCGCGCGGCCACGTATCACGGTACCGATTGATAAACTTGAGGTCGATTTCCGCAAGCGACAAATGCATGAAGGGGACGTTGTTGATGATTTCCTTGCCCACGCCAACGACCACAACAACTCCGCCCCGTCGCGCTGTATACGCAGCCGTGCAGATGCTGCTTTCAACTCCCGTGCATTCAAGGACTCGGTCGGGGGCTGTGTACTCGTCCGGACCAAAGAGTGTGCGGATAGCCTTTGCGTTCCCCTGCGCATCGAGGGACGTGTTGATCTGGTATGTTTGGATGTTGGGCAGGTACTCTTTTGCGAACTCTAGGCGCGGCGCGTCGATGTCTGTGATTACGACGGGGTGTGCGCCGGAGGCGCGCGCTGCTGCGGCGGCGATGAGCCCGATTGGACCGGCGCCGCAGATGACCACGCCTCGGCCGAGTTCAAGTTGCGCGACTTGGATTCCACGCATCACGACGCTAAGCGGTTCGAGGAGGGCGCCGTCGAGGTATGAGAGGTTGGAGGGGAGCCTAAATGGTATGGATTAGTTGGGAGTTGTACCAGTGACGAAGGCAGGGTGAAGAGCGTACTTGTGTAGGTACTTGGCAGGGTGAGACTTGTATCGCTGAATTGTGCCGGCGTAGGGGTATACGCCAGCAAACGCGACGTCCTCGCAGAGATTGTACCGGCCGTCGTCACAAAGGAAGCAGTTTTCGCAGGGGACGCCTGGTTCGACGGCGACACGGTCGCCTGTTGTTTCTCTGTTAGTTTATTATCCTGTTCTTATGTTCGCTGTGAGCACGGGGCTTGTGGCGCCGGCTAACCTGGTTGGAGATCTGTGACGCCCTCCCCGCATTTCAGAACAACACCCGCCGCTTCATGACCGATAATGCAGTCGCCGTGAAAGATGAGATCGCCGATGCGACCGGTTTTCCAGAAGTGGAGGTCTGATCCGCAGACTCCTGTCGCTTTGATGTGGAGTAGAACTTCGCCTTTGCCTGGTTCTTGGACCGGGGCTTCAACGAGCTTGATCTTGTGGTCTGCGGTGATTTGGAGGGAGGGATTCGGGAGGTACGACATGGCGGCGAGAGTGTGAGAGTCTGTTGGAGCTGGAAATGCTGAGAGTGGAAACGAGGCGCTTCAAATAAACGGATGTGCTCTGAAGGAGGGAAACTGGAGGCTCCGGGGAATCTCCGATGTGTGGGGTGAGAAATGGAGCTCCAGGATTTCCCCATGCGGAGAGCAGTGCCTACGGTTACCTACTTTGGCAATCTTGCCTCCATTCGTGGTTATAAAGAGCCTCTTCCGACGTGTGTTTGCTTTCGAGGCTTGAACCCTTCTCCCTCATATTGGCATTCAAGATGACAGCCCCTTTGGTCAACGGCTCCAGCAGCCACCATGATATCGTCCTCAAGACCTTCCGGCTCCTCATCGCCGATCTGTGCCAGCAGTTTGGCGGTGGTCACCCTGGGTAGGTAGATTGCACCGAATCACGACAAGTTATTAACGCAAGGCGATAGAGGCGCCATTGGCATGGCAGCGATTGGAGTAGCCCTTTGGCGCTATGTCATGCGATACGCACCGCACACTCCCGACTTCTTCAACCGCGACCGCTTCGTCCTATCCAACGGCCATACCTGCCTCTTCCAATACACATTCCTTCACCTGACGGGCTACAAGAACATGACTTTCGAACAACTCAAGTCATATCATTCCGAGCGTGAGGATGCGCTGTGCCCCGGCCATCCCGAAATCGAACACGAGGGTATCGAAGTCACAACGGGTCCGCTCGGCCAAGGCGTCGCTAACGCTGTTGGTCTGGCTATGGCCACCAAGAACCTGGCTGCCACATATAACCGACCAGGGTATGACGTTGTCAACAACCACACATGGTGCATGATCGGCGATGCCTGCTTGCAGGAGGGTGTCGCTCTTGAAGCGATTTCCCTGGCCGGCCACTGGAAGCTGAACAACTTGACCATTATGTATGACAACAATCAGATCACCTGCGATGGCTCGGTCGACCTTACAAACACTGAAGATATCAATGCCAAGATGCGTGCTTGTGGGTGGGACGTTATTGACATTGAGGATGGTTGCTACGATGTTGAGGGTATAGTGCAGGCGCTGTCCAAGGCTCGTGCATCCACGGAAAAACCTACCTTCATCAATATCCGCACGGTGATCGGTCTCGACAGCAAGGTTGCCGGTCAGGCTGCTGCTCATGGTGCGGCCTTTGGTGTTACTGACGTTGCAGATATGAAGCGCAAGCTCGGCTTCAATCCAGAGGAGCACTTTGTCATCGGCGAGACAGTGCGCCATTTCTTCGCTGACCTCCCTACCCGCGGCGAAGCTTGGGCCAAGGAATGGAAAGACCTTGTTCAGCGTTACAGCGAAGCACACCCAGAGCTGGCCGAGGAGTTCCAGCGCCGTGTGCGTGGCGAGATCCCAGCCGACTGGCAGAAGCTCATCCCTACCGAATTCCCCGACAAGCCGACGGCAACTCGTGCCTCGTCCGGCCTTGTCTTCAACCCCCTCGCACAATCCATTAACTCGTTTATGGTCGGAACTGCCGATCTATCGCCGTCAGTCAACATGATCTGGAAGGGGAAAGTTGACTTCCAGCACGTACGTCATTCCCCCAAACCCCATTGTTTCAATCTCCGTTTGAGTCAAACCAAGCTAACAAACATAGCCTGACCTGCGAACGACTTGCGGCATCAACGGCGACTACTCCGGCCGATACATCCACTATGGTGTCCGTGAACACGCCATGGCTGCCATCTCAAACGGTCTTGCCGCTTTCAACCCCAACACCTTCATCCCTATTACCTCCTCTTTCTTCATGTTTTACCTTTATGCCGCTCCCGCCGTCCGCATGGGCGCCCTTCAACACCTCCAAGTCATTCACGCCGCAACCCACGACTCCATTGGCATGGGCGAAGACGGCCCAACCCACCAGCCCATAGAGCTCGCCTCCCTATACCGCGCCATGCCAAACCTCCTCTTCATCCGTCCAGGAGATAGCGAAGAAACAGCCGGTGCCTGGATCGCCGCCATTACCGCAAAGAAGTCTTCCACCATTATCTCCACATCCCGCCACACCCTCCCCCAACTAAAACAGACACGCCGCGATGGGGTGCTGAAGGGCGCGTACGTGCTCGAAGATGCGTCAAATGCAAGCGTAACGCTCATTGGTGTCGGTGCCGAACTCTCATTCGCACTTGAAGTCGCCGCCCAACTGAAGGAGAAAAAGGGAATCACCGCGCGGGTCGTTAGTTTCCCTTGCCAGCGGCTGTTTGAGCAGCAGTCTCTTGAGTACAGGCGTGGTGTTCTGCAACGGCACAAGGGAATACCAGCAGTCGTGATTGAGCCGTATGCGCCGAATGGATGGGAGAGGTACGCGGATGCGGGAATCTCGGTGAAGCGGTTTGGACACAGTCTTCCTGGAAAGGCAGCGTATAAGTTCTTTGGCTTTGACATTGGGGTCATGACGGACAAGGTTGGGAATTACCTGGAGCAGCTGGAGGGCGATGAGGCGCTAAGAGGAGAGTTTGTTGATCTGTAGTTGATCCCTGGTGGAGGGGTAATGGTAGATGTAATGAGCAAAATGAAATTCTTCTGTGTTTATCATCTGTCATGTGATGTAGCTTTTGACACTCTCCCTTTACTCGCCCTTCATGCACTGAAGATTCTAACACTTCATCTTCGTTCTATTGCTTTTGTTTAACTCGAACTCCATTCGTTTGCCCTCGCTCTACTCTCGTTTCGTTTGCCTACAACACTTAACACAGCACCTGGAGACAACGATCATGGATTCTCCGCCGGTCTTTGACAGAGCAGCAATCTTCAAACTCTCTCCAGAGATCATGGAAATGATCCTGAGCCTTTTGTCGGTGCCTGACCTAGCCAGAATGGCGTTGGTCTGCCGTGCCATCAGCGCCATCGCAGTTCCGAAGCTCTATCATACCATTTTGTTGGTTGATGGTGGCGACAGCTCACCTCTCCAGCGACTCCAATGCACACTATTCTGGAACCCGGGACTACTAGAGCATACAAGAAGTCTCTCGCTGCGCGATTTCAATATGCAACTGTTGACAGTTGAAAACAGGGTCACCCTTGACGCTCTTGTAAATGCTTCACCCAACGTGCGTTCTTTCAGCCTGGTGGAAATTCGTGACCGCGGACATCGTCTAGATCTCTGCCCGACGACCTTCAAAGTCCTTCGGGACTCAGTACGGCGTATGCGTAGGGTGGAGAACCTCCATCTTCGTACCGGCTCTTTTACTTTGCGCGAACTGATGGAAGCTTTGAATGATGCGCCATCCTTGACAAGTCTGTCGATCTATGGGTATAGCAAGGTGGAGCAAGGTGCGGATGAGAATGACATGGTACGGTTACTACTTCGGTTTGAATTCTGTCTTAATCTACAAGGCATGCTAATGGTTTACCTCTCTGGTCCAGTTCTACCGTTCCTCAAATATAACTACCCTGAATCTGAAAGTTTCTTTCGAGACATCCAACGAGCTGGAAAAATTGATCGAATGGCCCAGGCGGTTGGTTCACTTCCGCGACGAAACGTTCGGCAAGCACTGTGCGAGTTCCCAGAAGGTGATAATAAAGTTTCTGGGTATCCACAAGAAGACTTTAGAGTCACTGGATATCGGATTTGTTTTGAATAAGCGATGCACACTACGACCGCTTCTTGGTGGATTCGGGAGCCTGGAGCGCCTCACCCTTCCTGTGCGTCAACTATGCATCGGAGGCGGCCATCCCACCTCCAGGAAGCTGAAAGCCATCCTGGCCCGGAATCTGAGAACAATCACCCTCGACTTCTCGCTCGCCGGTCTACGTACCGGATACTCTCTGCATTTCCAAGATGTACACGAATCGCTTATAAGGGCTATAGTTGTGGCAGCAGTCGAGAAGAAGGCATCGCTAATGGCCATCGACATCTACTTTGCACCTATACCTAAAAAAGGTTCCGGCTTGAAGATTGCACGGCGCTTGGGAGTTAGAGGGACCAAGTACCCGTGGGATACCTTGGACCGGATTAAAGACGATATTCGCACGCACGGGATCCAGTTGACATACAATCCTCCTAATGTCTCAAAGAGGCAGTGGAAACAACAAGCAAAGAATGAAAAGAAGGATTAGGATACGGTTGGAACCTGATATTCAACATTGAGCTCTTTAGCTTTTTTACGACGCATTCATTGGTACCCAGGGTCAAGGCTGGGATGTACGTCCGAATGTTGGCGCTCTGTACAAATCCATGATGGCCTTGTCAAATTTAGTGAGGCAGTGACGGAAATAGCTTTCTAGTACAAGAGCATATGAATGAAAGATCTCTGTTTCCTTAACCGCACCTATGCCATCATAAGGCTCATTGGGGTACTGTAGTCCCTCGGGATTTCATTCCCGACGCCATCTTGAATCCATTCACACAATCATCGAAGAGAAAAGCGACAACCCATGCATCATTCGAAGCGTGCTCGGACTGACCAGTTAAGAGCATGCAGCTTCCGTGTGAAGCGGAGGGGGCGATATTACATTGGTGTCAAGGGCATCCCCTGCACGAGTTGTCATCCCGTCAACTTGCGTTGCGACGGGTCTGTCAATGCCCAAAAACAGTCTGTAGCCTTTGATAGCTCGTACCCCGGTCAACCGCTAACACTCACACAGCAAGATCAAAGCAGAGTATCTCACAGAGGACATATTGCGCAGAGAGATCATTCCAATCCCAGCTCAAAAGAACGGAGCGCGAATGAAATCCTCGCTTTGCGGCGTCATGCCCGGGCGTATACGCCACCGAGCTTCTCGACAACTACCTCTCTATCGTGCAACTGTTTCTCCGGCAGCATAGCGTACTTATCATTGAGACTTCACGGCGGGTGCGATTTCCCAGTTACGTGACTGCATTGCCCGGCCGCGTTGATGATGCGCATGTTCAGTACCGCGGCCTCCCTGCCAACCACGAAATTCCGAACCAAGTTATTCAAGAGCTATATTCTTTGGGTTCATTCTCAAGTCCCAGTGATTAACTTGGAAACTTTCTTGGGGGCAATAACTGGGAGCAATGGCGTCACGATGGGGTTGATTCTGTGTCCGACACGCGAAATGCGGAAGACATGGCCAGTGTACGTGCAATCCCCGTCCTCACATCTACATAAAGCATGGGGCCCTGGCGCGGTAGATTTGTCCCCTCAACCTCTCTATGAAGAGCATTATCGGCTCTGGCTGCCATTTCTGCGGCTGGCTATTGCATCAAGGGGCTTTAAGACCGTGATAATGGGCCACCTGCATCTCGATCACGCCGATGGTCTCGAGCATTTCCGTAATATAGGACTGCCGGTATACGTGCATGAAGAAGAATTTGAGCATGCGTGCTGGGCTGCTGCAACAAACCCAGATGAAGGATTATACTTGTGCGTCTTGGCACTCTGGACCTCTCGATCACGGAGTGACGCATTTCTATTGCAGAACTGACTACCTCAACCTCGACGGCAGCATTAACTGGCAGTCCTTCAACGACCAGCAACTAGATCTTATATTACTGCCCGGGACACACGCCAGGATTATATATCATGCAGGTGTATCTCTTGCATGACGGGTTGATTACGGCGAAGGAAGTGTACGAGCAGAGGGTCTTTTGAGCAATATACCCCGCACTGGTTTCCTGAAGATGGTCCCACTCCGCGGATGAGCAACTCTCTTCATATCCCTACACTCTGCCAGGCACCGGGTACAACCGTTACATCTAATGTGCATGTCCGAACCCTGCATGGCCGTGCCATTGTAGGCAAAACACCGGTGGAGAGACTCCACATTTCTTTAACGTCCTTGCCCTAAGTGGTCCATTCCCTGTACTCGTTTCACATAGCGGCCTCTCTGACGATCCCTACACTATCGAATATATGATCATTAGATCAATGAGGGGCAAAGCAGGACCCATGACATGACATCCCATGTCCCTAGCATAAATATCTGCGTACCCCCTACTATCCCTGGTCGTTGGGAAAGAGTATGTAAGCTATCACGCCATTATGAAACCCTCAGCAGCAGTAATATCCCATGCCCTGGCCGCGGCTGTCTCGGCGCAGGCGCAGGATACACTAGGCCTGTCAAGCGGCTACAAGAACATATCGACCGCCAATTTCGACTTCAGCCTCGTGCAGGACTCGCAGGTCCTCGCTTCTATTCGGCCAAGTGGACAAGACTTTGACTTTTCGCCGTCGCAATTTCTCGAGTACCGTGTAGCCAACGGCCAGTATCACGTTGGTGACATTAACTTCCGGTACAGAGTATCTGGAAACGGCGAGTGGATTGACGCGAGCACCGCCTCATCGCGAAAGCCCGTTGAAGAAATCTCGCCGACTTCGGCACTCAGCGAGGCGGATCTTACCGGCACGCTGCCTGACTCATTCCCCCTCGAGGTGACGCGCAGGTGGACCGACGTTGACGGCGATCTAGGGTTGATCTTTACCATTACAAACCCTCAAAGTCAATCCGTTGAGCTAGGAAGTCTCGGGCTTCCACTTGAATTCAACAGCATTTTCTTCAATTATACCGCTGAAGAAGCGCTAGCCAAATGCTCGCTCATCGATCCGTACATTGGCCTCGGGGGAGGTTACGTCCAGGTATCGCCGACCAGCGGAACCGGTGCCGCGCTGGTGATCACTCCTATTGGCGACACGCCATTCGAGGCGTGGAACTTCCTCAACGAACCAACGGACGGCGCGCTCCCGTATCACAGTCAGGTGTTTGAGGGGTTCTATGAATGGCAGACACTCACCAAGGCCCATGCCGAGAACGAATGGGCGGGCGTTGAGCCGTGGAATGAACCAACATCAAAGGTCCTCGAGCCAGGGAGTAGCTGGACAGTCGGGCTGCGTCTATCTCTGGTCAAAGACGGAGTTCGTGGGATTGGAGATATTGTCGAGGCCACAGGCACACCGTATGCTGTTGGCGTCCCGGGGTACATTATCCCGGCAGACCTGGAGGCGTCACTGTACTTGTTCACCAACAAGACTGTGGCTGATATGACGACGACACCAGCCCAGGCGTTTAAGATGACTAAAGGCCACTCGGACAATCTCTGGAAACTCCAGCCACAGCCGGGGGTTTGGGGCCGTGTCCGATTGACGGTCACCTACAGCGACGGCGTCAATCAAACAGTCCACTACTACATCACGGACAGTGCCTCCGAGGCCATCGGGAAGCTGGGGAACTTCTTCACCACAAAGGCATGGTTCAACGACTCATTAGATCCCTTTGGTCGAGCCCCCTCTGTGATCAGCTACGACCGCATCGCAGACAAGCAGGTCGAGCAAGACCCTCGTGTCTGGATAGCAGGGCTCATGGACGAAGGCGGGTCAGGCGCGTGGCTGGCAACGTTGATGAAGCAGTCTGTGCAGCCTGAGCCAGAACAGATCACCAAATTGGAGCAATTCATCGAGTACACTTTATGGGGAGATATCCAAGTCCGCGATAACCGCACCGGCCCAACGAATACCAGCGCAGACATTCATGGCGTCCGCAAGAGCGTCTTTTTCTATCAGCAGGACTATGTTCCCGATTACGAGTATGACTCGTCCATTGACTGGGGCAACTGGTGGAGCTGGAATCGCGCGGACTCGTACTCTGTCGATGGCCGAGCGTACAATTACGTCCACGTCACTGCTGCATATTGGGCCATGTATCGGGTTGCCAGAGCATATCCCGGACTTGTATCAGTGCACGATTGGGAATGGTACCTGGATCAGGCGTACGAGACCGTCATGCGATGCTATGTTCAAGACGAGACTGGTTATTACTATGTCGGATACGCGTTGGTGGGCTTGATGGGCGAAACGGTTTGGGGAGAGTTGCTGAATGATCTCAAGCGCGAGAACCAAACGGAGAAGGTGCGGCGGTTGGAAACGGTTATGCAAGATCGGGTCGATTATTGGGCCTCTCTCCCTGCGCCTTTCGGTAGCGAGCAGGCCTGGGATTCCACCGGTCAGGAGGGTGTTTATTACTGGACGAGGTATGACTTGCACGATTGCAGAGTCTGGTCAGACGAGGCGCTGACGCCAGCAGATACTTCGGCCACGAGGCACTCGTGAACAAAACGATCAATAGCATCCTCGGGTACATGCCTACGGTGGCGCACTGGGGTTGGAACGGAAACGCTCGTCGTTACTGGGATAACATGTAAATCCGGCCCATACCCCGTATTACCAGCTCAAGCTGACCAGCCTTCGCGCTGAAAAGATATGGAGGAAAGCTCCAGCGCTTCGAACGCCAGATCCACCACTACGGATCTGGCCTCAACGCCTTACCCCTGCTATCCCATTTTCGCCATAACCCCCAAGACACGTACCTTCTGCACGTAGGATACGGCGGCATGAACGGTCCGCTCTCCAACATCGACGAAGAGGGGTTTGCGTCTGCTTCGTTTCACTCATGGCCTGATACTCTTGCTTGGGACGGATACAGCGGCGACTATGGGCCAAATTTCCTTGGTCTCGTGCTTGGCTCTGAGGTGTATCTTGTCGACGATCCAAAGCTCGGCTTGGTTGCATACGGCGGGAACGTCAGGTCCTCTGATAATGATTCCAGCATCATCGTCGCAACCAGGGATGCAGTGAAGCATCGCATCTTTGTTGGCCCGCTCTCGCTCTCTGTTACCATTGATGCGGGTGCGATCGAGGAGTTTGAGTATGATTCTGAAAAAGACACGGTCTCGCTGACGCTTGCGACAAAATCAAGCTCGGCTCCTGTTACGGCTGCAGAGGTTGAGGCAGTGATTGTTTGGGTGGAGGATATTAGCGGGTCGAGAGTATATGCTCTTGCTGGAGAGTATGAGAGAGAGCGAGAGGGTTGGAAAGTGCCATTTGGCGATCAAAGCGAGGTCACTATTGTGGTTGCAGCTCAGTAAATAAGCTTGTGAGCGGCACCGTAATATACCATATGTCTGACCCGGGATATAAGCTGGAATGGGTATCTGTTGTGCTTGTAGATCAGAAGAAAATGATTGTTGTCGGTCTGAGCCCAGCCCACTGCAAGTTACCTAAAGCGGCCTCGACCTTTTGTTTTGACTTTCAAATTGTCCCTCACAACACAACCTCTAAGCAACATTTCAACATCTTCACCCAAAAGTTTTCTACCCTCTTCCTCTACCGGTATGCTTTTCTCATAAACATCTTATGGATTCGAAGGTACAGTTCGTATCTCCGTTCTCCCTGTCACCCTCTACCATTGCCCTAGCTCACATCTACCCCGGTCTGTGTTGCTCGTTCTTCCAGCCCTTTCGCAGTGTTCTCTCAGAGGCTTCTCAACTTTGCTGACATACCCTGTTGATCCATTAGAGGCCCTCACAGCAAAGCATCATGACCGATCTGCCTTCGCTTCCGAGCGAGATTTTGATCTCAATAGCCCGCCTGCTTGAAGATCAGCAGGATCGGCTTGCCCTAGCGAGCTGCTGCCGCCATTTTCGGGCTCTCTTGCTACCAGAGGCCCTTGCATCAATTGAGCTCCGATCCGGCTGCATCACATCTTTGAGTTGTCTTGTCCAGCTTCTAGCCCATAATCCTACATTAGGTGCCGCTGTCAGGTCACTCTCGTGGGATACGGATTCTTGTGAGCATCCGCAAAAGTTGCAGTTTGACCACGATCTCATTTCGGCTACCCTTGCGCACCTTGCAGACACCGACGAGGATCTCGCGAAGTGGCGAGATGATCTACAAAACAGATTTGAGAACGAGCGGTCCAAGAGCCAAGAAGACGCGTGGTGGGCTATTCTACTGACGCTTGTGCCGAATCTGGAGAGACTCGGGATGCGATGGGAGGGTCCGGCCGACCGTCGGGCAGAGATTATGAGGAGGGCTCTTCGTCATGAAAAGCCGTTCGATAGTCGACCGGCTTTCACCAGACTCGAATTCGTCGAGATCCGCAGACCGAATGAAAGCCCAATGATACTCTCCGACCTCTTGCCGTTTTTCAAGATCCCATCGGTACGGACAGTCTTATGTGACGGTATCGTTGATTGGGCCCAAGACGAGCAGAGGGGTGCAATTCAAGAGCTTGGTCGCTCCTCCAACGTTAGGGACCTGGCTCTTCTTGCTAGCAACTCTCACACTGGGTTCTCTTCGGTCATCCTGGCATGTGCAAGGCTTGAGACGTTTCTCTGCGCGAATACTATGTACGCCGAACAAGGCAAGCTGTGGAATCCTTCCGCCGCTTGGAGGGCGCTCGTTGCTCATAAGGACACCCTGAAAACAATCCACGTTTATAACGAAACGGCATATGGTGGTAGCTTTGGGCCAGAGGCTAAAAGTTTCTTCGGGTCCATGGTCAATTTCAGCAAGCTGACAAAGCTTCGCCTTGACGCTATCAATGTTCTCGACTGGGACGTGGAAACCCGGCTGGCAAAAAATAATCTTTCTGATGTCTTGCCCCCAACAATTGTGTTCTTGGAGATTTACGAGTTCCATGAATGCCCCAACATAGAACAGCTTGCTGAGCAGCTGGAAACCACGATGAGGAATGTTCCGTCGAAATTGAAATATCTAGGGCTCAGTGGATTCTTCTGCGAGCCGACTTGGAGCGGTGACCCGCAGAATGAACAGTGTCTCCGACCTAGGATCAGAGCTATCGCTGCTACTCTCGATGCTGCCGCCCAAGCCACCGGAGTTTGGTTTCAACTGTCTACTTGGAGTTTGGATGACCCTAGTCCTGGATGGGGTGTTGGCATACCACCGATGTCTTATCGTGCCTTGGTGCCCGGGAAATCCACGCCGCCGACTGCCGAGCTGCCAGCGCCTAATCTCATAATGCGTATCATGGGCCTCATGATGAACCTTGGGTCGGTTCTTCTCAATCGGTGAAGAGTTCTGGCTTCCACGATACTCCTATTTCGGAGTAATCGGTAATGTTTGAGTCTCTGGCTGTGGTGCGCCTTTCCTGTGCCCGGTTTCTTACCCCACAGACTTTCTATTAAAGGCGTTCTTACGGTACCAAGTTAGGTAGCGCTTTCAAAAAAAAAAAATTCCGAGGTTGCTGGATATGACATTGGGCGTTATGTTGAACGACGGTCACTCAGAAAATGTAACAAGCCTGGTCGTGTTAATCCGCATAGTACTTTGATCTCACGGATAATAGTTGCTCGAAATCAATTTATGATTCCATTCTTCGTACATACCGCGACCGGCAAAAAGAGAATAGTCATATACCAACAAACAGGATCCCTTCAGGAAGGTATGGACACATTTTTCTACTTGTCTTCCACGAATCAGTTTCACTGCAAGGTCCTTTTGCCGGTTCTGTAGCATCTTTAGATCTTGCTCACTTGGAGGCATTCCTATTTCCAGCAATATATCCACCATTGCAATTTGACCAGAGCAACAAGCCATCCCACCAATGTCCACTGCTGGCCCGGTGAAGGTTCCAGACGCGCCCCAGGAGACGCAAAAACACATTTCCCTTCTCTACTGCCTTCAAAGGCGCCAAATAAGCGTCCACTCCGTGACTATCTGCCCCATAACCAAGCAGCAGGCGAACGATGGGCTTGCTAAAGTCCACGTAGCGAACTGCTAGCAGCAACGCTGTTTCTGTCCCCTTCGGCCAGCGGAGCCCCGGCGGCGGCAACTTTGATATTGGGTCGGCCCCGTTTTGCAGCAGAATTCGAACGGCGGCTGACTGCAACAGTGGCTGCAACAAGCAATGCAATCGAGTCATAATTGCTTTCTCTGCCGTCGATATCGGCGCCCCTGGAAAGCGCGTAGTGGATCCATTTGATGTGACCTTCACCGGATGATGCTGCCAAGAGGAGTCTTTGCAGGCCCTGCTTCATGTACTCGGGCGAATGTCTTTCCAGGCACTCGAGTCACGTCCGAAGGCATTTCTTGACAGTAAGTCCGCACCTCGGGAAATCAGAAGGCGAACAGCAGGGACATAATTATTCTGTGCTGCAATAAAGATTGGACTGCATCCTTTGCGACCCTTGTACTCGATATCAGCGCCATGTTGAAGAAGCAAGTCTATGAAGTCCCCCCTCAAAAGGCAGCCACATGCGAGATGGACGAAGTCGAAGACGAGCCCACCCTATTTTGGGTCCTTTACCAATTTCGATGGAAAGTGGCCGGCTCGCGGCTAGTGGCAGTATTTATGCCAAAATCACCGATAGCTAGTCCCTAACTAAGCCACAGCTGGTATGGTACGAGCTTGTCCCTTCTGCCGTCATAAAATCGAAGAAGGAGGAATATTATTAAGGTTCCAGAGTTGCTGTGGGCAACCGTATCAACTGATCCGCTGCTGCGCCCCTCGAAGCTCTAGTACTGATAAAGATGTCTCTATCATTCCTAAACTGCTCAAGACCCTAACCCACCGTCTATGATCAGTTCAAAGGCCGAGCCTATCTTCGTGTGCTATAATGCTATCGTGAACACAACAAAGAGGAGGATGTGCCGCTTCCTGGGTGAGGCCAGCAAAGGGGAAAACAAGCAATACAATGCTTTGTGCGGTATTAATACCTTGATAAGATACCATATAAACAGCACAGAGAAGGCGCTGACCTTCAAAGTAAATAGCCCGATTTACAATCAAGTGCTATAGGAGGTACTTGGTACACAGGCTTAGTAGAACCGCGGAAATCACCTCCGTGGTTTGTCTGCAACTTCTTCTCATTACTTCCTCCCCCAACTGCTCTGACATCGCCATGGAGCTTAAAGGTCCCTCAATCCGCACGGCCGTCCGAAACTCCTGCAAAGCCAACGCTGCCCGCCTCATTGAGCTGTTGAAGTCCCAGCCCGATCCTTATGTTGACGTCGATACCCTTCCGCCCGGTCTTGTCTTCATCCAAAGTTTCAACCCGGAAGACGCTCACGATGTTATCTCGCCTACCTGGTACTTTCCTCCTATCCCCGCGGCGTCTCTTGCCAAATGGCCGATCAACCCCTCCTACTATTATAATCGCGAGACCCTTGACCTGATGCTGGTTGATTATGACCCAGACGAGCCTATTCCCGTCGGCCACAATTACCCTTCTTGTGCCGCTGATCGTGCTCGTGAACTCATGCAAGACATGACAGGACTTTTTGCAACGACCAGGCGAAAGATCAAGATGAGCCTGATTGAGAGAACAAATTGGGAAAAGGTGCTGTATGATATGCCTCCCTCCTTTTTTCTGCGACCAAATCCCTTTCCAATGATCTAAAAGAGGGTATTTTTGGCAGGCCTTCTGGAAATTCCTTCTTGTCTCGATTGTCCCTGCTAGTCAATGATTGTGGTCCTGTCTCATGGTCTTCAGCTTGTTATGAGAACGTCTCCAACGCCAACAATACATCCCCACACATCATCCTGACCACAAGCCAGGAGTTCGACTCGTCCCCCGAGAACCATCTTTTTGTCGGGGAGTTAGCTCCCATCATATCAGCAATATCTAACAGGTTAGAGCAACCCGAGTTTCAGGATATGACATATTTTCCTGTACGTATTCATTTCCTATACACCCTATATCATGCTCCCCGAAATTGAACGTCGCTAACGAAAACGTCTTAGTACAACCAGGCTTTGCAGCTCTCCTTCTCAGGTCCTCAAAGCGGCCGCATTCTGCAGTGGTGCAATACGAGCAAGGGGACATTCGAAATCAAACAGTCCGCGCTATATAGCTTCGAGAAAGCCGGGGCTGCGCCATGAGACTTATTTCTTAGATTCTTCGCTAGTACACCGCGTCCGCATCCTGATAACGCGGTTACAGATGGATAAGGTCGCGAATTACTGAGGATAGCACAGGGCTGAAGGTAGGAAATGACTCAGAAAGTCAGCCATGTTATATAGAGACATTTGAATTTTGAGATTATACCCGTATAATTAGATTTGGCCAGAGTGGGTGGTAGTAGTAGTAGTAGTAATATTTAACGCCCCGGGGATTGCTAGGCGTACGCCTAATGTTCTAGACCTTCCTTAGGGTATAAGGGCGTGCTACTACTAGGTAAGTAGCTTATTTAAATAAGTTTATATATATATATAAAAAGGCTTTTATTTTAAAAGGCAATTTTTATTAAAGCTTATAAGCTAGGCGCCTGTTTTTTACTTATTATTTTAATATATAGCTATTAATAGGTATTATTTATTATATATTTAAAAGTTTAATTATAGTAGTTTACAGGGTCCAGCCTTTATATAAAAAAAATATATTAAATAAACTAATTATATTAAAAAAAGGTATTTAAAATAAAAAAAAAAAGCATAATATAAAAAAAAATAAGGTTATTTAATACTAGGTTAAATAATTTTAATATAAAAATTACTAGGGCGCGGGAAACCCTAGCACAGGTAAATAAACTTATAAAAGTTTATAATTTTAAATAAAAATATAAAGCCTTTAGGCTTTAATTTATAAAGGTACTTTAAGGCCTTAGTTTTAATTATTAATAATATTATAAGGCGCTAGGGCTATTATTAAAATTATTACTTAAAATAATAATAAAAAATTAGGTATTTAAGGCTTTTATTTTTCCTGTAAAAATAAGTAAGCTTAATATTTTTATACTAAAAATATTTATAATATTATTTAAAGTTTTTATATAAAAACCTAAGTACTAGCTAGTAATATAAGATTAAGTATTTTAATATAAGCTTTATTTATAACTTAACTTAGTAAGGCTTTAACTTTATAAGCTATTATTTATACTAAGTTAATAATTTTATAAAAATATCTTTTTATTACTTAGCTTAAGTAATCTAGTATATTTATTTATATAAATTATATATCTTACTTATAATAAACTATACCTTAAAAAAATTAATATTTAAGGGCTATGCCTTTATAAAGACTGCCTTTTTAACTAGCTTATTAACTAGCTTATTACCTTTAATATTTATATAATTAAAAAATTATTATAAGTAAATTATATATTAATTTATAAGCTAGTATAATACCTAAAAAACCTAATTTAAAAATAATAAAAATTACCCACGCGCGCACTAAACTACTAAAATATTATTAATATAAAGCTAATAATAAGGTGTTTTAAAAAGCTTTTTAATTATTATTTTTAATTTTTAAAGTATATTAATAGCCTTAGTATTATATATATAAAATTAGGCATTAATTATTAATAATTTTTATATTTAAAAATATTATTTATAGTATATTATAAAGCTATAGCCTATATAATAAACCCTTTAATATATTTACTTTAAGTTATTATTAAAAATTATTACCTTTATTATTAGTAGCACTTGCTATTATTATTTAAACTTTATTATAATTAGCTTTTTAGCCTTGCTATTAATAGGATTTTTTAAGTATTTTTAAAAATAATAAAAATATACTAAAACTAGCTTAAAAGTTTTTAAAAAAAGCACTTTTATTATTTATATTTTTATTTTAGGCCTTTAGTATATACTAACACCTTAATTATATAAGATTTTTAATAATATTACTTATATTATTAGTAAATTTTAGTTATTAACTAGCCTTAGCCTTAAAATAAAATATAGTTATATTATTTTTAATATTATTATTATAAAAAAAAGCCTAGTATTTTTAAAAAAAATATTATAAATATTATTTAAAAAACTAAAAGTATACCGCGAGTAGCTAATATTAAGGTTTTTTTAATTATTTTAATATACTAGCCTAGTTAAGTACTAACTTTTAAATTTTATATATATTTTTTAGGCTTAGTTTTACTACTATACCATGCCTTTATATTATATAAAAGGCTAAAAATAATATAAGTAATAACTACCTTATAAAAAAAGTTTATAAGTAAATTATATATTATATATATTAAATTATAAATATATTAAGCTATTGCACGGGCTTTAACTACCCTTTTAATAATATATTAATATTAAAAAAGTTATTTATTAAAAAAAATATTTAATTAATATAATACAGGCTATTTTTAGCCTAGTACTATAATAATAAAAATAATTATTAATTAATTATTAACTACTAACAAGGGTAATTTACCATGCTATTTTTAGGTAATATATAATATTTTTAGCTTTTTAAATATAAAGGCTATTTTATTTTATTTTCCCTAGGCTAGCATGCTATAAATATTTTTTATTAAAAGCTTATAATTTATATAAAAAAAGTTACTTGCGTGGCTAAAATAAAAGTTATTTATATAATTAAAGTATAAAATTAGGTTTACTAGTAATAGCTTAGTAATATATAATAAAAATAATATTAAAAAAAATAATTTTTATAATATATTATAATATACTAGGTGTGCTATAATTATAATAAATTTTAGGTATACTTTTATATTTTATTTATTAAAAAAACTTATAATTAAGGCTAAAAGCACGCAAGGCCAGCCTTACTTTATTATTTATTAAAATAGGTATTATAATAAAATAATATTAAAGGTACCTAAAATATTTATAATAATTATAATAACTTTTTAGTTTTATAAAAGTGCTATTTTTATATTATAAGTAAAAAAAGCTATTAAATTTATAATTAAGTACTTAAATAAAGTATTATATTATTATAAGCTTAATATTTTTTATACTAGCATGGTAAAGGTAATATAGCGTGCTATAATTTATTTAAGTTTTTTTTTTAATATTAAAAGTAATATTATAAGGCGCTAAAATTAAGGTAAAAACTTATTTTTTTTTATTATTTTTTAAAAATATTACTACCTTTATAAGCTTTTATAATAAAAAAAATATTCTAGCTATAAGTATTAATTATATAGCTTATATATAGCCTACTTAACATGCTTTTAGCAGGCCTTTAAAATACAGACTATTACTTAGTTTACTTTGGGAAAGGTGCTGCTTATATTAATAATATTCTTCTTAACCTTTTTTAGCAAGATCTCTCCCGGCTAGTAAAGGTGCTCATCTCCCTGCCAGTGCTCTGGTGCTAGGGGATCAAAGTCCAGATTGTTGTCCGCGCTGAAACGCTCCAGCACTACCTTCCAGAGTGGGTGGGGAAGGGCGACAGGATTCAATGTCCTTTTGGAGGGCGGTTGTTAATGCGGCGTCCAAAGAATATGATGACATTGGAAGGAGGGATCAGGGCAAAGGTCACTGTAGAGAGAGGATTTAGTATCTTGTAGAGTTGTCTGACTTGCCCCAAAGACCTGGCCAGGGTCGTGTGTTGCTTTCCAGTCCAGAATTTGAAATGTCATTTTTCTTTGGACTCACCAATACGTTTTCGCTGTACACCAACCTTTCTTCCACAGCGCCTTTCTTCCACACTTCACATCCCTCCACCACAATGGACTCCTCCCTTCGGGACAGAGCTCTCATACTCGCACTTCCAAATGAACTCCTTCAATTGACTTTCAGGTACCTGACCGTGGCCAACAAAGCTAATATTGCCCGGGCCTGTCGTCTTTTTCACTTGCTTGTGTTGCCTCAACTTTATCACACTATTGCCCTCCGAACCATTGACGTTGAGCGGCTAGATCGGCTCTACTACACCTTTCAAAACAATGGCTCGCTGCTTGACCACTGCAGGTCCTTCTCGCTGAGGATACTCGAAAACGAGCACACAGATCTCTCAAGATTGTGGCGCTTGAATAAAGTTATGGTGTCTGGGCTCCATAATGTGGAATCTTTTTCGCTACATCATGAGGAGTTCCGGGAAGATAACGAGTTGGCATTTTGGGTACACGCTAGGTACGCCGTTCGGCACCTGCAATCTCTCCATACCCTGCGCCTGTCGAGGGGCTTGAATACTCTCCGTCTTTGCCATATTATGAGCGCGCTTGACGACATACAATGCCCTCTTCAAACCCTTGTTCTTGCTGGAGTTGGTGAAACATGGGATGACTATGAAGGATACTTCGAGGTAAGTGCTGAATGCCAGAACATAATCCGTTGCACTAGGCTGATATCATCAATGCACCAGAGCAAAAGGACCGCGCCATTCACCTCCTTGGAACTGCACAACTACGTAGATCCGGAGACATTCGATCATCTAATCAACTGGCCACAGTCGCTTATCATCTTTCGTTTCGTTTACAAAGGTCTGGTCCATGATAGCACCATCCTGCCCATGATTCTTAAAGGGCTCTCAGTCCACCGCGAGACGTTGAAAGAGATAGATATTAGATCTCTACGCATAAGAAAACGAGGATCACTTGACTTGTCCAAATTCTCGGCTTTAAGGACTTTGACGCTTCCGCAAGCAGCGATTCGTTGTTCAGACGGCCTGGCAGCCTTCGATGATATACGCGTGCTCCTTCCTTCAAACTTACTTACGTTCCGGCTCGACTACGCAATAGACGATAGGCATGATGAGAGCGCTAAGGATTTCGGCGAAAACGAGGAGCAGGTCATTCGAACTTTGGCCCTAGCGGCGGTAACAGCAAAAGCGGCACTACGTACCATTGAAATCGAGTTCATCCCGTCACTCTCAAAATGCAAGGTGGAGGATGGCTACCCGTGGGATCGCATGAATCGAATCAAGGAGGAAATGGAGCCACATGGAATACGAGTAGTGTGCCCAAAGCCCCCTTTGCCGAAGGAGGAGTGGTTGTTGGCAGTGGCAGCAGGCAATCGTTAAACACTGCTCAAATTCTTTGGGGTTGGTCGGCGATTGGGATCATCATAGGGTCTTTCCGGTTAGATGTTGCAGGAGGGCGATGGCACTGGCATTGGAACTGGAACTTGAATTTCACAGGGCCTGCGAGCTGGTTGCACATGGTACTGGATTGCTTATTTATCGTTCTTGCACCCTCATACATCAACTTGGTCATCTAGCTTAGGCGTACGTACACTCTAACAGGTTACAAAAAACCGGGCTCATAACCAACATCGCCTTGGGACTGACCCTACCCATCTCCTAGTCGCAGGTTCAACCCCGAGGCGAAGCCAGAATAATCGATCTCGGGAAGGGAATAACCAAAGTGGGAAACCCTAACAGGCCCCGCCTGGTACAAGAGACTAGCAACCTTCTGTCAGGATCCCAGGGGGTGACCAATGTTTTTCTTTTCCTTTTTCATGTGCTCAAACCATAGGTAGACTGGGGAGTTCGTAAACTTGAGCGAGAGAAGCCCCAGGACAGATTTTGGTCTTTGGGTTTTTCGGATCTGTTTTGCGTTTTGGGATACCTAAGATTCGAAGACCAACCTCCCTAGTGTGGCTAACTTTGCCGTACATCACTGGTAATTACTGCGCCGTGACCGTGTGCGAAAACCAACACTTGGTGAAATATCCTGTTCAAAGCACTCGAATTAGGTGTTGATTATGCATGGCGAACAGGCAGCAAACTTGCCTTTCTTGCGGCAAACTTCTGCAGGATAGTCTGGAGCTGGTATCTCCCCGGCTCACTGAACCCTGGAAAGTTTCTGTGCCCGGTTTATAAAGCTCGTTGCGGGGGAGAATCCGGGGGATTAGGATGATCAGGGCGCGATATAGTAGGCACTCAGCCCAAGACGCATTAAGGTCGCGGTCGAGGTAGGTCACAGCTTCAGTTCCCAGAATGCTCTCGGCCGGATCTTGATATTTCTGGCATGAGAAAGGACAAGAAGATAATGAGATGCCGTTTCACCATATATGTAGTGGGAATTTTGCATAAGACCGGATTCTAGGCTCCTGAAATTGAATGACCTGCGCAATAAGCTATCAGGTTGAGGGTATTTTTCAAGTGTCAAGTTGTCCATGAACTTGACGCGTTTTCAGAGGAAGACGAAGTACGACGGCCGGCACAGGCTCTCTAGTTGTTCTCAATCTGATTAGCTATGCGTATCCAATCAAGAAAAAGATTTGCTGGAAGATGAGGTAGAGATGCTCTATGTCATACTGGGGAGACATCAGCCTGGACATTGGTCAACTATTAAGGCACAATTTCCCCTCAAACTATGTGGAAGGTAATTCATTGGAGCGGCTACGCCCTCACAGAAACCCATCAAGCCGCCAACGAACCTCCGAACCTGCGCGCTTGCAAAAGAAAGGTAGAGAATGTCTTCCTTTAAAATCACCCCCATCATGGCCTCAATCTTAGACGTCATGCAATGGTGTTTACGCAATGACAAGCCGCTTCAGCGGGTATTGTTCAGTGTTCGGTTATAGGGCCGATGCATCGCTGCTTCCATCCGACTTCATTGGCGTTGGTGTGTCTGTTGAGATCTCAAAAGCCGCTCGATGGTATCGTTGCGTTGGAACAGAGGGGGAAGTGCCCATGGTCCCTGAGAAGATGATTTGAATAAGATGTTATTGATCTGTCCAACAAATTGTGTAGACATTGTACGGAACAGTTGTTTCCCACTGGCATACCTCTTTTCTGGAAAGGTCCGTTGTCTCCGGTCAGGGACTCAGTAGGCAGTGCTTATAAATAGAGACAAGAGCAAGTCAGGAACACTTTAAGTAAAGGTCATGAAAGATTCTCTCAGTAAACTGATGGTGGGAATAAGGAGGATTGATTCTCTCAGAATGTTTGTGTCATGTGATGGAAGAACACCACTCACTCTATCCCTCCTTCCTATTTTTCCTCCTACCTCTGTCCTTCATCTTTTCTATTCTCTTCTGTCTCGTCGAGTGACACCTGGTTGTTCTCCCAGTCATGCACTCCGGCTGGTTTCTCTTTTGCTGGCCGCCCCGTTATACCTACAGATTCAGAATGCTAGAAGAACAAACGCCCGCTCAAGCAGCAATTTTCTGGCTTCCAGTCGAGCTTCTCCACGAGATCTTAGAACTGGCTGCGTTGCATCCCCTTCCTCACCGTCGCTTCTGGGGCCGTCTCAATAAGGCCACGATCAAAACGCTTACCCTCGTGTGTCGCCTGTTCAGAACAATAGCCCAGCCACTGATGGTGCACAACATTGGCGCATCCCACCGGAATATAGCAGAATTGCTGATCTTGGGGAAATCCAATCCGTCTCTTCTCCGGAACCATTGCAGGGACCTTTCCATGACTCTTTCAGAAGACATGAAGGACAAGGAATACATAGCCCAACTAAAGGAACTCGTCTCACAACTACACGCAGTCCGTAGCCTTTGCCTCTGGGGCTTAGGTCAGGAGCCACCAGTGGGTTGGACTGTGATTCCAACGGCTCTGCACAATATGCCCCGGCTAGAGGTACTAAGTTTGGGGGGGTGGTCCCAACGGCGTTTATCTGCGTGATGTCGCGCAGTACATTTCCAACGTTACTTCACTTCGCACTCTAGACCTACAAAACATTGAGCGTCCACAGGCCCAGGGTCCCGACGAAAACTCTTTTCTGGACACGATGGTTTGTAACAACAGTCTTTGGCGGCCGCCCTATTCACAGAAGCTAACAAGTGTCTAGAGCTTACAATCCGCGCCAATTATCTCGCCAAGACTTTCCGTTTACGAAGAGACGTCTGAGGCCTTGGAAAGACTTATCAAATGGCCGAAGTCACTAATCAAGTTTGGTTTGAAGGAGGTGGACATTCATGACCTCAGCGTGGACCTTCCAACGTTGACCTCCTGGCTCCATATGCACAAAGATAGCTTGGAGGAAATGGAAACCGGACCCCTTTCCTTCTCCGGCACGCGACTCTTATTCGATGCGACCGCCTTCGTGCACCTGAAACGATTGACGCTGTCGTGGTGGCAAGTCTGCGGATACAAGGAACAGAGGCACGAAGACCTGCGGTTCAGACAAGAAGTAGCAGATCTCCTACTTGCCCCGTCCCTAATAACTATAGTGTTTGACTTTCAAGTCGAGCGTGAAGGACTTCCCGACTGGCCTGATTTTCAAGAACCAGAAGAACGTTGGCTGCGCCAACTCGCTCGGGCAGCGATATCCAAGAAGGCTGCGCTGCGGACGATTGGAATCATATTTTATCCTAGTCTCGACGGAGATCTGAGAAAGGAGTACGGGTATCCCTGGGATTGCATGTATCGACTCGACAACTTGATCAGCAAACGCGGGATGTCTATTGGGCATACGGAGCCTCCGGTGCCAGAGTCGGTTTGGTTAAATCTGGTCCATGTTCACAATGTTAGTTCTCCAGATGATGACTCCGAATACGATTCTGCGGGTTATGATTTCACGGACTATGATTCAGTCATTTATGACTCGCAGGGAAACGAAGTCGACTACGACTCAGATCTGAATACGGTGCATCTGGGCGATTCAGTCGTGTACGATTCGCATGGGATGGAAACGAGATCGACTACGATTCAGATGGGAATACGGTGTATGTGGATGATTGATTCGGACATGTCCGGCTCCGAGAGAAACGATGGTAATGCAGAATGAAGGGCTCGTGTCACGATGGTTGCTGCGGAGTTGAAGACAGTTTCTGACCCCATGACGTATTGTGTCGAGTAGCGCTAATGTCCCTATTGATATCTATGAAACCATACAGGTTGACTGTACCTTAGCAACGCAGATTTGACGATAAGTGCCCCAGATTAACCCCGAAGTTAACCACGAATATCACACGCTATGGAAAGAAACCCGATAGTTGACATTCTTGCATACCAATCATGTTGACCGAGGCCATTTGACACCAACAGACCTCAGCAGCTGGTAGACGGGTTTTAGGACATGGATCGTCTGACCATATTGTGCTTCTACCTCTCATAAGGGTATAGCCCTATGACGAGTGTGACTGATTGCCAGTGAAGATGAATAGCCCAGGACATAAAGTCATAGGGATGGTGATTTTTGAAGCGGCCAGTGGCCCTCAATATATGTTCCCAGTGAATGAAGCATTCACTGAACGCGTAGTAGTCTATATAAGACGCAACCTTCCCTCAATCGCAGTACTTTCTTTTTTTTCTTTTCATCCCTCTCATCTTCCCAACTATTCTTAATCCACTCCCCATTCCTCACCCCTCATCCTATTGTGGTTACATCAAGATGTTGCCCGATCTACCTATCCACCAGCGAGGGCTGCTGGAGCTTCCAGTTGAAATCCTCCAGCTGAATCTGGACTATCTCCCTGCAGATCCTGATCCGTCTGCAGCCAACTTCGGCTCCCGCAAATACTCTGACCTCAAGAATGTTGCCTTGACCTGCCGCCTATTCAATGAACTTGCAAAGGCCCTGCTGTTGCGACATCTCGTTCTGGATTCACACCAGCTAGCCATTCTTTGGCAGAAACAGAAACAAAACCCAGTGCTACTCCAGAAAAAGTGCCGGAGCGTGCACTTCCATTTGGGGCGTGCGAGTTATTTAGACTGTCACTTATTCACAGGGCCCGCGACTCACGAAGTCGGACAATTCTTTTCGAGGGCAAGAGAACTGATAAAGAACGTGCCTAACGCGAAGTCGTTGTGCATCACGGAGATCTTCCATTTTCCTATCTTTAGCTGGAATTTGATTGAGTTTGCTCTGAAGCATATGCCTTCTCTTGAGACTCTCTCCATTGGCCAAGGTCATCTCGGTATATCTCTGACGGATGTCCTGCTGCTAGAAATCAACAATAGCAAGAGCCCGGCGCTGAAAAACTTGGAACTTTTCAATATTCAAAATCAACGAACATCCAGAGTTCCTTTGTCTTACCTACAGCGGCCTGCACTTGTCCCAGTCCAAACCCAGAACTGGCCCATTTACCTCGCTGCGCCTGTACGAGTTCCAGGGCACGGCGACCACGCTATAAGGTGGCCTGAATCACTGGTTGATTTCACACTCACCAACTACGAGCAAGATGAGTACCAACAAGAGTACCACCTCGACCTCCCCGGAATCTGCAGCATGCTCGCAAACAACCACATGGATACTCTCAAGGCAATCAAGCTCGGACGTCTCCACTCCAACGGCGAGGGCGCTCTTTTCAACGCATCCATCTTCTCACAACTCGAGTCTCTCTCCCAATTATTCTGGCAGGTATTCGGGTACGCCGGCTTCCCCAAATACACGCACGAGATGGGGAACAACTTCTTTGCGCCGAAGCTGCGTGTCATTGAACTGGACTTCATTAAGGAAGAAGCCTTTGATGACTGGACGACTTCCGAGTACCGCGCGATATGTGGCTTAGCTCCTTTGCGCGGGATGCCATTGCGCGCCAGTCTGCTCTCGAGAAAATTCGTATCATACTCCCTGTCATGCCGGTCAAGCTGCGAAGCAAGATTGCGAGGTCTGGCTGTGGGTCTCGCTGTGGCTTCCTGTGGAATCGGCTCATTCGGCTTAATAGGGAGATGAAGATGTATGGGCTGTCTGTGATTTACAATGCCTGTGAAGGGGCTTGAACTTTGTACTTTGCATGCATCTTAGTTCCTTTCGAAATGCTATCTAAGTTTTGGACAATTGATTCTTGTTCCTTTCGTTTCTCTGGTAACGTATTGGTGTGTTGGGAACAGCATAATGAACAGTTTGAGATATTGAGCCTGTCGGCACAGCACTTTGTTGGAATGGTAATGCATTTTGTTACCGTACCTACTGTTTGTTGCAAAGTACTTTTCACACAAAGTGTTTGAGGCATCCCTGCAAGAGCATAGGTATATTTAACCGACCCCTTACCTTACCTGCTGCCCAAGCCCATGCACCGATTGCCTGTGCCTGCCCCACCGTTCGTCAACCCCGCATTGTGGCTTCTTCCTTCCCCCGCGTCCCTTTCTCTCTCCATCTCCAGACTCTCACCATCATCATCCATACCACAATCAACCTCACGATGTCCAAGACAGCCAGTCCCCCCTGCCAAGTCATCGGCACCGCATTCATCACCGGCGGCGCCTCTGGTACTTAGTCCCCTCCCCTCCTCAACTCCCTCCACCACTAAACCACCACAGGAATCGGCAAATCCATCGCCCACGCCTACGCCCAAAACGGCATCTCAGCCCTCGCCCTCGCAGACATCAGCCTCGCCTCCCTAGAGACAACCAACTCCGAGCTCCGTGCGCAATACCCACAAGTGCAGGTCTTAATTTACGCCGTCGACGTAACAAACGAAGACGAAATCGCCTGCGCCGTACAATCCGCAGCGGAAAAGTTCGGACGCATCGACATCTCGATCCACGGCGCCGGAATCGGCGGTGTCTCTTCGCCGACACATGAACTCAGCCTGAAGGACTGGCAGAAGGTCATCGACGTCAACCAGACGGGCGTTATGCTCTGCGATAAGTGGGTCATTCGCCAGATGCTGGGGCAGGATCTGCTGCCGGGGTATCAGGGGCGCGGGATCATCGTGAACATCTCGAGTATTTATGGTGTTGCCGCGCCGCATGGACGCATGGGGATTGCGGCGTATACGGCTGCGAAGCACGGTGTGTCTTGGTATTTATCTTGCATGGTGTGTTCCGAGCTGATTGGCCTTTCTTAGCTGTTATTGGCTTGACGAGATTTGTACGATTTTTTCCTTGTGTAGGGTCTACCCGCGGGCTCTAATAAATTGAAACAGGACGCGAAAGCTTACGCCAAAGATGGCATCCGGATCAACGCCATCTGCCCTGGGTGAGTTCGTCCCTTCTCCCAAGCACACGATTAACGATTCCCGCCACGGCACGCACTTTTCCTATATGGAAGGATGGTGGCGTACTAATCCATGTCCAAGATTCGTCGATACCCCTCTCACTCATGCTACCATCGAAGAAGGTATGCTCTACCCCGAGATCGAGAACACTGCGCTGAAGCGACCCGCCACACCTGACGAGATTGCGAACGCCGTGCTATTCTTGACATCAAGGATGGGGAGTTATATGTGTGCGGGTGTTTTGGTTGTCGATGGTGGAACTACGGCGTAGATGGGTGTGTTTTGGATTTGGAGGCTGAGCTGGGCGAGCCGTGGTTTGACTCCGGCTGGAGTGTACGGAGTACACATTTGAGACAGCTATTATGGTAGCATTGATGTACAAGATCTTCAAAGGGTATCATCTTTATATGCAATACTCTGAAGGCGGGCAAAATATATACAGAGCATATATAACAAGTCAGAACATATACGAAGAAAGCCCTCAAAGCCACTGAGTGACTTCATCCCCCTGGTCCTCCTCCTCCTCGTCATCTCCGCGGCGGTATCTTCGCCTGCGGTACCGTCTGCTTCCACCAGCTTCCTTCTCACCAACAGCCAACCTCTTCGCAACCTCATTCGCATCAAACAGACTAACAAGCTTCCTCTTCTGGCCTTGTTGCTGCTGTCCCGCCTCGGTGCAAATCTTATGCGCATCCCGTTCCGCCCACGTCTTCGCGTATGGATTGACAGGTGCAGACTTGTCCTTCTTAACAAAGTCACACGACAATTTACTCAGAATACCGCAACTACCAAGGTCCGTATTCTGATACGAATAGTGGTGACGATTCGCGTTCGGCGCAATGGGCGGGTCGGACGTCATCTTCGCGATCCATTTGTTCTCCGCGAGCTCGGCGGGTGTGGTTCCCACTGCGTTCTCGCGATAAAGCAGATCAGGGCGGCGGTTGAGGAATTCTTTGAGGGCCACGCATTCTAGGCTGTTCACGGCCGTGTGAATGGCCATGTTTCCCGAACCATCGAGAAGCTCGAGGTGCTTCTGGCCGGTTGGTTCGGCGAGGTCGAGGATTGTGTGGAGGGTGTGTTCGGCTTTCGAGTCGTTGTGGTGGCTGCGCGTCATCCAGAGGGCGAGTGGGGTAAGAGAGCCTTGGTGTGACGAGCAGCGTTCTGTGAGCATTGAGGGGAGGAGGCGCGGGTCAATCAAGCTGAGCATATCGGATAGCGAGACATCCTTGTCGGTTCGTTTGGGCGAGATGGCCAGATGGACGAGGTTCATGCCGTCTTTGCAGCGAACGGTTTGATCTGCACCGGCGGCGATGAGGAGTTTTGCTATGGCCAGGTTGTGTGTTTGGAAGGCGAGGCCGAGTGGTGTGTAGTCGTCTAGAGACTTCACTTCCAGGAACTGCGGCATGGTCTTGATGAGGTACTCAACTAGGGCGATAGAGTCGGAGGTCTTGTTGTGGCATAGGATGGCGGCGTGCAGAACCAGGTCGCCTGTAACGCCCTCGTTAGTATGTACAGAGAGAGAAAATCTGGGAACTTACGTCTCGAGCTTAGCCACTCCAAAATCGACTGTTCCGCCCCCTTCGCCGACATGGAGAGCTTCTTAAACCTCGGATCTTTTCTATGAGTGCTGGCGAACTCCGTATAATACCGTCCAGGGGCAGTTCCCAAGAACCACTCAACAACAGCTAGGTTTCCTTCCCTCGCGGCAAGCAGAAGTGGGGGACTCATGTCTATGGCTTGCGTCTCCGGCATACCTCCGCCAGCAGCAGCCCAGTCAGCGCGCTTCTTTCCATGTACTGAAAGACCCTGGTAGTACTTCGGCTTCTCCTTGACTTCGACGCCGCTCTTTTCGGCGAGCTTGTCAATAGGAAGACCGGCACCAGTGCGCTTGATCATCTCTTCTAGCAGCTGGAGGTGCCCGAGTCTCATGGCCATAACAAAGATATGGTGTGGGATGCTGTAAATCGCCGAGTTATGCTCGTCCTTCTTTCTAGCCGTGAGCTCCTGTCCCACCATGATCAGGAACTTGAGAAGCTCAATGTTGCCATTTCGGACGGCGAACTCCAAAAGGCTCATATTCTGATGTCCGTTCTCTGGTGTTTCGACAATAAACGACTTGAGATCGCACCTGTAATTGAGGATCGTTTCTGGGGAAATCTTGCTCTCAACCTGGTTCTTTGTCTCGCCAATATCTTCGACCGTGAATCGGTCATCGATAACATGCGAGTCGAGTTCGATATCCTCCGACTCTGCGTCAGAATCATCGTCAACCTCTGCGATCCGGTATCGGATGTTCTTCTGTTGATCATCGGGTTTATATTGAGCAATCGATATGGCAAGAATGGTTTTGGCAGCTTCGTAGTGGCCTCGAATAGCCGCAAGCGTGAATGCCGAGTAATTACCGAAATCCGTGACTCCAATCTCAAGAGGCGGGTGCTGCTTGTCCGGTCCCCAATTTGACAGCGTGAGCGACTTGATAGTTTCCACGTCTCCAGCCCAGGCGGCCTCGAATCTAAAGGGTGATTAGTGCTTGCTGTATACCTAGGGAAAGACGACTTACAGTTGCAAGAATCCCTCCTTCATATCGTCCGTGCAGAACTTCGCATTGAAGCCGAAGCGAGTCGTGTAAGGCTCCAGCTGGGGACTGCGGTATGATCGGGGGTGCCGGGAGTTATTGCGGGGTGCCTCGATATCTGGGTGCAGCTGCTTGAAAGTCTTTGCTCCTCTGGAGAGCAGGTCGGCCTCAAGCTGCTCGTACTCCTTTAGTAGAGCTTCAACTGCGGTCTTCTTCTTTGTGAGGCCCTGGCAGTTCTCCTTATGCCGAACGTCATTTTCGTACACCTCCTGGTCGTGCGCGAATCGATCCCTCTTTCGACGCAGCGACTCTTTTGCCGACCACATTTGGTAGGTACCGTCCTGTAGACCTTGGAGGTATTTAGTATCGTCGGGATCTAGCTCGGTGGGCTTTTGAGTGGTGACATTCTCGCCGTTGTACTCTCGTAGAGCCTTTACCTTTGCCTGTACGTAGTCGAGAAGCGAGGAGCCGGACCTGTCATTTCTGAAATACTCGTTTCTTACCACCCTGTAACCATCTTTGGTGAGTGTATTCGGGTCCACACCACGAGCGAGCAGCTCCATGGCAATGGCTGGCATGTCTTGCTGTATCGCAAGTATCACAGGCTGTGTGATGTTCTGCTCGAACTCTTTCTTGTGGTCCACTGTCGAAGGGTTCCAGTATTGAGGCATTCCACTCTCCAATGCTTTGGCGGCCTGGATATAATCGTCCAGGCTGATAGCTGGATTGGCGCCCGTTTCCAGGAGCTTCATGATCTTCGTTCGGTCCTTGACGGTGATAGCGTGCGTCAATGGTGATTCAGCAATGAAGTTGTAGTATGATCCTGTGGTCGAGAGGTGGTTGATCGCCCTGTTTACTGCTGGTAGATCGTATTGCTTGTAGATGTCCAGGAGCTCGTGACGGCCATAGTGGGCGAGATAGTGCAGAGCGGTCTTATGGTTGATGTCCGCTTGGGCGGGTGATGCGCCAACTTGGAGGAGTTTCTCAGTCATGGCCTTGGCGGCGTCGAGGGGGAGTCGCATGGCCAGGACCAGGGTGAGAATTGCGGCTCTGGGGGAGTTATTGTAACTGTTAACCAGCTTCACCGGGAGCAAGACGTCAGCTCCGAATGCGGTAACAAGTTCTTCGACTACATCAATATGGCCGTTAAGAATTGCCAGGTGGAGAGGCGAGGCTTTGTTATCCCAAGCCAAAACATTGATGTCGTAAACATCTGGGTCCAGATCGCCAGCATCATCGGGAACGACGGCTTTTTCGTCTTCTTGTTCCTTCGTGACTTTGACAAATGAGCCTGTTGTGTTCGAATGAGCGTATGCGTCTTCCTCATCTGATGAAGCATCAACCATTTCCTCGTCACTGTTCTCTCCTGAGACATCGTCTTCATTTGCCTTGTGTGCAGCCTTGCGAGCGTCTTCCTTCCTTGACTCCTCTTCCTCATTCTGTTCACTCTTGGTCAGAAGAATGCGAACAATTTCAACACTACCTCGCGCAGCCGCCAGATGCAACGCGGTGCGTCCATCTGCAACTCGAGCGATCAAACGAGCCCCTCTATCAACGAGATGCTGGACAACTTCTGGGGTAGAGGTCAAGCAGGCCAAATGCAATGGCGTCCGTCCAGTATGGTCACGTCGATTCACATCGATCTCGCCCAGGCTGAGCCAGCGTTTTACTTCCTCAAGATTGTTCTCGACAATTGCCTGGCATAGTCCGGCGGTGTTCCCAACGTACGCCATTTCTGATCGCTTGTCAGCAATGAAAGTAATGTTAAAAGCAAAGTCACTCACCGGTCCAGTCAGTGTCCGTAATAGGGTTGAAACTGCCGATCTCCTGCCGTCCGGGATTATCACTAATAAATGAGATATCACCCGAAATGTAAATCTTGCTCTCCTCTGCCGCAACTTCCTCTTCCTCTGGGGTGGTCGGCTTCGGACAGTACCCGCAGCAATCATGCATCACATCCTCTGCGCTGCCGAAGAACGCGGGATGGCGGTGCAGGTTGACTTCGCGATCTTTTGGTTTGTTCCATTCCGCGTTGAGAAGAAGGTCCTTGGTGTAAAGTAACTTCTCGATGTTCCGCGCGTGGTACTTCGGGCCGTATGGAATTGTCTAGACAGTCAGCCTGCTTCTCAGCACTGTGAAAGAACCACGTACGAAGGTATGGTAATCGGAGACCTCATCCTCCTCCACCCACTCCGCAACCTCGTCCTGCCAGTCGTTCTTAATATTTCCCGGGAGTCCATTCGGTCGGTAGTGGTTGTTCAGGGGAGGTCGTCCGCGCTCGCTACGTCGTTGCTCGAGGTACCGATCACGGTCTGATGACTTTGGCAGTTTCTCGAGTACGAGTAGGCGTGCTAGACCGACGGTGCGGGTAAAACTGCGCTCGAAGATTGACTGGAAGTCATTAGTTTGTCATCTCTAGTTTTGCTGCCACAGTACTCACCGGGTCAATTCGGGAGCGATCTAAGTCTGGCCAAAAGACCTCAAACCCCCGGTGTGAGTATTTGGAAAGGCGGTTCTCGTACGACGGCGACCGTCTGGTCAGATCGACCTGATTGACCTGCGTCATGTACGCACCAACCGCACGAGGGGCAAGGTAGACCTGGCTTCCATCGTACGCAGCACACGAGCAATCCACGTCGAAACCAGTCAAAATCTCGGCGATGGACTTGTACCGACGGAGAACAATTTGGACGTGACGGGTGGGGTATTGTGAGACAATTGTAATGGCATTCTTGGTGCGAATGGTCGAAACCTCCGTAAGAATTGAGTCCCTGATGCAGCGTTCGATCTGTTTGATCTTCTCAATCGCCTGCTCCTCGGTCAATCCATAAAGAAACAAGTCGACATCCGACGCCGGGGCAAACTTCTCATGGTAGAACTGGCGCAGACCACGCTTGGAGTCTCCGTACTTGTCCGGAACAGGGAGAAGCGAAGTTGCAACGGCACTTCCTGCCGCAACGACATTGTTCCAATCCAGGTCAGACAGGGAGCTCTCCGAGAAGATGTTGAAGTGGGTCTGGAAGTCCTTGAGATGGGTAACAACAGCAGGTGCACCGTTTGGCTTGCGGTGTTCATCTTTAAGTGGCATAATGTATTTCGACTTCGTGGTTTCGGTTTCGGTTGCGAGATCTCGAGCACGGATTCGGAGATCTGCCGAGCCATTGGCGTTAAAGAGTGGAACGACATTGATGAGGTTGTCGGCCACGGCCGGGTGGTCTGGTTCTTGGGCATAGATTTTGCGCAGAACTGCGTCGTATTCATTGTACGGCTTTACGAGCTCTGGCATCGGAGTCTTGGAAAAGGAGGCGACATGCTGGATGAATTGGGAGTGCTTCGCGGGGAGAGAGGGCAGAGAAGTCATGGTCCTGATTGATGGTAGCAATTGGTGATTTTGGGATAGAAAACGATGAATTGCCCGAGAAGCAGAGCCCACAAGCGAAGGTCTTAAATGCATGAAGCCGAGCAGGCAGCTTCAGGCACGGTGATGAAATTGTGGAGAAGATCGAGGCCGCAGCGTCGGACGATCGAGATTGGGGCCTGCGAGGAGGCTGCAGTCCACGGGTGGGTCCATGCTGCAGCAGCCTAGCGACCCTGGCGGCCTGGCCATCGGAGTTGATGCCAAGAATTGTTTACGAGTTCCAAGTACGGATGAGAAACAAAGAAACCTTGTTGATTGAACTAAAGAGGTGACAGAAAAACAGCAAGCCTATTGAAAGCCGCCGACGAGTATCATACTGGTGCAACTAGCGACTGGATGTCCACTCCTCTGCCACCTCAGCACAAGAGGCATTGTCTATGTAGTATCTATTGACCAATGGACTGTCAGGATACCAAGAACTAATAACAGCAGCTTAGCACTTGTCACCCTTCACAATAGCTCGCCAATTGTCATCGTGAAAAACATTTCCACTGAAGGGAACCAAGTGCGAATCCATACACTCCATTATCACCGCTGCCGCTGCATCAGCAATATAGTTCCATGAGAGAAGGGTGCGGGGGTAATTAGCCTATAATAAGCAAGATTAGATCATGGTCAAGAGAAACAAATACGAGGACAGCTCACATCGTTGCACCAATGGATTCCAGAATCCCCGGAGCAGGTAACACGAGCACACTGGTGAGGACCAAGGTGAGGCTGGCCCCTCAATTTGTGCAGAAATTGGATTCCTTCATTGACTTGACTCCAGCGAGCGCCTTTTCCACGGACGCAGGAAACCCAATAGGGGACTCGCTCGGTTGCAGCGTCGGGGGTAAAGATGTAAGTGTCCGATTCAAGGGTGAGGTCCTCCTCCCAGTCTTGGTCGTAGTTTGGATTGAGCTCGGTGATCTTGGCGTAGACTTTCTCGGCTGTACCGGTGAGAGTGATGTTGGGTCCACCGGGGTAGAGCTGGAGATCCCAGGTCATATCGGTCACAATGGTCTCGGGAATCTCGAGGGAGGAGGTAGGGGCCTATAAGTTGAGACCTGTTAGTAAGATCGAGAGTGGTTTTAAAAGCTGGGGGGAAACATACGCCTGAGGCCATAAAGGCGAGCAGGACCATCAGCATAAAGACGATCAGACGATGCATCATGACAGATGAACTGAAATACTCGTGATGTTTTGAAGCTGAGTCGAGCTGGCTTGACGTTGGACGGAACTTGGTGAGCTGAAGATACGGCAAAGAGCAAGATCAGGTTGGGAGATGGATGGTGGAGTTAGAATTATGGGGGAGATGGACTTATTTATACTCATCCGAAATGAGATTTGCATCTAGTCGAGTGAAAAACTAAGTGAATGCTTGTAAGATACCTTGATCCACCTAAGCAGTATACATCGCAGCCCCCAAGGGTCATAACTCCTTTGGAGCTATATCCAGTGAATATGGTAGAAGGTCCATACAGTGAATGCTGAGCCTTCTCATTCGCAACACCTGCAGACAAGATTGATCAAACTCAACTGTTGACAATGTAATTAATACTCAAACGTAAGCTTCGTTATTATGGCCATCTATTGTACATGATGTAAGCTGCACTAGTTCAGGAACTTATGTACTGCACCTCCGACATTCTTAACATCAAGGAGGAATGTGTCGTGCCCAAAGAGAGACAGGTCATTGCCAAGCTCAACATGCTCAACATGCTTGTTCCCTGCTTGCACAAGAGTTTGTGCAATCTCACGCTGCTGCCAGGCGGGGAAGAGGATATCGCTTGCAACCCCAATCACAAGCACTTCATGATCCTTCAAGGGTGCAAGCCCGGCAACAAGGTCTTTGGGGGGTGAGTCTGGCTCCGAAGTCGCGTCCTGGCCGGATTGCTCGGAAGATGACGTCGAAGCTGGTGGCTGCTCCTGATATGGCTGGTCCGGGAGCGTGAGACTGCACGAGGCGTCGTTAACACTGTTAGCTCCGCTGCTGATCTTTGCTTGGGATTCCGCCCGCTGTTTCTTCGTCGCAAGCTGTTGACCCAAACCAAGGTCAAAGAGGTCCATTGCCTTGGAAATGTAGAGCAGGCTGTTGGCATCGTATTCCAAACAGAACTTCTCGCCGGCGTGGTCAAGGTAAGTTTCAATGAGGAAGTCGGGACACAGCGCAGGCTGCTTGCTCGGATCGGCACGTTTCCGCCCAAAGCGTTTCTCCCATTCCGGTCCACTGCGATATGTCACGGTTGCAATCTCTCGGGCGAGCTTCATGCCGGAATGAGGAGGAATCGAATCGTAGTAGAAGCCTCGGGCCCAGTTCGGATCCATCATCAATACCTGCCGCTGGGTATGTCGCATCGCGATGCTGTACGGATGGCTTCGAGCACATCCGCTGATCGATACAATTTTGCCGACTCGCTCTGGGAAGAGAACACCGGCCGCAAGACTCTGCATGCCGCCCATGCTGGAGCCGACTGATGCGTAGAGCTTTTGAACCCCAAGGTGGTCCAGCAGACGGAACTGCGCCCGGACCATGTCTTCGATCGTCAAGATTGGGAACCGTGTAGCGTATTTCTTCCCGTCTGACGGGTCAACCGTTGACGGCCCCGTGCTGCCGTAGCATCCGCCAAGAACGTTTGTGCAAATCACAAAGTACTTGTCCGTGTCCAACGTCTTCCCGGGGCCTATGAATTTCTCCCACCATCCAGGCTTCGGGTTCGCCTCAGTGCTGTGCGCATGGCTGGAGGCGGAGAGGCCGGTGTGCAGCAGAATCACGTTATCCTTGTTCGTGTTCAATTGACCCCATGTTTCATATGCGATATCAAATTCTGGAAGCAAGCCGCCCCAGTCGAGGAGCAGCGGTTGGTCTGAGTGGAATTGCTCGTGGTGGCCGGCAGTGTAGGAAGGCTCGGGCCCAGAGCCCAGGGACCGCGAAGAAAGAAGAGCGGACTTTGCTTCCTGGGCATCGAGACAGGGGAAGGACAGCGCGGGGTTTGAAGAGTCTCGAGGGGACGGAGCGGGGGAATTCGAGGTCGCTGATCGTAATGAGCGGCAATGATTGAATGACCGGCGGTTTGACGGGGAGGATATGGACGGCTGGACGAGTCGGAAAGGTCGCCTGGCCGCAGCCTTGAGAGGCCGGGGAAGAGAGCGAGCGACGCCGTTCAGCGGACTCATTTCAGCAGCACGAGGATGCAAGTCTGATCATGATGGCCGCCTGCTGGCGACAAGCTGACCGGCTCCGAGATCGCCTCTCGGGTCGGATTTACAACGGTCCGTTACCTAGTAGTCGCCCGCAGTGCAGCATATTGTACTGCGCGCCAAGTACCAGGAACACAACGCCGGGCTTGAGACAAGGGTCAACGAGGTGTAGGGTACGCTTCACACCGGCTATACCAAGTACCATGTACATCGTATGATCGTCAACCCCGGAGTCGCCCACTACCACAATTCAGTGCTCCGGAAACGAGGGAATCCCGGGGAACAGCGCTAAGGCCAGATCCGGCTAGCGCCTCAGTAATTCTGAGCCGCGGCAAAGACCTTTCCCGGCAGTCACCACGGCCGAGTGGCATATCAGACGCCCGCCATTAGCAACCTGGGGAACCGGACTTCGAAGATCTGGGGACTGCCGCCCTCAAGTCGGCATGTGGAAACGGCTCTCCCTCCCGACCATGGGTAGCCGATTCATCTGCCGTCGCCTCCAGCTCTCTCGATATAAGGCCCGCCGCCTCCCTCACCATGGCCGTCCTTCTTTCATCTCCTAACAAGCCTGCTAAACATCAAAATGTCTACCAACCCCCGCTTCGACCCCAACTTCACTCCCTATGTGGTTAACGCCATGGGGCCCAACACCCCTGACCGCGCTCGCGTGGTCTTGGGATCCTTGATCAAGCACATCCACGACTTCGCTCGCGAGGTCGAGCTCACACCGGCTGAGTGGATGCTCGGTGTCGAGTTCATCAACTCCATTGGCAAAATCAGCACACCCATTCGCAACGAATGCCACCGCATCTGCGACGTGATCGGCCTGGAATCGTGAGTAACGTCTGACTCGACGAAATCATGAAGCGAACTAACAGCACCAGTCTCGTTGACGAAATCGCCAACCGCATCATCACCGAACAAGGCCTCTCCCCTACCTCCAATGTCATCCTCGGCCCCTTCTGGTCGCCCAACGCTCCCTTCCGCGACCTCGGCGATTCCATCATCCAAGACACCAACCCTGAGGGCCGAGTTACATACATGCACGGTGTGCTTAAGGATATGGAGACCGGTGCCCCTATTGAAGGCGCCGTCCTCGACATCTGGCAAGCGTCTGCCAACGGCCAGTACGACTTCCAGGACCCCAAGCAGAGCGAGAACAACCTCCGCGGCAAGTTCCGCTCCAACGAGAAGGGCGAGTTCTACTGGTACTGCTACCACCCTACGCCCTACTCTCTGCCCACCGATGGACCCGCTGGTGTACTTCTGAACATCATGGACCGCTCACCCATGCGCCCTGCTCACATCCACTTAATGATCACCCACCCCGACTACGCCACCGTTATCAACCAGATCTACCCCTCCGACGATCCTCACCTCGACATCGACTCCGTCTTTGCGGTCAAGGACGACTTGGTTGTCGACTTCAAGCCCAAGACTGGTGACCCCAAGGCCTCGCTGGATCTCGAATACAATGTCAAGATGGCGCTCAAGAAGCACCACCCCAACCCCAACTCCGCGCCTCCCGTTTCATCATTTGAGCGGTTCAACAAGGCCACCAAGGAGAAACTGTGAAGCGTTTGAAACTTTCATGATTTATGTACAGTTAGATACTCTCGATGTTAGCAATTTTCGCCCGCTCTGGGAGCGGCTTATTTTCTTCAACTTTGTTCACTAGCAGTATTTTCATGCCGCCGACAACAATGAAGTAGAACCATTTGACGTACCTTGCGCGTCCAATAACGCCAAATTGACGACTCGATGAACTATGCCACTGTTCTAGGCCCTGGGCTTTTCCCTGTAGCAAAAGTTACCTGGAAGACTGCGGAGTAGTCTGTAGAACACCCGAAGCTGACAGTGGATTGCAGGTCGAACAACGAGACACAGAATTAGACTCCTTCGAGTCTCCTCGCCACTACTGGTTGGGACGGAACATGTCCCGCATTATTGTACTCTGGGGTCGTAGAGCCTTCGGGACCATCTAGTGTTCCCTTGCCGGCCATTTTCTTCCAGTACGTGCATAATAGTCCGATGCAGGGTTTGCAGGCAAGGGCCCCACCAACTACAAGCATCACGACTACGTCCTCAGAACATCAGGAGGCGTGACTTGGCATTTCATGCCATTGGAGCCGGTTGGATTCATTTGGCGTCAATAAATCATGCAAGCAAGTATGGTAGGACAACCCCGTCTCAACGGCCGGCCCCCGGTAATCGAGGCGTGGCATACTTCAAAGTAGACTTTTGGAGGGGAAGATTGTCGACAAGAAAGATAAGACACTCTGATAAGCTGATTTGATAGGTTGATAAGCCGCCTGCCGGATCGTGGGGTCGAGCATCTGCCGCCCACAACCGAAGCCTGCCGACATCGCATACAGACTAGTCAAACCTCATTGTATGAGCTCCTGGCAAAGATGCGGATGGTGAAGTCATTGCTTGCACCCAAAGAAGACTTTAGAGTCATTGTCAAAACATGCGGCAGACAACGCTCGATTGAGCGTGTGCTTCCGAAATCCGCTTGAACTATAGGTACTGGCCGATTGAATGTACCCAGGTGACAGAACATTCTCTGTTGTCTTGATTGGTGTTCACTAATCACCAAAGACATGCAAGCAATGCTTAATCAATGCCAGGATCCCATTGCCGGCATTAAGAATGGGTATAGAGCAAACAGCAGCAGGCTTCCCGCGAATCCACCAGAACAAGGGCAAAGTACTCGCGTTGGACCTACAATGTTCATCGAACAGTGCAAACACAAAATGCTTCAACAACAAAGAATTCATTGTCCGCTTTGTCCACCTATGTCTTTGTCATATCGTCTATATATGTTACCAGTAGCCCGGTCAGGACAACTCATTACCGACAGCAGGATCCATCAGTCCACCATTCGATTACACCATCTACAACCGAACAACATCCAACAAGCCCCGGTCTACCAAAATGTCTAACGTCCAGTGCACCAGACTGCAGAACCAGTGTGACGAGTGTCGCATAGCACGCAGCAGAGTCCCCGCGTGGGTCGACCCATCTCTCCTTGAATGTCCTGGGTATGGAGTTGTCTTCAACTGCGTATACAAGGGCACACGTACTCAAGCAGAGAAAGCAGTTGAAGTAATCCAGTCCTGTGCCTCCGGAGCATACGGCCAGAAAGTCCGCGTTCACGCAGCTTACCGACGTTCTTCTGACAGAGACGCAAAGATTTTGGAAGGTCCGTGGATCGATATAACCACGCCGCGCCCAAAGGGCGAGAAAAATGGTAAGTCCAAGAACGCAGCGCCATCAGGTCTGATTTATAAGGCGCCCAAGCTTCTTGGGCTGGCGGATCCCAAGCAACTGTACGAGAAGAACTACGCGAAGAATCGCTGCGTCCAATGTTTAGTTGACTTTCCTAGTCCAATCGCTCAGAATGGCGATATTGAGAATATCATCATCGACAGGCTAACAAAAGAGGGCTTCGAATGTGGCGCCATTCACCCGCAGAGCCATTCCAGTCTGCATCGGCTGAAATGGTGGGCCGAGACGCACCCTGACAAAGTGCCGGAGGAGCCTCCAGGAAGCAAGCACAAGCCTGGCGAGGTTCGGACCCGGGGCAACGCATGGGTTCGGACGAAGAGGTAAGCTTTGGACTCTGTCCCAAGTAATGACGTGGGGGGTTGGCTGAATTTTTTCGATTCAAGTTCTTGTTTAGATTCGATCTATTGACTTAGTTAATGAGACGATTCATCGACATATTCTTCATTAGTAGCACGTATGGAATAGAAGCCGTCTAATCTCTTGGTTTCCGCTGTGAAAGGGTCACCTAGATTGTAGTGAGTTTGAGGCCTGAACAGCACATAACCTGTACCAAAAATGTAAAAGACGAGGATTGTCATGCCCCTGGTCCCTTCAAGAGACCACATGCAGACGACGATGGTTGAAGTACCACATATAAGCTGCGAATCGTCGATTCACGGACACGGCTACGATTTTTGCATCTGTGGATAAACAAGAATAGAGCATAATGGGCCAATCGGCGGGCGCCTGCATTGACGAGAAGATGCAGCCATTTCGCTCTGTTGCGTGACCTGGCCTGCAAATTGAACGGCGTTGATAGCCATAAGCGCCTGCTCTCTTATTCAGAAACTGCATGGACGGAGAATGCAATCGGGTTACATCAGCACGAGAAGTTGACTTGGAACGTATTGACTTGTTTGGGACCTGCTTTCAAATCGCAACGTGTTCAAAGGGACGAAGTCGGGGGACTCCCAGTTTATCCGCATAAAATCGCCCGAGCCACGTACTCCAAGACGCTAACCAACGCGCATCGCACAGCTCGTCTCACGCACTGATGCTCTTAATTCCCTCCTCCAACTCCTTCATATTACCGCCAACAACCCGCTTGTCCAACAACTTGCCATCCTTATATAGCACAAACGTGGGCATAGCCCGGATCTGGTGCTCCTGAGCTATCGAGCGAGCCTTGTCGACATCAACCTGGAGGAACTTGACGCCGGTGTATGTTTCGCTGAACTTTCCGATGACCGGAGCGACGGCTTTGCAGGGACCGCACCACGTAGCGAAGAAATCGACGACGACGGGACCGGATGAAACGAGGGCTTTGAAGATGACGGGGCTGCTGGCTCGTTAGTGACCGCGAGTGGAATAGGAGTAAAAGACGCACTTGTCGACCTGGATGACTTTGCCGTGGGACATGGTTGCGGAGGAGTCGGAGGAGCGGCTGCGGACGAAGTACCGGAAGACTAGACAGGTTATCAGTTAGATAATGGCTGGGAGAAAACATATACGGCTCGAGACGTACCGAGATAAATAGCGACAACAATGAGCAAGCGGGAGATCTCCATTTTGCGACAAATGTGGAGAGACGAGAGCGAGCGCGGGAGGCGAGGCGGAGGCATCACGACATGCTTGCAGTCACGTGGTTACCTATGCGGCGTAAAGGTACGAGCAAGGCATCAGCTCTGCGATGGGCACACATCTCTCGTTATCTTTCTGGCCAACAATGACCCGAATCTCCGGCTGCAGATCGAGTAGAACTTGTCGACACCGACCACATGGACTCAAAATTCCGCGATGATTGTTCCCGACCGCGACGATGTGCGTCAATCGCGTGGCTCCTGCTGCAGCTGCAACGCCCAGCACCACGAGCTCTGCACAAGGGCCGCCGGTGAAATGGTACACGTTGACGCCGGTGAAGATGCGGCCGTCGGAGGCCATGGCTGCGCTCGCGACACTGTGGTCCTCTGAGATGGAAATGCTGTTGATGGTTGCTGTGGCTGTGTCGACCAGCGCGGCTTCTTCGTGTGTAAGGGCCATTGCAAGACTTTTTTTCGCAAGAAATCTATGCGGCTTGATGACTTCTAGGTCAATGCGATCAAGAGAAGTTACTACCTAGCTTCCATGCTCGTACCAGATTCGAGCTCGGACGAAATCCGAACGTCCACGTGCTTCTGAATGAATACGGTACTATAGTCTTCGTCTCTAGTCGCAACCTATATCAGAGTTCAGTCTCGCTGATGTTTCCGTCCGGTTATGTATTTGGCTATATTAAGGTGTGCTGCTACCTCAACCTGATCATTGTTTCATACGACGCGTATCAGCCTATTGAATACATCGATCCCTCCATTCTGCTATCCACTCAATTCAATCCTAACGCCTCTCTCCGGCTCTTACTCTTCGGATCAAAATACGGTCTTTCACCCAAGCCCACGGCACGATGGCCAGTCCTCGGTCCCAGATGCTGATAGTCGAACGTGGCAGCATGATAGACGCTGCGGTTATCCCAAATAGCGACGTCGTTAGGATTCTGCCACCTGAATCGCACCTGGAGGTCATGGTTCTCCGTCACGAGGCGCACAAACCAGTCGAGGAGGTGCTTGCTCTCGTCCTCGCCAATGTCATTAACCTTCTCGACGTGATGGCCGACAGCAAAGATGCTCTTCCATCCCGTCACTGGATTCGTGCGGACAACCGGATGCACGGCCAGGAGCTCTTCGCCCACGTTCTCGGGCGCGCCGCGCGGACCTGGGTGTACGGAGAACTTGTTTTGGTTGGCGATTTGGTTGAAGCGTGGTTGGGCATATGTAGCTGTCAGGTTGTCGAGGAACCTCTGGTACGGCTTGGATATCCGGTCGTAGACCTCGTATCCGGATGCCCAAAGGGTATCTACTTGTGCGGTTAGAAGACATGCAAGATAGGCGCGGTCGATAGCAACGAGTGCACTCACCTCCACCGGTCTTGGGCAGCTCGGTCAAACGAAGCAGCGTATAATCGCTAGGCACAGGCTCAAAGGTGATATCGCTGTGCCACTCGTGGCGGCCGCTGCGCCCGAGCGAATTCCTGCCCTGGTAGAGCTTTTGTCTCTGCACGGAGCTGATGACGCTGATCTCATCGTCCGGGGTGCTCTCCTCGCGCGACGAGTTGCTGATGGGATGGATATGCAACCCAGATGTACTCGGTTTCCCGGTCAAGCGGCCCAGTCGGTCGACGAGCTCCTTTTGCAGGTCATCGCTGAGGCCATCTTGCTTGCGAAAGAAGACGACGCCTCTTTGTGAAACTGGGAAGGTTAGGACGTGGTCGGGACAATGACTAGGCTAAGAGGACGTACTGGTGATAGCAAGGTCTCGAAGAAGCTCATCCGAGTTGGGCGCGTGAAGCCACTCGGCCAGATTCGCAGAAGGGAACTCGCGGCCGATAACAGGCGTCACGTCAAACTGCTCGACACCCTCGAGTGCGCCACTGAGCTCAAGGGGCTGCCGGTGGTTCTTTTCAGAGACCTCCGGGACGAGGATCGCAGACTCGGTGATGGAAGGCGCCATGCTCTTGGTTCTTGCTACAATTGAAGTGCACTACTCGGTTTCTCGTCGGGACGATGGGATTGTTATATAGACAGTCAACCGGAGCAGCATCATTCCCCTCACGCATTGTGCAATATCTCGCAATCCGCTGGCCGGCTATTTGAGCATGATTAGACAAACTGAATAACGCAACTGCTCCTTATCATTACACAATGCAAGCTATCCAGCTTTCATGCGTTCAAGGCCGAGCGGGCGGGCTGCCATCATGTTGGCAAAGGTAACCGACGCGATGACCATCCAGTGGACCATCCAAGAGGAAAGCTTTTTTCGCGAGACGCAATTGGGTGAGCGAAGATGCTCAAACCGACTAAGAGAGAATATTTCGAGTCATATGCCAGTCCGACGATCTAGAATTTCGGCGATAGGAGAAAAGAAACGAGAGCTGGGAATATTACGGTGGCTTGGGGTCTTTACGGCAAGGTTAACGCCGAAACGCGGGGACAATTGCAATTTCGACAAGCCACGCCTGGATGTCGTGCCCCCGATGGCGTGCCCAAGATGGCATCATTTGTGCATCCAGCGAGAAATCCGCCAGTGTCGATACTGGAGTGCCAAGTCAACATCAAGATCCTTATCTACGAGCCATCCTTGGCCAAATGGTGCAATGCCTCGGATAAGACTCTGTATAAAGTGACCGATTGATCTGCATTGCTGCATCTAGCAAGCAACCTTGAGATCAGTCCTTAGGTAGTCGTCCACCGAAATGTCGACCGTTTACCAGCCCTGGAAGGCCCGTCCAACGGTGTCGGAACTCGACGGAGACTCCTCGTCGACGACCACGGCAATTGCGCTCTCGTCCGATCTGGGCGAACCAGTAGTACGAACGCGCAAGTTCTTCTTCCAGCGCAAAGAGCAACTTGATCCGGAAGCGATTGCCACTCAGCCATCGGTATACGACAATCCGGACACGGCCAAGGAGTATCGGCCTCGCGACGACTGGGAGAACATTCATCGCTTCGACCCGGCAGCAAGGTGGACATGGGGGGAAGAAACGCGGCTCATCCGCAAGATCGACCTGCGCATTATGGTGTTCGCCTGCGTTATGTTCATGGCGCTGGAACTTGACCGGGCGAACATCGGCCAGGCTTTGACGGATAACCTACTGGATGATCTTGGGATGAATACGAACGGTGTGTATATTTTGCCAAAGCGAATATGCAAGGCTAATGGTCGCAAGATTATAACCTCGGAAACACTGTGTTTAAGCTTTCATTCCTCTGCGCAGAGCTGCCGTCACAGCTGGTTAGTAAGTGGGTCGGTCCTGACCGGTGGATTCCGGCACAGATTACGCTGTGGTCTGGCGTGGCCATGTCACAGTACGCATTGAGTGGACGCAGTTCGTTTCTCGCGTGCCGAGCACTACTTGGTATCCTCCAGGGCGGTTTCATTCCTGACGTAAGTGCCTTGACTCGGTCGTTGCGCATGAGTCTAATTATCATGTAGATCATCTTGTACCTCTCGTACTTCTATAAGCATCACGAGATGACGATCCGACTGGGTTACTTCTGGACGGCCATGAGCATGGCTGACATCGGCGCCGGCTTTCTCGCGTTCGGCCTGCTTCATCTTCGAGGCGTACAAGGCCAGTCTGGATGGCGTTGGCTGTTCCTATTCGAGGGTCTCCTCACATTGTTGATCGGCCTAGTAGCATTCATTCTCATGCCTCCCGGTCCTTGCCAAACGGCCAACTGGGCACGCGGAAAGAAAGGCTGGTTTACCGAGCGGTATGTTCTGTCTACATGTGCTCATGCAAAGACTGACCTAGGCAGAGAGGAAACAATCATCGTCAACCGGGTAATTCGCGACGATCCCAGCAAAGGAACCATGCACAACCGCGAGCCCATCACGCCAAAGCTACTCTGGAAGAGTCTCTGCGACTATGACCTCTGGCCAATCTACATCATTGGGCTGACTTTTCAAACCCCCATGACCACTCCGCAACAGTATCTGACCCTCACGCTACGTGGTCTAGGCTTTAGCACATTCACGACCAACCTGCTTATTATCCCAAAGGAGATATTGCACATCACGACAATGGTTCTCTTATCGTATTCTGCCGAGGCGGCAAAAGAACTGACCTTCATTTCCATGCTCGGCCAGATATGGGCTTTGCCATTCCTCGTCTACCTGTACGTCGTCGACATCAATACCGTCAACAAGTGGGTAGTGTGGGTTGTAATGACGTTGTTGCTCGGTTACCCAAATGGTATACCCTTCAAATCACCTTCGCGACGAGCTGGACATGAGCTAATCGTACTATAGCCCACCCAATTCAAGTCGGCTGGAACTCGCGCAACTCAAACACTGTCCGCTCCCGGACCGTGTCCGCAGCGATGTACAACATGTGTGTGCAGTCATCCGGCATCATCGCTTCCAACATCTACCGCGAGGACGACAGCCCGCGATACCGGCGTGGCAACCGCGCACTCGTAGCCCTCGTTACAGCCAACATTGCCATCTACTGCTTGACCAAGGTCTACTACGTCTGGAAGAACAAGCGGCGCGAGAGAAAGTGGAATTCGATGAGCGAGGCGCGGCAGCTGGAGTACTTGAGCACGACTACGGATGAGGGGAACAAGCGGCTGGATTTCAGGCTCGCTCACTAGCCGAGATGGACTTCACTCACCAGTGGCACATCACGGGCAGCTTATCCATAGCCCGCGTTCTACACAATGACCTGGTCCGATTTTTACAATACTCGAGTTCTAAAACAACAGACGATTTATCCAATTCAATTTATCTGGCAACACCTAACAGTAACATCGCATAAAAACAACAAACATCCCGTCCAGCCGCTCACTTCCTCAAAAGCTTATGCTCAAAAAACAACAAGCGCTGCAAAGTCTGACACTCCTGGATATCCCCAAAAACCTCATACTTCCACCCCTTCGCACCCCCATCGATCTCGCCGAAAATCTTCTGCATGAGGTCCTTCGTAACCTCCACGCTATCCTCAACATCAACGAGCACAAACACCTTGACACTAGACTGCCCCTTACCGTCCTTGGACCTGGTAATGAGCCAGTGCAGCTTGGGGTCCGCGAGGTGGTCGCCCTTGAGGACTTGACAGATGTGCTTGTCCAGCGTGGCCTTGCTGGGGACCTCGAGGGAGAACCGCTTGGCGAACCCGATGGGGTAGACGCGCGGCGAGGGGAAGATGTCTTCGGGCTCCCACTTGCCGTAGGCTTCGCGGACGAGACGCGCGTAGATGGGCTTGCATTCGCTGCAGAGCTGGCGGGGGCTGGTGCAGGCTAGGGAGAACGGCATTTTGGTGGTGGAGTTGCTGGTAATGTGGTGTGGTGAGAAGCGTAGGTGATTGTTGACTTTGTTGTCAACGTCTTGGTGGTGAAGGGAGAGTCTGCCATCCAGATCGGAGTTTGGCCTGGCTTATATAGCAGGGGCGCTTTGTCCTTTGTTGGTATAAGTAGCCTGCTGCGGCTTGTTGGTGCAGTCAAAAGACTTTGACTGTTGCGTGTTTATCTCCTTTGGGCAACGACAAGGGGATGGATGTCAATGGTAGATTGGTGTTCTTTGCTTCGGTTCCATCAATGGGCCCTGTTCCAAAGCGATCCGGATCTCGACGCGGCGTCTACAAAGGGCCATACTGAGAGACAAAGGACGAATGAATCTTCCAGTCTTGTCCTTATATTCAAGGCCACCACAGTAAATGGGATTTGATTGGTACACAGGGGAACAAGGGCAAAGAAACCAGATCAATGGCTCAATACAGTCATTAACTCCGACTACATGTGCATTACAAAGACCATTGTCGTGCTCAAAAAATGCGCACTGGAATAACAAACAACACAATGGTCCTTCGCTGTGCAAACAACAGGCATTTTGTCTCTAAGACAGCCCGGGACAAAGCGCCTCGTGGTATATAAGCACCATGCATACCATACCATTTCGGACTCATCACCATCAAACCATCTCCCCCAACAAGGTCAACAACCTACAACTCAATCCACCAACCCCCATTCCCATCCAACCTTTACAAGAACAATTCACAAGAACAACTAAACCACCGCCAACATGCCCTCCCACAAATCCTGCACCAGCCCCAGCACCCTCTGCGGCGAATGCAAGTCCATCTACGACGAACTAGTGAAGAAGGCATACGAACGGTTCCAGCCAGAACAGATCTTCCCCAGCCCGCGCGTCCACACCCTCGTCTTCGTGAAGAACTGCCGCCCCGACCTGCAATTCCAAAAGTACTTCGTGCCGCTCGCCGTGCGCCTCCGCACGGTCCTCGGTGAGATGACCGGTGAGCGCCCGGAGATCGATTGGCATAAGGAGCTGACGAAAGACCGGAACGGCAAGGAGGTGCTCCGTGTCAAGGTCCTGGTGAATGCCGCCAAGCCTGTTGATGTTACGACCAAGCTTATGGAGCGGTTGTTTGGGGCCGACGAGCTTGGGGATAAGGGGTGGAAGCGTGAGGAGTTTGAGGGGGATGAGTGGCAGACGTTGCAGCGCTTGGTGTTTTATCGGGCTGTGCATCTGTGATCCTGTTAGATATTAGCTCGAGCTTGAGATCGGGCTCCGGCCGATGCTCGATTTGACTCGAGTGCGCACTGATTTCCTTCCTGGTCGTTCTCCTGGGTGTGTCTCTACTCCGTTTTATGTTTTGTTACCTGTTTGGTCTGTTTATTCTTTTCACTCACTAATCAATCTTATTGTCACCCCGTTGAATCAAATAGTCTATGGTAGTATTGATGAACTTTGTCTTGTAGTCGCGCCGACATGGGCTGGCTTGTTTCCAGTAACCGACCGAACTGACCCAAACTTAGACCCGCCATGCTGCTGTTATTGCCAGTGCACCAGTTATCATGAGAATCACGGCCTTAAAACATGGCGTTGCATTCCATTAACGCTGTTTCGAACAGGTCTACTTTAAATGAGTCCCCTCGCGCGGTGGCCGCAGATATATATCTATTCTCGGGAAGGGGCAACCCGCAACAACAGCAGCTTTTCCTGAGGGAGACTGTCAAGTCCTAAATACAATTACAAGCAAGGACCTTCTCGCTTCGCCCGCAATCGCAAGAGTATAGGATTGTTGCTGGTTTGTAGAAATATATCAGTTCTTGTGCAGGTGTGCTGCTGGCCTTAAAGAACTAAGGCTTATGTATGCAAGATTTAATGTCTTATTCCATCAACAGGCAAGGTGGCCGAGCGGTCTAAGGCGCGCGGTTAAGGTCCTATCAGAACCTCCTCTTGATCATCAAGTTTCCGCGTCATTAATTTGGCGTGGGTTCGAATCCCACCCTTGTCAGTTCTTTTTTGCTTTTTTCGCTGTCTGGTAGTGGTAGGTATTGGCTGGCTGGGTGGAGTCTCTTTCCGTCTGCGGAGCGAATGGTGCTTGCTAGCCCTAACTCGCGGAACGGGACTGAATATCTGTCCATGTACGGCGAGAAAACAAAACTCGTTCGTGTGATTTGAATGAAGCAAGCCGCTGCTGCCTGGCTGGCCTGTATTTTTCTTTCTATCGCAATTACATGCGCGTTTCGAGTTTCGACGCGAATTGGGTGGGTGAGATGCACGGCGTCTCACCGTGTCTCTTGCCCTGGAACTGATAAATGTCGCCGAACTCGATCTGGTTCAGCGGACTTTACCACTGATGTCTAGAGGTGTCGAGCGAAAACCTCTTCTTCCTAGGCCATTGATTATCCAGCATCAGCATACCTAACTAAGCCAACATGTCCGCCGCAAAGGAGTTCGACGCGGCAAACGCAAAGTATGCTGCTTCCCTTACGGAGTCCTGCAGCCCCCCCAGACGGTAACCTCATCACTCACTCACCCCTTTGTCTCCTCCGCTGCGCTGAGCTGACGAGTACCGAATGCAAAGAAAGGTCGCCGTTGTGGCCTGCATGGACGCGAGGCTTGGTATACCCTTGAGCCTTACTTTAACGGCGCTTAATCCCAGCTGGCCATGTCTAGATCCCGCTCAAGCCCTCGGCCTCGAAGAAGGCGACGCCCACGTTATCCGCAACACCGGCGGCCGGGCAAGCGATGCACTCCGGAGCATCATCATCTCGCAGCAGCTGCTCGGGACGCGCGAGATAGTCGTCGTGCATCGTGTACATGCACCAACTGTCCTGTCCTTGGCTGTCTTTCCAGGGCAAGGGCAACACTAACAAGTGTAGACCGATTGTGGGATGCTCACGTTCACTGACGTTGCCATTCGGGGTAAGGTCCGGATTGAACTCGGCCAGAACGCGGACCATATTGCTTTCATGCCGTTCTCGGACCTCAGGCAGAGTGTTGTTGAGGATATCTACGCGCTCAAGGAGAGTCCGTTGGTGCTGGATGTGCCGTTTACGGGGTATATGTATGAGGATAAGTCGGGGAGGATTGTGAGGGTTGAGTAGCTGGTCTGTGGAGTTGATTGAGGCGAGATCTGGCGTTTTAACAGTTGAAGGAGTCGAGGTAGGTGGTAGCGAAGGAGGCATTTGTATTCCAGATAGGTCCAATTATGTAATAAAACAAACAGGCAATTCATGTAAGTGGACAATCTTAGGTTGATATTTTGGAAGCAACAAGCACACCACCCTGTGCTTCAAGAATTCCTTCTCAAGCCCAGTGGTCTCCTGGCTGGCTGAGGAGGTCAGATTGCCCTTACTTAGACAACTAACAAGAATCCTACTTCAAACATTCACCGAATCCATGTTCTTTCATCAAGTGGCCCATTCACTTCAATCCTGGTGAATGAGAAACAAACCTGCCTGCATGAACTCGTCTATAAGAACTACTCGTTTCTTCCGCCATCCTCTCGTTCTCCTACTCCTCACTGCCTACCCAAACTCGCAAGCTCCCCATTACATTCGAATATTAACTCTTCTCGCCTTATCTTCAAAAATCAATATATCCCAACCATCTAAAGCAAGCCAAGCATTGCACCATCTCAGTCACCATGGGACTCAACCGCGATGTTGCCATCAGCCTGTACTTTGCCATCCTCGGCAGCGCCATATTCCTAGGCACTTCTATCTTCCTGGCCGGCGGATACAAGCATATCGTTGCATTCATCCTCACGCGCCGCCACCCTCGAGGTCGCCGCAATGCTGATCCTGACCTTGAAAGCAATGCTGTTAAACTCCAGGGTCTCGCTTACCATCGCCAACTCCGCCATCGTCTCCATAATCGCCCTCGCCCTTCATCCGAGCGTTTCCCCTCTCATGAGGAACGTACCAGCGCTCAACTCTACGATTCCTATCTGTCCTAAAACTATAAGAATCACTTCGAAGACAAGACCGAGCGCGTACCTGGATGTCAACCCGTAAGGACATGGCCCTCTTCGCTAAAACATCGTTCCTCCTAGTCAGTGGAGCGCTCAGCATCCACACTTTGTGATTTGCTTGATAGATTACATCTTTTGTTTATGTTTTATCAACCATCCGATGTGGTGTAATGGTTAACATCGTCGTCTCTCACACGACAGCTCGGGGTTCGATTCCCCGCATCGGAATCTACGCATTACTTTTTGTTTTTGCTGGTTTTTTGGGTGTGGTGGGGGACTGTGGTGGATACGGGTACGTTGCTGGGTGTGGGTTAGGGCTAGCTAGCCTTAGTAGGTAATGTTGCTCGGCATGGACATGGCGACAGCGGAACCCCAGCCTGCAGGTCTCTGTACTTATCTAGCAGAATGTACTTCTGTCCGGAAATAAACACTCTAATGGCTTGAAAGCTACAAAGTCTTACCTGGTGGACTAGTCAGATATACTCTCCGCGAGTGGCTCGGTATGCAGTGTTAACCGAAGAAATGGGCAAGTAACAAATATAACCTTATCGAAGCACGTCTTGCAGGAGCGGCAGGGGAAGTGCTCTTGACCACGGCTAAGGTGAAACAAACAATGAGTGTAGCATAGCAAACGAGAGGAGAATTTGGTAGATGTTAAGTGGCGCGAGGGAAGGCGCTTACATTGACGGGCAGGGACGATGCTTGCGTCCTACTGCCTTCTTTCTTCTCGCTCGGGGTTACTCCTATGAATGACAAAAAAAATGGACTTCTCAAGCGCATCTTCTATGGAAAAGGAGGCCGTCATGCAATGGTGCTCGAGGCAAACTCCAATGCTAATCCATTGTTGTCCAAGTAAATGGCTCTACTGTCATTGTCAATCGAATCGCCTATCTACGTCATGCCATGGTAGCAGCGTACCAGGCATATTGCTGTCGTTCACGCCCAGTTCCTCGCCTTGGTTTATGTCAGGTGCAAGGGCTTTTTTACTCGATCATCCATTTTCATTATATTTGATGCCTGGCAGTCTAAACGTGACCAGTTGTCAAAGACTCGATATCCAAAGCGGAACAAAGCCAAGAAAGAACTTTGTTTCGCAAGCTCTTGTTCTACCCGCGGAGCTATGTTTCAGGCTGAATGAAGCTCTTGCTCTCAGACATCCTCAAAGAGTACATGGTCGAGGATCCGCTGTGCTTTGGATGGAGAGACTGCGACATAAATAGTGCCTGTTTTATCTTCTCGCCAGGACACCATGACACACGAGTATTTCCCATCACTCCAGCCAAGATATAAACTCTCATCAATTGTTTGCACCCTGTTCTATCCAAAATGGCCACCTTCCCCCTCTTCGATCTTCCTCCAGAGCTGGTTCTCTGCGTGCTTGAAGCGAGCGAAGCACGCGACTTGGCAGTATTCATCCGGACCTCTCGCGATGCCTGGAACATCGGACATCCTGTTCTTTATTCCGGACCCATCGAGTGGAAGCAGAAGGCGTTTATCTGGGCTGCAGAGCACGACCGCCCCCAGCTCCTCGAATATATCATCGAGGACATCCTGCCCGTCCTCAAAGAAAACGATACGTTCAGAAAAAGTGCCTTCCTAGCCGCTGCCCGCGGCGGATGCTGCTCGTTGGTGGACCTTCTCATTGAGAACGGAGTCGAGCCTTCCGATGGCCTCATGGGGGCCATCAAAGCCGACAAGCCGGAAGTCGTCAAGATTCTTTTACCTCACGGCATCCCCGATGGGTCCGAGGGGCGTCGTGTGCACCTAGCCAAAGAAACATTCTTGGCCTTTGCCTCAGCGGAGGGCTCAGCAGAGGTGATCAAGTTCCTCGTAACGATCGGCGCGAACGTGGACGGAACGGAGAGACACAACCCCCTCATGCACGCCGTCGAAGCGGGTCACCATAAAGCAGCAGAAGTACTACTTACAAGCGGAGCAGACATCAAACTGGCGCAAGGCAGCCTTGGTAGAACCGCACTCAGGGCGGCCGCAGGCAATGGCGACAACCAGATGGTCCGGCTGCTGCTCACGCACGGAGCCAACGTCAATCAGAAAGACCTGCTCGATATGACGCCGCTCTGCTACGCAACGCAGCATCTAGAAACATGCAAGACACTCCTTGACGCGGGAGCCAGCGTCGAGGCCGACCGTAATATGCCGCTGGTCGAAGCTACGATCCGCGACTACAGGGACGTCGTCGACTTGCTGCTCGCGAGGAGGCCAAAAGATATCGAGCGCACCGACCTTCTGGGACGCACGCCGCTCGCCGTCGCAGCACACCACAATCGGCCGGAGATCCTGCAGAAACTGATCCAGCTTGGCGCCGATGTGAACAAGGCCGACAGGACCGGACAGACGCCGCTTTCCCACGCGGTGGAGAATGAGTCCACCGAGTGCATTGCCATCCTTCGAAATGCTGGTTGCCGCGAGTCTGACTCTGATGGAACCATCCCCGCGGAGATCATCAACCTGTTCAATTCGCTCGCGGCTGGTCTTCGCCGTTCTTGATGCGGTTGTCCGTTGCACGGTATCACGCCGGTATTCTCCTTTGTGTTTTGTTTTCCCCTTGCTGTTTTTATGGTATGTCACGGCGGGCACTCAGCCATGGCCGTGACTTTTACAACCTCTTCTAGTTAATGCATCTTGCTAATAACATGATTTATGTACTCAGTGAACCGCGTGTAGTTTGGTAACCAAGCTATTGTGCTTATGACTTAGATGTAGATTCTGACATCATCAAATTCTGTCATTGTAAGGAACAAGAACTAGGCAGTATCGTAGGTATTGTCGGGAATGCGACGAGTAGAGAGAAAACTGGATGTGTATGGTCACGTGAGTGATTGAGCCCTAGGTACCCCTAGTGTGAGTAGGAGCGACAAAGTCCTCGTACGGAGTAGGCACCGTAGGACGATGGCTAGTACCGCCAGACCTAGACGAAGGTTCTAGGGGCAGCTAGGCACCACGGCTGGGGATCCCCACGCCAGCCGCGACAAGTCAAGGCGCAGATGCGTGACCATTTTCCGCTCGACCTTCTCTCCGCTCCGCTCCGCGCTCCTGAGCTAGCGCCCGCCAGGCTTAACTCTTCCAAGTTCCCTCCCGCCCGCCGTTTTGTTCCTCGAGGCTAGCCTCGACCTTCCCACCTTTGTTTGTTTTGAAAGTAGAGTCCATAGCCGTTAGCTTCGTGCTTCAAGCGGGAGAACATTACTTTTGTAAAACTTTCAGCATAGATTGTAATATACATATAGATAGATGGTTGATCCTAGCACGCATACGCGCTTGCATGAAAGTGTACGGAGTAACCCTCTCTGTATGGAGACTGATCGATACAACCAGCCAACCAACCGGGCTCACTCATCGTTAGCATGTCGTCCGGTAGTTCCGCATATCTAAAAATAAAAAAAAAAACTGACAAGGGTGGGATTCGAACCCACGCCAAATTAATGACGCGGAAACTTGATGAGATCAAGAGGAGGTTCTGACTAGATACCTTAACCGCGCGCCTTAGACCGCTCGGCCACCTTGCCTGTTGATGAAGGAGCAGCCCAAATTTTAACACTATAACCAATTTATCTTGCTTGCACCAGTCGCCGAGATATCTTCAGCATTCGCTTGTCGCAGCCATCGACGCTTGAGGTCCTTTACTGGGTAGCTTCCTCAGTACGAGAACGGGTAACCCGTGCACGCAAACCAGACCTCTATTTTCGGACCCTCAATCGATCACCTCCCGTCTCCTAAAGTGCTCTCCGTCGGATTCATGGTCCCGTGGAAGCATCTACAGTTACAGTTACACTCGTCGTCCACTCCGGCCAGCGCCTTCTCAGTCATCATCTAGGTACCTTATCTCCACGACGGTATCCAGCACAGCTGGCTGTCTTCTCTCAGACGTGCAGACGCGCAGCAGATAAGGCAACGACTAGAACTAACGGGATTGCATCTCAAAGCAAAAGACATCCTTGGAAAACTCCAGTCTGGTCTTGGTCTTCCTTCGGCATAGAGGAGACTCCTGGACGTTATCGTCGTCGAGGACTTGCTACGGTGGGTCTTGTGTCCGTGGGACAGAAACACTGTCTGTGAGGAAGATAACTTAGTCCGGATGATGAATTGCGAGTCATCGCTGCTGACGGGCTTTTCCTCGGCCGAGTGGCTGGCCTGCCGTCTACGGAGCGCTGGCATGATAAGCCCATTTCGTGGCCCTCATGCAACATTGATACTAGCCATACCTCACTGCGCTGAGCTTTACTCAGGTCAGGTTGGGGGGTTGTTTGTTTCCTGTAGTAATTCATGTCCAGAAGGGGGTACGCAACGCAAAACGAGATATATTCAAAGTAAATACTGCAAACGGGCTCAAAAATCCCAAGCAATATACGACAGAGCACAGAACGGCAATTATATACAATTCATCTCGCCAGCGAGTTCAGATGCAACAATTTCAAACACGTGCAGACTACCTCCTTGTTGGAGGGTACCATATACCCGGAAGCCGAGCCTCTTCTTCCAATATGGCTTCGACGTCGATCTCTTCCATCGGCCCCTGTCTCTGGTACTGGGGTAGGCGCTCGTGGTCTTCTCCATATTTCTGCAGATGCATATCGTCCCACTCATTATAATTTTTGTCGTTGGCTTCCCACTCTCGGTCCGTATAGTCGGCCATGTACGTCAGGACCTCGACGGCCAGTTCCGACGTGAGGCCGTGGTCCTCCCAGAGGATGGCAAACCACCTTGCGATGAAGAAGTTGTTTGGGCCCTTGGGGGTGATGAGGAACGTCAGTTCGAAGAGGCCGATGCGGTCCTTGGGGAGTTTGCCGAGTGGGATGTACTCTTCGAAAAACGCTTCGTCGAAAATGCAGCCTTTGTCGTCGATTATCAGATTGTACGTGAAGCTCGCATCACGATATTCAAAGGTCCTCTGGTCCCAATACCTGCGTGGAAATGCGATGGTCGTGTATGACCTCGCCTTGGATTTCGCTGGGTCGGCTCTGGCAGTAGGGAGGTCTGTGAGGAAGATCACCCAGTCCGGGGTCTCTTCTTCGTCGTGGAGTGGACGGGGTATGGCGAGGACGATGTCACAGTAGTCGGTGTCGTCGGCTTTGTTGCTTGCGGCTGTGAGAAGGTCAAGAAGTTCAGCCGATGTTTTCACAGAACGGACTGGGGCAGTCCTTGGGCCTCGTCGTTTGAGTCGGCGCTTTCTCTCTGTGTGGCGGACTGTGGCGTCGGTGGGAGTGGTAGTACTTAACTCCTGGGGGGTCAATACGCGTACCATGGCGTCGGTGATGTTGTGCTCGGTCTATGTGGATCTGGATGTGTATTTGTTATGTTGGCGGAATGGTCCGTCTTGCTATCATGGATGCTGGCCAAATGCTCCAGATCTGGAGCGGTTATATACCCTAGCTCTGGGTCTGTGTCAGTCCATGTCGACGCTGCTATTTGGTGGGTGTCTATTTTCAACTCGAGACAGCTTTCGGCTGTCTGTAACTCCAGCGAGACATGCTGTCAATGACATCTCTGTTCGAGGCATATACTATTCTTGACACTCAAGCGAGTGCTTTATATATGGTGCATCGAGCTGTTTGGCCGTGCCTGTCTGCCTGCGACATGTTGCATCTTTTCGGGCTCGCTGGTTGGTTTCATGCTTGATCACCCATGAACTGGCCCCTTGTATGTGGTCTTGCTCCATGGGATCTGTTTCAGTATATATGTGGTCTTCTTTGTCAGCGATAGCCATGTATCGGGGCTTTGTATGGGGGCTTTGTGCTAAAAATGGTATTCGGCGCATTGTTTGTCAGCTCCGACAGTGAACAAAGGCCCGGTCGGGGAACATATTTGTTTGACGCTTGCTAAGGGGTGCGTAAATAACTCAAACTTGCTCTTTGAGTGTGTAACAGGGTGCACTTGCATTGGTACCAGTGGTGTCCGTCTACCTATCGTGTGTATACTGTCCGGCTCGACTGGCAGGGTTCATCCGGCGTTGGCCCGAGGAGACGGTATATGACACGCCGCGGTGATTTTCGTGTCAAGAAGTCTGCTGTATGCCGATACTGGGTTGCGGGCTGCTCGGCATGTCTCGTTCCATCCACTATCGCGAGGGGTGTACTCCGTAGTACTGGAGGAATCATGGCTTTGACCGAGATATATATCCCACCTCCAATCCGCAACGAAGGGGTCTGCACCCCGAAGATACTAGACCACCAGACGACACCCAGAGAGAGAGAGTCGCAAGAATATTAGAACCGTGCGATATGAGCTATTTCAAAGGGGAGGTTACCTAGTATATACTATGTAGCCTGAGGCGTGGCTTCCTCGTGCGCTTGGGCGACCAATTAGGGCTTCGTGGACGAATACTGTAGTAACATGTTCTAAAAGAATATAGATAAGGAAATAACAGCCCAAAACAACAATCCGGCAGGATGGCCGAGCGGTTAAGGCGTTAGATTAGAAATCTAATCCCTTCGGGGTCCAGAGTTCGAATCTCTGTCCTGTCGATTTCTTTTTTTGCGTCTTGTTTTGGCCCGTCCCTGTTGAGAGCTGACTCGACCTCCCCAACCGCGGGACCATTATTAGAAGCTGCAGAGACAGAACACCTGGTCCGACATCATGCCCGCCAATCAAATTGCTCGAGGCCAGTAGGAGAAATAGACAGCAACACCGGTATGTTGGTGCGTCAAGCCGCGCCGGCTAACGCGCGAATCTGGCATCAAGGATTCAGACGACGGTCACAGATTCCCAATGCCAAGAGTCATGGCACTGGTCCGGGTCGATTGTTTCTCGCTGTCCGGAGGCTCGCCGATCTAGATGATGTGCAGGCCATGGGGTGGCGCTTGCTGGTGAATGCGACGTCTGTCGTACCCAGACTTTGTGAGCGAAGACAGCTCCACCTCTCGTGCACACATGTCGAACGTTAGCAAAACGACAAGTGCGAGTGCCGTCCTGCAACCGCAAGACGGGTGATACGTCGACGGGTGATTCTAGATACTGTAGCCATATACCGTCAGTAGCAGTAGTAGCTCGATAGGCTTGTTTGCCGCGTTTTACGACATGATGGATGAGATGAAAGAAAAAGTACAGCGTATGAAGATCATTAATTAGTATGCCAGATTAGATAACTTGTTGATTATGCTAGATATTGCCCTGACTTGTTCGCACACCTCACCCGAGAGCGACAAGCGATACCAAGTCAGAAACGCTACGATAAAGCTTAAATGTATCACGCAGGCGCGGCGCGGAAAGCGGCCGCACTCGAGTCGATCCTCCGTTTCGCGGTGAAAAGACCGGCAACTCCGCGTTCCTGGTTTCGACCGAGCCACGGCTTGCGGGCCTCTCCCAGCACCTTGCGACCGAGGTAGTAGACGAGCTGACCGACGATAATAAGGACGAATGCAATCGGGTACATCCAGTGGACGCTGTAGTGAAACACCTGGATGCCGATAATGACACCCCAAAAGTTCATCGTCAGAAGGGAGATGTTGAAGAAGGCTGCCGACGCAAGGCGGAACAAGAGTGGCGCCGTAGAGTAGAAGATTGATAGACACAGTGTATATCCGGTCAGGTACCCGCCCACCTGGCCGTCCCAGTGCGCGTGCTGAATGGACTTGCGATCGAAGATTGCCGCCTGAACACCGTTGATGATCATACCGAAGAATCCCATCTGACCGATGACTTCGTATACGGGAGCTGTGCTGACAAAAAACTCCTCTCCAGTGTTCGCGAGGCCGTAAAAGGTTGCTCCTAGCAGCGCAAATAGGTCGCCCTTGATCTGACTGCCGCTGGAAAAGTCGCCCCCGTTCGTGCCTTGGATATGATCGGACGCAATCAATATGCCCATACCGCCAATGCAGATCAGTATTCCGAGTACCTGGGAGATGTGATACCGGACGCGAAGGAACAGGAAAGACACGACGACCACGATGACGATTGCCCAAAAGTTGATCAACTGCGCGCTCATCATGGTGGTGTATTCGTAAGCCAGCACCATGAAGTAGTTGCCCTCGACATCGCAGAATGAAAGAATGATATCTATAGCGGGATCCGTTAGACGAAATCGACGAGCAGCAGAACAAGAAACAACCCACATTTCCAACCACGCTTCCAGAGCATCTGAAACCAGCCTTTGATACCATATTTGTAGATAGTGTACGACGTGAAGATTATGTTCAGGAGACAATAGTTGAAGAACGTCTGGAAGGCCGGGATGTTGGTATCCTTGTTTGCGAGAAGCGTATTGAAGGTGTTGGTGCCGGTGTTTGTGATTGCCAGAAACTGTCTACCAATCAGAGGTTGTCAGCTGTGCATGCGTAAAGCTCAATCGAGCGAGCTTACCCAAGAAGCAGAGTTACGTAGAACTCCTTGGTCCGAAAGTAGGCGAAAAAGCCTTTTTTCTCTTGATCGACCTGGTCCGCTGCTGTCTCCGGCGCAGCATTGTCTCCTGAGGGGTTGGCGTCGGCAGAAACTACCGGCGAAGCTTCACCGGAGTGATCTGCGACAGTCGTCTGAACTGTTGGCTGGTGCTTGCTATCTGGCATGTCGGAGGGTTGTTCGTCGCGACTTGTAACAAGGTGCGGCTGCGCTGAAGTGGGGTAACAAACGAGGTGGGGATGGAAGATAGATAAGGCGGGTTCGACAATGGGAGCTTTCTGGACCTATCGAGCGCAAAACTCCCTGAAGTCGCTCGCTTGCGGTCTGCTGATATATCGCAATCGAAGAAAGTGGGATGTCAAGAAATCGAGAGCAGGAAAAAAGCAAAGATCGAGAGGAGAGCAGAAAAGTTGCAGAAGCTGGCAGATAGTCCCGAGGCGGCGGGTCGGCAGTTGTTCCTCATTGGGCAAGACCCGGTCTGGGCTTGAGATCTAAACGAAACCGAGACCTCGTGGGGGGTTTTTGTGCCAATCAGAAGGATGGGTTCGAGTCACCCTTGCGGTTGAAATTGGGGGCTGTCAAATCCTTGCGCGGAAAGTGGATGGTCGGTGTTCTCCGACAGCAAGCTCATCGCATCGGCTGAGAATCCCAGAGCTTGGTGTGGCGAGCGTCAACGCTCAATAGAAGGCGGCCGTGGATGGCAAAACCATGGCTTTCGTTAATTCAGGCTGACGGCGGCACGAATCCCCGGTAGATCTCTTCAAGTACATCACGTTTACGCTTGCGGTCAGCCTGTTCGGCCTCCTCGGCTTCACTTGTCGCTTCTTCTGGCTCCCGCGAAACCCACGATTTCAGCGTTCCATCGCCATGGGCGGAGAACACCTCGATGCCTTCTCCAGAGGCGCCATTCCCACGCCACGCCAGAGAGTTTATTCGTGCGGCGCTAAGGGCATTTGATCGAACCTGTGCTTGTGATCGGCGAGCCATCAGCCCGGGAACTCGGAGCCGCTTGATAAAGGTCCCTTCGCGAAGCCCTAGCATGAAGATCTCTCCTCGGTCGTCGGAATCGCTAAAGTTGGCCCAAAGAAGCGTCTCGTGACCCGTGCCCATATGAGCATGTGGGAGAATCAGCGGCGCTCTCTCCGCTAGGTGGGACGATGATGTATTTTGGACGCGAGGGCCGAAGTGGACGAGCGTGTTGGCACCGGTTGCAGCTTGCCATACGCGAATCCTGGCGTCCTGGCCAGCCGTCACAAGATATGCGCCATCGGTTGTCCACCGTACACCTGTCACGGGACCGTTGTGGGCTCGAGCGTGGGGTGAAAACGCGGGGCGACTGCGGTATGAGCTCGGAGTACTGCGTGGGGGAACTAGGCCAACCGCATCGTCCATGTCAAGTGTGGCAATGGCAGAATTGTGCCCGGCGCGGCGAATGTCGAACAGAATCACCCGGTTGTCCGTCGAAGCAGATGCTAGTATATGAGGTTTATGGGGAGCCCACGAAACGGAGAGGACGGCTGAGCTATGGCCGGGCAAGCCATGCGTGGATAGTCCGGATCGCAGGTCGAGGAGTCGGACGGGCTTTTCGGAGGTCCCAACGGCAACGAGTAGAGGCGAGCTCGGATGCGCGGACAGGGAATGAGCGTACGGCGTACAATCCAGCTTGAAGGTATGCACGGGTGTTATGACTGCCGGTTGCAGAGCCGATAGCTTCAGGGTGCCATCGTGGGATGTTGTAATGATCGTAGACGGCGTAGGGTCAAAGGGGTAGATGGAAACAGACGTAATGGCATGCGTATGGGCATCGTCGTGCGAGAACTTGGAGATGGACGCGGCCGGTTGGTGGGTGTAACTGAGCTCGGAGCCTCGTGCTTCAAGATCCCACAGGTGTATCGAGGGGTCGGCACCGCCGGACACCAGAAACCGACCCTCGTACTGATCTATCGCCAGTACATTTGCGCCGGCTTTGTGGGCATAAATCTCATCGGGACTCGGTTCGCGTGTTTTGCTGGTCGCAGGCTGGTTGGTGCTCGAGAAGCGGATTCCCGGTGCAGGTTCAAGGTTGTGGATGAGACGGACGGTCTGCGCGGAGTGAAAGGTGGACGGGGAAATGGACCCTAGGGCCCTGTTCAAGAGGTACGAATTCATTCATCAGGACAGACAATAGGATGTCAAGAGATGGCGAGGACGAGGGACCCAACTGACGCCGAGCTCGGAGACGCGCCACGGATCAACCTTTCTCCGCCTCTGTATACACGCTGACATCAACGTCATTCCTTCTCTCTCACCCATATCGAGATCGAATTTCGATGGTCTCACGAGCATCACAATGAGTGCTTGGGACGTTGGTTACGAGTGACAGTTGTGACGGAATTACATTCGGTGGCCGACAGACTAAGCTTGGCACAGCAGCGAGCAGCTCTGATGTGTTTCATAGGTACTTGGCATCTGGCTTGCAAGTGATGCTTTGATGTCGATTTGATGTCAACGTTGGTCGAATTGGCTGGTGTAATCGATTCTAAGCGCGGAAGTGCTGAATGGCCCCTGCCCGCGGCCTGCAGGGGTATATTTCCATACTTTGCATGGGATGTTAACAGACGCAGCACCACCGTCTACCTAAGCATAACACTGTATGAGTTGATTTAATACCTACGAAGGTATGTCTGTGCTGCGCTTCGCCTTTGGCTGTTCGCTTGTCGGCCGTTCTCGCTCGGCAGTCGTCCGAGGTCGACATCATGCCCCTAGGGCTAGGACAGTGTCCGGCATGATGAGGCTTATTTGTACAATACATTGTCCATTCAAGATATCGCAGACTGCGATAAGTATACCATTTAGTATTTACTAGGTCGCTGTATGTAACTGGTGCGCTGGCATCAACGTTTGAATGAGGCATCATGCATAATGCCGCAGGCCATCCATACCATCGCGGCCCGCAGACCTGAGTAATCGGACAAGAGTGGGAACCATAGACAAAGCACTATTTATTGATGGACTTTTCTTCCAACCGAGCGATATACGTAATTTCCGAGAGTGGTTTTGCCGGGCTCGCAGAACCGTAGCCCTACCCTAAGCTTCTCCCAATCAGATAGCTAAAACGACCAAGCCCAGCGACGTTCACACACATTCATACTCTGGTAGAGTGAGTGGCTTGATAGACATAATTATATGCAGCTCCGTCTGTACCCTCTGCCTCTGGGGATGTACAGGCGCGAGTTAGGTCTAGACGTGCAGCAACCGGACCTCACTTAGGGCTGACAACCACATCAACACCGAGACTGGCACCGACTCGCGACGCGACGCGACTCGAGTCGAAACCATGCGCAAAAGAGTTGAAAGAGCTTAGGGGACAACAATGCGAGTATGCAACGTTCTCTCGCTTGGGGTTGAAAGAGTTGAAACCTCTTCGCTTTGTACGGACAACACCCAACCATACCTCGGCTTAGGGCTGAAACCATCCAAGCTCGCAGTCCAACTTGAATCACTCGAGCACAAACATCGCAAAATACTGCTTAGGGAGCCGTCAAAGCTACAATGATTATTCTCAACATCCCATGTTTGACATTGAAACAGGTAGAACATCTTGACTTTGTACACGGAACACGCCCGCTCGCACTGAAACAATTTTTGTTCATTGTTCACCACCACAAGCCCGAGACATCATGAACACCTCGCTGCTTATAAGGGCATCCCAACCCTCTCGCGAGGTTGCACAAACTTTCTATCCCAAGTATATTCCTCGAGCAGCAAATCACTATATCTACCGCCATGACCCAATCAGACTCTGGATCCCTGGGCTACACGCCTATGGACACGTCAGACTCTGAATCCCTGGAGTATGCGCCCATGAGCACATCAGACTCTGAATCCCTGGGCTACGCGCCCGGGAAGCCCATAGAACTAATCCTAAGACCAAAGCCCCAACCCACGATTCCGCCCGCATCTCCCCCGGACCCCCCCTTACCCCAGGCCATGAGCACGTCAGACTCCGAACCCCCCCGCTCCAAGCCCATTCGTCTAAAACTAACCCTAAAACCCAAACCCCCAAGTCCGCCCACATGCCTCCTAAATTCCCCAATGTCTGAGGATGAACAGGCACCCGATTCCGCCAGGACCGCATCAACCGCCGGCTCAACACCCCCGCCATCACCCACGAAGCCCGTTCTCCGCAAATGCCACAACCCGGAGGCTCTAGCATCCGAGCTATCCAAGTACCTCGTCGATTACGGTAAGTACCCAAACGCCCCAAACGTCCACCCCCGCCCAGTCACCTACCCAAACCAGAAAGCAAAGGACGACTGGAGCGAGTTGCCAGACGCCGATGACCGCGACACCTTCGAAGAATGGGGCCGTAATATGTGGGCACCGGGCCGGGTAAGTTCCCTTGCCATGTTCAGCACGTGGACGAAGCCGTACGAGAACGACGAGAACGGGGAGGATCCGTGGCATATCTGGGCCGTATTCGTTGTTGAAACGGCGAAGAAAGACGGCCATGCGGTCGTCATCTATGACTGCGACCCTCGTAGGATAAAGGGTCAATGGAAGAACAAGAAAACGATTCATCGGCCGCCGAAGGGGATTATGTTCGACGTCCAGGCGGAGCTCGTCGACTACCTTCGTTACAAGCAAAACCTAAAAATCAAGGGACTCTTCTACAACGCTGACCAGACACGATCGGGCAAAAATCAGTGCATGAAATACACCATGCAGTGGATGAGCAGAATGGTGCAGGCCGGTGACGTGCGGTTCGCAGAGATTGGTGGTAAGGGGAAATGCGCCGATCCTCGGGTCAAGAACTGCGTTCGCATTACTCGTTTCCGATAATAGGATAGCTATCTTGGATGCGAGGACCTGCGGAACAAGTATTGGCCAGAAGGAGACGCACGATATGAGAGCTCTGCTGGAAGAAGGCACGGCTCACGTTGTGGCAGGACCACATAGATCTGTTCGTTTGTCTTTCGGAGCTCTTGATACTGTGTAATCTATATAGTCCAATTAGTAATAGAACTTTTAGATACTATGCAACGCACCTTTGGTATGTCTGTCACCGTAGTATTCTCCACAGAACTCGATCGGATGACGGCAGCGGCAAAGCCTTCCACGAGCCGGTTGTAGAGGCCCGCACCATAACCGATAGAGTTTGTCTATCTACACATGGTTAATAAGCGGGTCTGAGGCGGCGGACATGCCGTATGCAGAGCCGACCAAGCTTGACAGTAGCGGCCGTCACTCGAATCCAGATGAAGTAGAGTGAGGCTGTCTGTTGCCTGCACCACCGATGTCAACAGTCTAGCAATCATACAGCCAAAAACAAGCGCCATTGGACTGGACGCCAAAAAAGGCTGGGTGATACCATCAATGCAATAGCCATGCATTTTTAATCTAACAAGCGTACCTATGTAATCAAACCACCTGCTGCAAAATCTCCAAGACCTGCTCCTTCTCGTTCAACGGCACCGGATTCGATCGACACCATCGGTCGTGCAGAGAGTGTGCCGCCAGACCGTCTAGCTTATCCCGGCCGACGCCAACTTCACTCAGAGACCGCGGCATGCCGAGTTCCCGGAATAGGGCATCTAGCACGTCACCCAGATCAAGGCGTTCCTTCTCGAGACCACGGGACTTGATGACGTCCGCGACAATTGGCTGCTCGAGTAGAAAGTCGCGCAGACGGGATTGACGGTCGTTGTTGGCGTTGTATTTGGCGTTATACTTACATACGGCTGGAAGGAGGATGCAGCTGGTCTCGCCGTGACCGACACCGAGGGGACCGAGCTGTGCCAGTCAGATTCATCTTTCATTAGTGGACTTAAAAAAGTTACCTGATGACCAATGCCATGGCTAGCACCAAGCTGAACTCTCCCATCCGTGCAGGCTGCCATGGCATCGACAGACCCGAGCTGGCACGTCAGCCGAGCATCAAGATCTTCTCCCTTCTGATCATGTCGACACCTGACAAGCCCCGGTACCAAGTTCGCGAGGGCTTTCAATGCCAGCGAGTCCGACTCCTCTGTCGTTCCTTTGACCGCACAGAAAGTTTCAACGCAGTGATCCACAGCACGTACACCCGTGCTTATCCAGACTGATTCCGGTGTCTTAACTACGAGCTCCGGATCAAGGACGATCAGCTGTGGTCCGCGAACAGGTGCCTGGAATGAGTGTTTGCGGTGGGTGCGATCATTTGTGGCGCCGGCGAAGTTGGAGTATTCCCCCGCTGAGAGAGTAGTGGGAATGGACACGATGGGAACTTTCGGCGTGGCCGGGTTGGGTGCAGACGGAGGTTCCTGGTTAGGTCCCATGCAGAGCGTTTCCAGGTCCTCGAAGGTCTTGGCATCGTTTGCGAGAGCCTACCTCGTCAGTAGGAATAGTCGAAGTGCATTAGATAGCCATACGTATGCAATCACTTTCGCCCCATCCGTCAATGTCCCTCCGCCAAGGGTGAGGATGAGATCAGCCGAGCAGGCTCGAACATCCTCTGTGATCTCGAGAATCTCAGACCAGAGCGTGTGACTTTTCATGCCAATCCGTCGACCAACAATAGAGACCTTGACTTTTCCGAGCGTCTCCGCAAGCCTTTCAAGAGAGTTGGAGTTCTTGGCCAGGGACCCGGAGCAGATGACATAGACGCGCTTGGCCTTAAAGGTGTCGACAACATGGCGGGATACGGCCTCCGGGAACGGAATGCCATAGGAGAGAAGCGGACGAGGACGGTCGACAAAGGCAGGGCGGAAAGTCTCCATGGTTGTGGTTGCTAAGATCCGGGGTTGTTGATGGTCGAAACTTTGTGGCAGAGATGACCTCACCTTATAGGCACTGTAGGTACTCCGCCAATGTGGAGATGTGGGGCTCGCGGAGAGAATCAATGTTATGAAAGATAAAGCCAGTGTACCACTATATTAGAGTTGAATGAAGCGCAACGGGAGTCTGTTTGCGCCGGATATAGGCAGTTGCTTGCCCTATTTGAGATATCGCGTCAAATATTATTCTCTTTCTCATAGACGTAAACTAAAGCTAGATCGTGGGTGTCAATGGGTGCCATATAGCCTAATCACGGCTAACGGATCCAGTCCCATCCCCACGGGTAAATATCATTGTTCGGGACGGCTATGTATTGTCCGCATTTCATGTACTGCTCATAGTGATGAAAATGTCGCCTATTTTGGGTCAGCCTCTACATAATGACGGTATTTCAATGTCGATGACGCGTAGAATCTGAGTCGGGAGTAATGTGTACGTTATGTGCCAAAAAAAAGCACCAGGCTCGGGGTTTTTAAAGTGTAGCCAGCAATCCTCTTCTTCCCACCGGTCTCACTGCCACCGTGCCCCGAAATCCACTTTACAGCCTCACCCCATCTTTCCCGAAAGCTTCCTGTTCTACTTACTTACTTCTGCTGCTTATCATTCAATAAATCCAACATGCCCACCGACAAGATCTCCAAAAGGTGGCTCGAGGGCGCGACCGAATGGGCTCCCGAGGACGACTGGGACCCGCACGCGTACTGCGAGTGGCTGCACCGCCTCGCGGAGGCGAAGAACGGTCTTGCAACAAAGTGCCGCGACATCGACTGGGCGCTCATTCAGGAGGTCAAGGCGCTCTGCGACAAGCACAAGTCCGGCTACAAGTCCGGGACAAAGGACGTGCATGTCACGGACGCTGGCAAGATCCTCGTGCGCTACATCAGCGCCTACAATTGGTACACGCGCGCCTCGTTCGAGCAGGTCGAGGACAACCGCAAGGTTCATCGTACCCTCATGCATCTTGGGGACCTGGGCACTGCCATGAAGCAGTATGATGTTGCGCGGATGTTGGATAAGGCTGCGAATAAGGTATGTGCGTACTTGCAGGTCTTGTGTGGAATCTCTTTCTCCCTCTCTCTCCTTTTTTTTTAACTTCTCCCTCTCGTTTTCTCTCCTGTTGACAACCTGTATAGGTCCACATGGACAAAGCCGTCAAGGAGATATTCGCTGAGTTCATGAAAGACGCCGAAGCGGGTCTACCAGTCTGTCTCGACTGGCGCATGAAGCTCAACCCGCACGATTCCACCTCGAACGCGTTCTTCGAGACCCTGATCGACAAGCGCCAGGAGAATGGCTCCCTCCCCAAGGTCTCGGAGCTGGGCCCCATCATCGAGCAGCTCATAAAGGACCGCCCGAATGCTTTCGCAAAGTGGATGGTTACGGATATACCCAAGGTAATCGAATCCGACAAGCGACTCGAGCTGCTCGTGCGCCTGCGCACTGATGCCGGTCTTCCAAACCTCGCTGAGAACTTTGAGAAATCGTACATCTGCCTCAAGCCGCTGGTGGGCTCGCCCGAGCTCGGGTTCTTGCTCCAGAAGGCTGGCAGGCTGGAGAAGGAGAGTCTGTCATGGGAGCAGGTGGTTGGGCCTGCGGTCACGGCGATCCAGAACATGGGCCTCCAGTCGAAGGGCTGCAGTGCTGAAGTGCTGGCGGGTATTGCGAAGGAATACATGAGGCCTGTACTCTAAACTTCCCATCGAAAACAGAGATAGGTTATGCTGTATTCTATGTTCCCCGTTTAGGTTGGGTCGAGAGTAATTTGTCACAATCAACCCGTTCGTCGCAGCTGAAACCAGAGAGCCCCCGCGCCCAGGATCAAGATGTCGGAACTTACCAATCGATATCGCTCAATCCAAGATCCTGGCTCCAAAACCCTTCTTCCGCAGTCGTTGGCGGGTCTGGCTTGAGCTGTGTCTCGCGGATGGCTAGCCAGCCATGCGCCGCTGGCGCTGATAGATCGGCTTGCATCTTCAGAAGTTCAGATCACTCGCAAATAAACTAAGATAATTGCACGAGGCTGAACAAAGTAAGGCCCGCGCACTATAAATTGTAGGTCCCGGCTCTTAGTCACGTGACCTTTATTAGGGATTATGTAAAACGGCAGAATAACGCTAATTAGCCAGAAAAGATAATACTAATTAACTAAAAAAGGGATAGTTATAAAATACCCTGGTAGCCCGCGTGCTAGGTGGTTACAGCACTTTACTTTAATCCCTTGAAGGATAAAGGTTATTACAGGGTTATAGTAATAAGCTTTAAACGATGCGGGGTCGGATAGGTACGGTAAGACAACTCGAACGCCATCAGGGCAGCCTAGCAGCCACCCAACAACATCTCTTGTATAGATCGTATATCTCGTACGGCCATACTGATGGCTAGACTGCCTTGTTTTCCAGAGCCTGTTCCATAATAATCAACGCACCAATGTACTTCCGCATCAACCCCGCGATCTGCCCCCGAGAGTAAACATTTACCCGCAAGTCACCTGACCAGCAACATATGAAGAGAACCAACAAGTTTCGTTCTTTCCAACTCAATTAATGAAGCTCAAATCCTCATTTTCAGTCAGACCTCTCTTCCATTATACTCGAAGCCTCTCAACCACTCGTCAGTGCAAAATGCGCCTCCCCTACGCCCCTTCAGAGCCCGCAACCCCAGACCCCGAGACGGCCGAGATCTACGCCCGCATTGCCGCCCGCCGCCGCCCTCGACCCCTCATCCCCCTTGATCTCTCCCTGCTGCATTCCCCCCCCGTCGCGGATGGCTGGAACAGCTTTCTCGGCGCCATTCGCACGAAGACTGTGGTTGACCAGGGTCTCCTCGAACTAGCTGTCTCCCGAGTTGCCGTGATAACACAGGCTGTGTACGAGTGGAACGCGCATGCCCCGTTGGCTTTGAAAGGGGGAATCAAACAGGAGGAATTATATGCCGTGCGGACGCTGCCATCGACGGCGCAGGGAGATATTGATGCGGCGGTCGAGGCTCTGAGGAAGAGTGCATTGACCGCGCAGCAAAGGGCGATTGTGAGATATGCGGATGAAATGACGCAGACGGTCAAGGTGCAGGATGAGACTTTTGCGCAATTGCAGAAGGAGGGATTCTCAGATCGTGAGATCGTAGAGCTGACTACTGGCATTGCATGCTATAATTGCGTGAGTCGGGTGCTGGTTGCTTTGGATGTGGGGGAGAACAATGCGAAGGAGATGAAGAGTGTTGATGAGTTGGTTGAGGGTTTGAAATGATCCTAAAACTATTTCGTTCATGTATATACTCAAATATCCAAGAGTTCCAAGGAGTAGACGCCAAAATAGATTGCAAGTAAGTCAGCCATCACTGCAGAGTGATCGACTTGACCTTCGGTCCGCCACATTCATACGTCGCCAACAGCGTCCGGTCGTCTAATGTAATGATGCCAGGCCAGTGGCTCAGATGGGGACAGATTACCGTCGGAGGCGACCATTGAATATGACCATTGTTCGGAGGCGCTGCATAAACAACCTTGATGGATGCGTTCTTCGTCCACTGCACCTGAGAATGATCCTCATCCGTCATGAAGATCACCGCGAGCGAGCCATCACCAAAGGAAGCCACCTGCGGAGACCCTGCATTATGACCACGCGGCGGCACATACACATGATGCCTGTTACCCCATGTGTAACCATCGTCGTAGGAGATGAGCGCCTCGAGGTTGAAGGTTCCATACGTCGTCGTCTCAAACACCATGACCAGGGCCTCGCGCCCATTATCGTACGTTCTCGCAATCCCATTCATCCCATCTCGATACGCATCATTCTTCCCATGAAGACACTGGGGCGGACTCCAGGTGGCCCCTCCATCCGTTGACCGCACGAGCATTGTACACTGGTTATTGTGCGCAAACTCCTCGGAGTAGGTCAACATGACCTCTCCACGTAGCCCCATGCGCATGAACGGCTCCCATATACCGTGCGGCGGGCTCTTCTCCGCCGCCTGCGACAGGAACCGCCAGCTCTTCCCGCCGTCGGTAGACCGGCAAACCGTAATCCGGAAATGGGTCGGACCATTGGGGCCAAGGTCGTGATTGCGAAAGGCCGCAAGAACAGTATTGGGAGCTACCTCTAGGAGGTACATGTTGTCGACATCACCGGCCCCGCGGCTCACCTCGGAGAAATCCTCAAAATGACGGCCGCCATCTGTGCTCTTGCCGATGCGGAGGATTCTCGTTGGACCATCAAAGCAGGTAAATGCGGAGAGAATGCTGCCGTCGGACAGTTTCGCAAGTCGTGGATACGTGCCGCGGGGCTGGGAGCAGACGAGGCGCTCGTCGTCGTTGACGGTGCGGGAGCCGTGGAGCGGGGGGCCTTGCCCTTGAGATGGGGGGCCGTGATGGCCTTTATGGTCATCTAGACCAATCTTTGACAGAATCTTCTGACCGAGGTGTCCAGGCATCGCGATATTTTAAATAAGAGATGTTGTATTGTTTCGAGGACTTAGAGGGCGAGATTGTTGCTGCCTTTTGACTTTATTTCAGCCATGATGTCATCATCGAGATGCCGGTTGTGGAAAATTCCAACCTCGACACGGTATGTGCTCGGGTATGCAGGTGCCTATAATCGAATGCGTCGTCATCACTGAGATGGGTGATCAACAGTTACAAGTGTGCGTACCTGCCTTCCGTGGCCTGATTGTTAGGGACTGGGGTCTAGATTATTCTCTGTTGATTGTTGAAGCACAAGCGCCCCACACGACAACGTATGCTCTGAAGATCATGAGAAGAGCGTTAAGAGTTAATTAATGAGGGCTGCTGCACCTATATTTGGCTCGGCACAGCTGAGCTGAGCTACCCTAGGTATTTGTTTCACAATGATCTCACAGATCAGTATGTTTCAGAGAAGTGGTATGTGTATAGACACGAATAGAACAATCGTACACGGAACAATCGTTTACATTGCAAAACGCTAGCCCATCAAATCAATCCATATCCAACGCCGGGGTAGTAGTACAGATACATTAGAAAGGCCGTCACCGTGTCAACCAAGTGCCAACTGTCTCTCCGAACCAGCTGACAAGTTTCTCGCGCCGTTTGTCTCGCCCTTCTTCGTGGGCCCTGATAACTGGCGCCATACTCTTCACGTATGCCCTCTGCTCTTCCAACTCTTGGTAGTAGGCCCGAACTTCCAACTCTCGCTCGTGTGGAGTCAGACGCTCCAACGATTTCGACGGCTTGAAGCCCTCCGGGATGGGTTCTCCTCCGGGAATCTCAAGCTCTGCTGGACCAACGCTGGCACGCTGCACCGGCTCTGCTTGTGGGTTGAAAAGGGATTTCAGAGGTGGGGGTTCTTGGCCAGCCTCCCGAGCTTCCTCGACCTGTTTTTCGTAGTTGAGCATCTCATGGTATAGCTTGTCGGCGTGCAATTGAATCCGTTCCTCCCTCTCGTCATCCCAGTGTGATGTTGAAGCGTATCCCAAAGCCTGCAGGAATTTCTGACGGGGTCAGCAAACGTTTAGAGAGCTTTGGCTCAATAGAAAGCTCACGGATTGCGTTGCGTAACAGCGAGTGAATACTTTGCTCTTGTCCTGGCAAGCTGTCACTCGTTCAATGAGGGTGGGACTTTTCAAGCAGAGGTGGTATATCTCGTTTTCGATTGAACAGTTTTCCATAGCTGCTCGCTTCACCATAGCATGGCGCTGCTTGGATTGCGCCTGCATGGATGACACTTCCGATGTTTCCGTTTCGATGTCGCCGGGTGAAGGAGGTTTGTAGGTTTTCCATAAGTCGGCATAACGACCGTCGGGGAAGAGGGATGCGGTGGGAACAGCGGGAGCGGTGGCAGAGGCGTCATTGTCAGAGGATGCGGGCTTAGACGGTAGAGCATGTTCTTCAGCTACCGGAGAGCTTTGCGTGGCGGGGACGTATTTCTTGGGAGCTTCGTTCTCCAGGTATTCGCGGAGGCCGGGGTCAAGCTTCTTGACCGGGTCCTCGTTGTCCGACCCCCAGAACCAGCCCATTGTGCGGTCAGAAGCGATGACGAGCGATTGCTATTCGAGTAGTGACTGGGCAGATCGAGGTACGCCGCAGTGAGTTGGGTAAAGATACGTAAGGTAGAGAGTAGAGACCGCAGAACAAAGCGATGGCAGAAGATTTGGCGCCAAACCCGATCGGGCGGGGCTCCGCGCGTCGAAAGTCCCGAAGTAAACGCTCCTCATCCTCCATCACAACAACTCCATCTTCCATCCTTCACCCAATCCTGAGCGTCAATCGGACGCGTCGCTGGGCGATGGCTTCCAGTATGTGCTTTCTTCCTGGCCTGCCTGTTGATCCCATCAAAGCTGACCATGTACGCGACAGACCGGATAGAGAAGCTGCAGATGCGGCAGCGCGGAGCAGGGTATGCGCCTTTCGATTAATTGCGTCCCGATGCGACAACTGACATGATTACTTACAGGACGCGCAAGATTAAGGAAGTTGATTTTGGGTTCTCCCTAGGCTTCGGACCGCCCGCCGAAGACTCCTCCCAAGCTGCGTCCCAGCCCGCCAACGGTGACCTCAACACAGCACCAGCACCAGCACCAGTACCACCGCCCCTTATCCTCGACGCTCCTCCCCTCGCTTCAGAGCCTACAACTACCTCTTCAGAGCCTTCAGCTACAGTGATACCTCAGGCTCGGTCAACACCATCACCTACTCGGATCAACGCTTATGCCGCATCGCAGAACCAGCTCCAACGGACTCCAGGTAGCGCGCGCAACAAGCTGCCACCCCGTCCATCGACCTTCGATATCCCTGCGGATAAAGAGTCAGAGCTGGAAAGAAGCAATAAGCGAAGGAAGATCGGTGGGTATTAGCTAATCGACCACGGACTATCTGCTAAGTATAACCAGATTCCCCCAAAGGCGACTCACCATCGATTGGCGCGCAACCCGAAGTACTGAACATCGACAATCCTCCGAATGATATTTCCGAGGAGTTATCTCTGTCATTAGATGAGAATAGAGCGATACCGATCCGGACCGTTCCCTCGAACCACGCACCCCTTTTAGACCAAGAACCTGCCGTCGAGGCTCCCTCCATCCCTACCATTGAACCAAATGAAAATCCACAAGAAGCTCAAAACGAGGCGAGTGGACATCCGGAGACGGGAGACACCACACGACCGGAAGCTCCGCACGTAGACGGCACGACATCACCAGTCTCGGATTCTTCCAAGAGCTCGGGCAGAAGGCGAAGGCAAAAAGGGCGGCGGTCGCCATCACAGAATGATATCGCGAACTTGGAGTCAACTGAGACTGTCGAGCATCAAGCTGTAGAAAATGAATTTGCCAAACCGCTTCCGTCCACGGAAGCCGTTGAAACAGCGCAAAACCGAATTTCTCACGAACCGGAGCCTCCAAGAACCCGAGACAAGCGAACGCGAAGCCGGACGCCAGCCTCGGCTTCCCCCGTAGTAGCAAAGAGATCACCAACGGAAGAGCCTGGTTCGGAACCTATCGAGGCGACGCAAGAACAACTGGATGAACCCCAACCCCCGGAGATCCGAGAGCAGCAAACGCGAAGCCAAATTCCAGCGTTATCACAGTCTTCCGCTGAGCCGGCCGCGTCTGACAGACAGTTGATTGAAGAAGCTGCCCTCGAGCCTGATGGAGTACCGCAAGAGGCCGAATCTCAAGAATCCGATGCCACAGGAACGCGAGAGAAGCCAACACGGAGCCAAATTCTAGCATCAGTACAACCTCCTGCCGAGGCCCCTCCGGCTGATGTAGCAAGAACCGAAGGCCCCGAGTCCGGAAACGTCGAGGCTTTGCTGGAGCCAGAAGCCCAAGGGCCTGATAATGCGGGACTTCGAGAGACACTAACGCGGAACCGAACTCCAGCATCGGTACAACCTCCCGCCGAGGCCCCTCCGGCTGATATAGCAACAACCGAAGGTGCCGAGTCCGGAACCGTTGACGCTTTGCTGGAGCCAGAAGCCCAATCGCCTGATAATGCGGGACCTCGAGAAAAACGAACGCGAAGCCGAACTCCGGCCATAGTACAACCTCCCGCTAAACCCCCTACGGCTGATGAAGCAACAACAAAAGTGGCGTCCTCTGAGGCTGTACCGAGCGTCATCGCAGGCAAAGGTATTCGTGGACGGAAAAAGAAGAATTTAGAACCTACGCATGGAATTGTTGTTACGAGGCCAGACTCTGCCAAGCCGACTGCTGCACGGGTGGAAACAGAAGTCGCCCCGGATGAGGCTATGGCTGAGCGTTCCGAATCGTCAGACCACCCGAATGAAATAGACAAAGGCAAAAAACGCGCTGGAAGACCCAAGAAACAGGCCCTGTCTCCGCAAGCTATTGAGGAACCCGTCACGAGCAAAAAGAAGAGGCAGCGCGAAGAACAAGTAGAGCTTGGCGAGCGGGTAGAGACAACCCCAGAGCAGGAACAGCCAGATGCAGATGTAGCTCGTGCCGGTAGAAGGAAGAAGCAACGAATAGAGCAGGAGCCGAGCCTAAGCGAGGATCGTGCTGAACCGGAGCCAGAGAGTGAAGGATCCCGGTTTGGCAAGCGGAGGAAAGGGCGCCAGGGTCACGAACCAACTCCGGAGGTTGAACGAGCAGAGCCGGATGCAGAAGCTCTGGCGAACAGAGCTGGTAGGAAGAAACGGCAACCACAAGAACGGCTTCCGGGGCAAGAACAATCAACACAAGAGTCAGATATTGATCGAGCCCGCGTCGGAGGAGGGAGGAAGCGGCGGGAGAAGCAGACGCCGACGACAGTACAGGAAGAACAGCCCGAGGCCGAGCCAGAAGATGTCGAGAGAGCGCGGGCCGATAAGGGGAAGAAACGACAAGAACGGGCACCGACTGCGGAGGAGGAGCAACGAGAGCCAGAAACAGAGATCGAACGAGAGCCCCGAGCTGGGCAACCTCCTACAGACACCGAACGCCGAGGCAAACCAACAACACAGCCCGATGAACCACCTCAAGAGAATGCTACAGAAGATCACCCCCAACCTAAGAAACGGAAGCCGCGACAACCGCGAGGAGAAACCGTGCCGGTCACGGTTCATCGACTGACGAACCCTGCATTGCTTGGCGGCGAGCCTCTTGAATCTTCCGATGAAGAGGATGCCGGCGCAGACGAGCCGTCAAGCAAACAACCCACTAAACTACCCAGCCGCGGTGGTGTCAACGCGGCGGACGTACTGGCCCAGATTTGCCGTGAAACACTCGAGAAGACCTTGACAACACTGAAAACCGGCATCGAGAACGAGGCCAACGCCACAAGACGCGCCGAGTGGACACTACGCAGAAAAGCGGTGGAAGCATACGGCGCGGAGCTAGAGGGGCGGCTCTTTGATCTAAGCGAGATGCTAGACAGCAACTTCATGCTCAGCGCCAAAGTCAAGAAGGCAAAGCGCAACATGCTGGACTTGCGAGGTCGTCTCGACCGCGTGCGCAGAGAGCGCGAGGCCGTCGCCCTGAGAATGGACGCCGTGCGAAGGGAGCATGCCAAGGAAGAGCAAGCTGGACTGGTAAGTTTCTTCATCGTCTATACTAGGAATAATCTAACGAATCAGGCGCGCTCTACAATCAACCACTCCCTACACAATCTCGACCTTGCCCTCGAACGCGGGCAGAATCGCACAACAGCGCAAGACGAATCGCTAACAGCCGGCCTGGAGTTTCGCCTTCGCAGCTTGGCACGGAACGTGAGCTCCAGTGTACCGGGCTCTTATGGGGGCATCTTGCACCAGATTAAGTCATTCAATGCGCAGCTTGAGGCTACGGCGCGGCGGTTAGAGGGATGAGATGTCATTGTTGAGATTAACTACGAATCTTGTTGTTACTACAGCGAATCTGGATAGATGTTTGATTAATGAGGAACGGCCGGTACCAATTCTCATCTGATATGTAAACGTGCACCTCTGTTAACTGTAACAGGATACTTCAGTCGGATTAAACGGCTTGAACTTGACGTGAAGTATGGTAAGGCAGAAATTCCCTGCCTCAGGCTTGCCACCACCGGAGACTTTCTTGCCTCTCGATTCATCCGAAGCCTGCCGATTGGCCCAGTGCCGGATATCCGCCCCTGACGATTAATTAGTCAGTCAGATCTTTATCGTGTCTCAGTGTCCCTGTTTTGTGCTTGCTAAGCGTCTCATTATCAAGCCATGGAATCTTCACGACCTAGAGTAAAGCGGGCCTTCCTCGGTGTTTTGGGTGGGTTTGTAGTACGTATAGGTAGTATAAAGGCCGCCGTGCCCTGCGCTGTTGATCTTCAGACTACTACGATTCAAGAAAACCGCAACCACAGCCCTCCTACACTCTCCTATACTCCTATCAACCTACTCTACTGCTGCTCCTCCAAGACACCACAATAATAAACATGGAGTCCTCTAAACTCTTCACGCCGCTCAAGGTGGGCTCCATCAACATCGCCCACCGCATCACCCTGCCACCAATGACCCGCTTCCGCGTCGACGACGGCCACATCCCGCAAGAGCAGGTGGCCGAGTACTACGCCCAGCGCGCCGCCGTCCCAGGCACCCTACTCATCACGGAAGCCACGCTGGTCTCGCCCCGACCAGGCGTGTACACGAACGTCCCCGGGCTCTGGAGCAAGGAGCAGATCGCGCAGTGGCGCAAGGTCACGGACGCCGTGCACGCAAAGGGCAGCTTCATCTACAACCAGCTCTGGGCGCTTGGGCGCGTCGCAGACCCCGAGGCAACGAGGAAGGAGAACGGGGCGGATGCGCGCGTCATGAGCAGCAGTGCGACGCCGCTTGATCCGAATGGGGAACCGCCCAAGGAGATGAGCGAGGAGGATATTGCCGGCGTGATTGCGGACTTTGCGAGCGCTGCGAAGAATGCGATTGAGGCGGGTTTTGACGGTGTAGAGATCCACGGTGCCAATGGGTATCTTGTTGATCAGTTTATTCAGAAGGCTGTCAATAAGCGCGGTGATCGCTGGGGTGGGAGCGTCGAGAACCGCGCGCGGTTCCCGCTCGAGGTGATCAAGGCTGTTGTCGAGGCGATTGGTGCGGAGCGCACGGCTATCCGGTACAGTCCCTGGAACAAGTTCCAGGGGATGGGCGTCGACTCGGATGAGGAGCTTATCGCGCAGTTCGGGTACTTGGCCAAGAAGACGGCGGAGTTCAAGCTTGCGTTTGTGCATCTTGTTGAGGCGCGGATTGCGGGGAATACGGAGACGGACGACACCGCTGGCCGGAATCTGCAGTTCTTCTTCGATGCGTATAACCGCGCCGGACCGATTATGGTTGCTGGAGGGTATGTGGGCGAGACTGCGCGCGAGGCTGCCGATGTGCAGTACAAGGACTATGATGTTATGATTGCCATTGGGAGGCCGTGGACTGCCAACCCAGATCTTCCTTTCAAGGTGAAGAAGGGGATTCCCTTGCGCCCCTATGAGCGGGAGCACTTCTACACCGTGCGCAGCCCCAAGGGATACATTGATTATGAGTTCAGCGAGGAGTTCAAGGCGTCTGCTGGTGCTCGGCTGTGATCTTGTTTTTGCATAGCGTGTGATTTGATTTGTTGTATAGACGCATAGATGTGTATAGACTATAATGCCATGTGATAACTATGAGTCCTTTCACGTCTTAGCAGCGATAGCATATGCCAGATATACTGGATACCATGCCTTTACAGTCTTCGAGTCTGCATTCGCCCATGAGCAGGTAGCTTGGCCAAGTACTGTTGGGTTCTTCATCCGTCAGTCCCTACCTAGTGGTCGAAGTTAGCGGTTCATGGCTACTGCCAAGTCCTAGGAATGATCCCGTTGACGGTGGTCCGCTACTATAGTTGTCCGCCTTTCTCGAAGAGATGAAGCATCCTCCAGAGAGTCTTTTGACATGAGATAATACTTCAGCTTGCCTCACATAAAACAGAGTCGAATAGCCGCCAAAGTTCCCTTGACATATCAAGTGAAGCTGATAAGAGTTCTCCGAAAACACTTGATAGCTTGGCCAGAAAGAGAAATTGGAGATGTAGCCAGCGCTGGTTACATCTACATCGGACAACAAGCATCATCTCATCTCTAACGAGACTACCTGTTAGCCATTATGGAAAGAGCTTACATGGTCCGCAGCTCCGCACGCAGAATACTCCGTAGGCAACGTCCGTGCACTCAACCATTGACTCAACAGCTCAACAATCGCACTGTTAGCCTCCGGAGTAGTATGGTAGTTTGTAGCCGTAGCGGTGAGCAAAGTCTAATGTTAGCTGGACCCCGGATTGACGATCGCCAGTGCCACATGAATAATGAGCTTGGCTACGCACGAGCATGTGGACTGTGGAGGGCAGGATCAGGGAAAACACCGTCATGATCGTCGGGGCAAACTTCAAAGGCACTCCGGTGCAGATCGTATGATGATGCATTATGCACTATCCTGTAGCTTCCTGAAATCGCCTACTCTGGTTGGCCGGAGTGAACGATACTCCGTAGGTAGTCCGTAAAATTCTCCGCGATGCTGGATGGCAGGCGCTATCGGACAGAGTTGAAACTATCCATTGCCATAGAGCGATAGTCGGCTTGCTTCCTGATGCCGAGATCAGAAAGTGGAGCCCAAGGCTCTTGGACATCGATAGCGTTATTCTCTCTAACGCCGTACATACCACCGTAGAATCTGGTGGCCGAAAAATTAGGCTGGAAGAGGCGAGATCTGAAGAAGTTGGTTTGAGCAGTTGCGTCAAACTCCAAGCCTCAAAGCATGGAATAAACAGGAACCTCCGCTCCGCCGACCCGGTAAGTAACGACCCAGGGTTGGATATGGGGGCTTGTTGAGGACTCCAGGCTCGTGGCGGCTGCAATTTCCCCAGAGCCTTATCCCAAGGACCAGGTTCAGATGGCGGGACTTCCTGCGAGTGTGAACGAAGCGCATCCTTCGTTCGGACCTGGTTTGCCTCTCGCCGAGTCGGTGGTGGGACTCGGCATTGGGGTCTGGAGTCTGGGGCGGAAGACCCGGATGAATGGATGGCGAATTGCATGCTCAGCAGCTTAAGATACGTTGCTGTGACGTTTTCCATGGTTGAGCAAGGCACATCTGCATCTTAACCACGAAGTAGGATCTGGTACCGATATTTGGTATGTGAATGCATTTTCAGGGCGGCATGCTTTTTTCGGGGTAGGATGCGACAATCAACTTTGACCTGACTTTTGATCTCCCTCATCCCGTGACCTGCCAGGGCGTCAAAGCCCAAACATACCGGTGTATCTGCAAATACCATGTGAACGAATCAGTTCTGCCCTTTCTGGCCACGTTCAGCGGCGCAATACTTGTGCTGGGCAAGATTAGGCTATAGCCGTAAGACATACGGAGTAGCCAGCAGTAAGACAGATCGAAGTAACGGGGCTTCTCCGGCGTGGATTGTCTGTTACACACTGTGGCGTAGCAGCCCTACAGAGCACCTCAAGCTCCGGGGTAGATCTTTAATGTGTTCGTCATTTGCGCCGATTCATCAAGTCGCTAGAGCGGCGAGCCTTGTGAAGCTGTGTCGAACTGACGATGGAGCTTACCCCACAAACAGTGGATATAGGCCGTCGCTGACTGACTCGTATAGCTATACGGCGTAACGGCACGTAGAAACTGAGTATGGGCCCATGGGTAGATACGTAGTTTCCCACTAGGTTGAGCTTCCTCCACGTGGGGTATATCCAAGCCGGGGAAGGACCAAGCCGGGGAAAAGGAAGTACTTGTTTACTGATTACCGATAACCGAAAGTGCTGGTGACGTTCAAGTAGTAGTTCTGTCAAAGAGACGACGACGAACAACGCTCGCCGGCCAACGGTGACAACAGGCCACAGCTCTCCGCACCCTCTTGCCTGACGCGATTAGGAATCAAGGGTTGCTGCCGACTTCCGGGTGCCACGGCCGATTGCCAGGATAGATATATCAGCTGTTGATAATTCGCTGGGATGCTGAATCCTCTAATGTCGAGACACGACAAAGAGCAGCTCGGTCACACCGGACATCCGCTTGAGATGCAGAATGAATGATTTTGTCCGTAGCAAGCTCGACCCCGAGACTGTACAAGCCGCTATCGTGTATTTTGTACCTTCTTGTGCGATGCCTTCGAATCAAGCATTGCTTCCAAGGGTTGATATATTAATAACCCGAGAGGCAACCGATGGCTGCAGTGTCACCGTTAGGTCAGCCTAGCTATAGAGAATTCGCACCAATCAATACACTCCGCAACGCATAGCACAGACGCTCTAGCGTAACCCGTAAATAATGGCAGCAGGGATGAGGTTGGCCAAGAACGAGCTACGTATCAACTTCTCCATGACTTGCTAGTAGGGAGGATGACTGCACGGATGAGTTCTCTCGCATCACGCCGGATGCGGAACGGAGGCAGTTCAACGAGCAGGCCACATAGTTGCCTTTGCGCATGCTCGGAGTTTCAGTTGACGAGCAGCATATCGGGCCAGGACCGTATTAGACTTTGATTTTCATGCAAGGTCCCTAGTAGTTGGCCGCTAAACGAATGAGGATAGACTCGCTGTTTCACAGAGAAATTGCGCCACTGTAGTACGAGCAAGGACATTGCCGTAGTATAAAATAGCGTGGCCGAACTCAGGAGTCAGGAGCTATATAAGGCTGAGTATCGTTGTTAAACAATTATTTGATGATACCACGGCGACTGACAAGATATTGTTGTATCTTGCAGCACGAGCGCCGTGACGGCAACAATCTGCCAAACTGCCAGCGATCTTGGGCTCCTGTCAAACTGTCACAGTTTCAAGCTAGTCGAGATAGTCTACAACAAAGTCGGACGGGAACTCGATGGGATGTTGGAACCCCTTCGCAAATGAAACCGTAATCTTATTTTGTCCGCGGCGCGCCGGCGCTGTCGCATACTCCCGCTGGATCGGCTAGCGAGGATTAAGATTCTGCACCATGGAACGTCAAGTCGACCAGAACCAGACAATCGCCAGAGTGACCAGGCGAATTTGTGCGTAAAGAACCCGCATACTAGCCTTGCCATAGCCACGCTGACACTGGACAGCCTCCCGTCCGGTCGGCGACTAATTTCTGGCCCCGGTTCCTACGGAGCCGCGTTGCGTCTGGACTTTTGGAAAGTGGATTGATTCGCCTGCGCCGTCTCACTCTCAAGCACAGAAGGAGTTTGAACTGCATCAAATTGCGCCGGCCGATCTCTCGGAAGAACATGAACGCGCAAGACGGCATTGTTGTTTTGTTTCGATCATCGACGCGGGACGGCGGCAGTATCCATCTGCCGGCCGACTGCAAATCTGCGAGATTTTCTCAACTGCCATCGGGTTCAAGCTTTTGGGTTAGCGTAGGGATATACCGAGGTTGAAGAGCGAGACCCACGCAGCTAGCCATGGCCATCGTCAGCAAATCGAGTTCTCAGTTCCCACAGCTTCCCAAATTAACCGATTCTCCGGCCGTCCGTGGCATCAGAAATTAGCTTGTTCCAAAGCTGCTTGCAGGCTGTCAACAGACTCCGGGATCGGAGGGCCCTGCATGAGCATGATTGCAAGTGCATCCAACCAGGCCATCAAGAGAGCACGACTTGGAGAGCTTGTGGATCGGCGTTGCGGAGAGAGCTAGCTCTGTAGAAATTCAAAATCAATGACGGGCGAGCGGGTCACGGGAAGCTGACTAAGACTTAGTATACGTATTGCACTGGTACGCGGAAGCCCCGGCTGTCTGAGATCATGAGACCCCTTCTTACAAAGAATGCTATTCTCAGCTACGTAACAGAATAAGCCCTGTTAAGAGTAAGACTCGTAGGACAAGGATTTCCCGTCAGCACAGGCGCAGAGGCGTCCGTAGTCGATAGTGGCGTACGGTAAGCGAAGGTTACAGGGCGTCATGGCTCATGGCAATCCTTAGCCAGCCAACCATGAATCCTGGTAGCAAATGGCAACTCTTGTTATTGGCCAAGCCCCGGATATCCCCCACCAAGGCCTTCTCCGCTCTGTGTCCGGGGTTCGTATCCAGTGGTAATGGCTGGTATCGTGGTATACCCAAGTTCAAGTCGCCCAACCATTCTTCAAGTGCTCAATCACTGACCAGTAACTGAGTGACCTGCCACTTTCAGTATTCAGGGTCGCCATGATTTGCAACTGCCAATTCCCTTCGCCCTTGCCCCCGCTGATTTCTCCGCACTCTGTCTGTTGGGGTTGAGGAGGATTCGCCCACGGTTCCGGGGACTTCTGCTGCCTATATCTATCCCTGCTGCTCTCGTGCAGTTCGGCTTCTCATCTCCAGCTCACTGTCTCTGAGTCTCAAGAGTTCTATTGTCACTATATCGACGATCGCAAAGTTCAGCTAAACGCTGCTAAACCGCCCGGCGCGACTCTAAGCGTCCCCAGTCATCCCTTTTGTGGATAGAAACCGGTCCATCGCACGCACATCAATTCTCATCCCAGACCCTCGCCTCCACTTCGAGCAAGTCAATTCTCGCTGGATTATTTCCACGCTTTTTTTTCCATTTTCACCGGAGAATAATTCAAATCAAAACAAAACGGAAGGCGAGCTAGCTGATCAACTAACGGTGCTTCCTCCCTGTTTGGGTAAGTTGCTGCCAACCTGCGTTCGTCCGGCCTGTCGTCCATCCAGCCCATGCATACTTATTGCCTCTCCTCCCTGCTCTATCTGCTTGCTTGCTTCTCTCCCCATCTTCCTTGTTCTCTTTTCCCCAGGTCTTCAACAAGTTTGACAAGTGCTCTTGTTTGACCCGCCCCAGCTGTGCTGTGTGCCACTTTTTTCTCCTTACCTTATTTTTTCTTCGAGCCGAGCCTCGACTTTACCCTCTCCAGCTAGCTGGATTTGCCTGAAAAATCGACAAAACAAAAAAAAAGAAAAATTCAAAAAACTGACCTCGAGAAGATCAATCGCATAAATATCATCATGTCTGCCGAACAGAATCACGGACTCGAGAAGGATGTCGGTGCCCCTGCTGCCCCTGCTCCCGCGGCCCCCAATGCGCCTATGGGAGTCAACGGCGGTCTTCCTGGCGGCATGACTGCTGAGGAGCACCGATCGCGCTTTGGCTACGGTCCCCTGTCGCACGTCAACACCCAGGAGGCTGTTCTTCGCCCATTCGGTGGTGAGTTCCAGCCCGGTCTGTACAAGTCGGTCGAGACGCGCAAGTTCGCCAACCCAGCTCCGCTTGGTCTGTGTGCTTTCGCCTTGACCACTTTCGTCCTGAGCTGTATCAACATGGGAGCGCGGGATATCAGTGCACCCAACATTGTCATCGCCTTGGCTTTTGGTTATGGTGGTCTCGTCCAGCTGCTTGCTGGCATGTGGTAAGTGCTGCCTTTCGTGCCGCGCTGGACCGGTAGACAGAAAGCTAACCATGCGCTTCGCATAGGGAAATGGCTATTGGAAACACTTTTGGTGCCACTGCTCTGTCCTCTTATGGTGGCTTTTGGCTCGCCTTTGCCATTGTCCTCACTCCCGGTGGTTTCAACATCCAGAGCGCTCTCACGGAAAATGGCGATGAGACGATGTTCTACAACTCGTTCGGATTGTTCCTGATGGTAAGTGCTTTGGACAGATGTAATCGCGAGCGATCGGCGCTGACAGAACTCTCAGGGCTGGTTCATCTTCACCACCATCATGCTCTTCTGCACCCTGCGATCAACCGTCGCCTTCTTCTCCCTGTTCTTTTTCCTGGACATCACCTTCCTGCTCCTCGGTGTCGGTTACATCCAGCGTAACGATGCTGGTGTCCCCAACCCTCCCGTTATCAAGGCCGGCGGTTTCTTCGGTCTTCTGGCTGCCTTTGCTGCTTGGTATAACGCCCTCGCCGGTATTGCCGACAGCAGCAACAGCTTCTTCGTCATCCCCGTCGCCCACTTCCCGTGGTCGCCGACCGGCCGTGCTCGTCGCGACAAGACCGAGCGCGAGACTGTCTAAATCTTTCACAATTCAGACAACGAATAGTCCAGGTAGCGAGAGTTATCTGGCGCGTGAAGGACAGTCTCAACTTGCAGATATAGTATAGACTGCAATATGATCCCCAGATACCCGATCGTAAGATCATCGTTGCGAGAGGGCCGTTGTTTTGGTTATGGATACCGATATATGGGGTCGACGTGCTCAGCAACGAGGAAATGGTCTTGCGGTATATGACGTTTTTTCTTTGTGGTTTCCTATCCGATGCCGTTAATATTTTTGATTAGTCTTAGTTCAGTTTAATGAAATTGTGATGATTCAAGACAAACCTGATCCAATGCCTCCTGTTCTTCCGATGACCTCCATGGCTTGCCTTCAGCTTATCTGAGCCTGCGACTCCTTCGCCTCAAGTACTGTGGTATGCAAGTAAGTTGCAATCTTGACCAGTCAGTGTCACAGTTAGTACAGCAGATCAAGTGGGTTGCGGGTTGCATGAAGAACTTGGAAGCCGAGTTCTGTGCCCCTTGCGGGCGCGAGAACAGAGGCCCCAGTGGTCACTGTCCAAAGTGACCAAGGTTCTTCCCACATGAATGAAGCATCTCCATCAACGAAGGTACCTAAACAGAGGTATACCCTGTCTTGAGTGCAGCCATGATAAGAAACAAGAATAGCATGCGAAAGACAAGCGCATCCAAGTCCTAGATATGAAACTGGGTACGTTCTGCACGCGAGGGATCCAAGAGATAAAGAGAGAAAATAATAGCGCGCGAAGGAGCGAAGGGGTAAACTAGACTAGATATATGTCTCTCCAAAATTTCCCGCGGTGGGGATACATCGGGCTTTTCTCGGTGCCTGGTCGTTAGTCGTTAGTAGTGAGGCATTTGCCTGCCAAGTTGGTGATGTGATGTGTCTGCGGGAGAAACTCGGTCGGGGCAAGCTCGGGCTTGACCTGAGTCTCGACTCCATCCGACATCGCGGCATGGGACGGATGGTGCCGGGGGCTACGGAGTGCTAAAAGGGGACTTGTTGGATGGCACCTGTCAGACTGACTCGGTTCACTGTTCTAGCTGCTTTTATGTTGTTATCCTCGAGGGTCTCATGCCTGTCTTTGGCCGTATGTCTATATGCTGGAGTAGTAGAGTTGAAGGAAAAAAAGTGTTGACGGGGCGGGACGGGATGCCGAGCTGCCATGTCAGACTCAGGTCCGAGCCAGCTCCGACTGGGCTGATGTGCAGGGTAGCTGATCAGTCCACGGCTGCAGGAGCAAGCTTGGCTGTTCTGGGCCGTGCAGACACCGACGGGTCTAATTTCAAGCTTGCTGGAGAATTATTGACTGATCATCTTGCTGATTTTTGATCAGAATCATACACCATATATTAATGTTTTGTGATGCCGGGGGTATATAGGTATATTCATCACGACATGGCTCATCTCATGTACCATGCCTCATTAGCTAGATAGATACAATATATATAGAATCATCTCAATTACTGTTTATACAATGCGGGTGCGGAGCCGGCGTCGTTTGGAGTTCGTCCCACAACGACCGCAGCGGGCCTAGGTAGCACCGGTCGACGTAAAAGTAGCCAAACAGAATGGCACGAAGCTCCTGCCACGACTGGACGCCCTGGAGGCGCACTGCAGATGCGAGCTCGTTGACGAAGAAATTCCGCTGCTGTGGCATCCTGCTGCTGCACGCGCCGACGAAAAGCAGCCATATCAGCAGACCCCGGCATAGGTGGTAGCACCCCGCGCGGATGGTAGACTCGAGAGCCATCTGCAAAGCTATGATCGGCTTGGGGAAGACCGGCGCGATCTGCGGGTAGAAGTCCCAGATAGCAGTGTTGTGGAACAACAGGCACGCCAAGCGGACGCAGCCCTCGATCGATGCGTCCCCCTTTACTTCGCCTGACGCCGTGTATCGGTCGCTGTGGAGTGCGTACTCCACGTAAAGCACCTCGGTGTTGTAGTAGCACTCAGTTTCTTCGTCAAAGTCCTGTTCTTGTGGACCACCCTTGACCCATTCCGCATACCAAACGAGATCGGTCAGGTCGTAGATAATCTGGGACATGACATCACTAAAGATGCCGGGTATCTGAATCAAGCTCACCAAGCTAGATGCGGTCGATTCCAGCTCTTTAGTCGGAGGGGTGATAGTGAAGTTCTTTGGCCGGGCATAGCGGACAAACGGGAATATGGGTTTGGTCAAGGACATGCATGCGACACGAATATCGGTCCTGCTAAAGGTCAGTACACTTCCGGCGAGAATATTGGGACAAGACTGACCATGAAATTTGGAATCGAACATCGTCAGCGACATCTGCAAAACTAACCCTCATCCCAACCATCTGTCTTAACCCGGCGAGATGAATCTTGAGATAGTCGGGATCGCCGGTTGCAATCTGTGCCGGTCAGCTGGATCTTAGCAAGCGCGCGGAGTGTCATACCTCAACCGTCAATAAGACAGACACCGCAGCAATCAGCTCGTCGCTAGCGGCCTTAATGGGGTCTGATAAACCCTCATTGACTAGCCGGATAGTTTCACCACGGTGATGGAATGTGTCGAGAAGTAGCACGCTCGAGCTTTTCTTCTCGTCTGTCAATGGAAACTCGCCGGATTCGAGGGCGGAATTCGTCGCGGCGACACAAATACAAGCATGCAATGAGGCAGGATCGTGGGACACAAGAGAGGCCCAATGGGCCTCTAACTTGGCACCATACCGACGTTGTAACGGATATGCAAGTCGGGTCAGTTTGCATAAGACTATCGTCGTTAGCACAGTACAGCCGATTGTGTATGTACGTTCTTACAGTGTTGTAAATGCCGGTACATGCGCTCCGAAAGAGGAGTATGCATCGTGCTGAAAGGATCACTCGTCCCTTGCCCTACATATGTGTACGGTGAGGGATCCTGGATAACGGCAAGAGCCTGACTCTCAGGCTGCACCCCGTAGTTGTCGACAGGAGCCTCGGATACAATAGGATAATTGTGAACCACCTCAACATGCCCCGGCTCTTCTTCTTTTATAGGTTGGTTCTCGGGAGACGGTGATTTCGACGACGAGGACGACGGGGAGTAATGTTGAGCAGGGAGCGGTGTGCTTCGTGATGTCTTGCGGGAAGTCTGTCGAGCTGCTTCGGCAGGAGATGCGGTCTCGGTGGTACTGGCAGCAGTCGTCGAGCTGGAGGCAGCCGTTTCCGCGGGCTGGTATGCGAGGTGCTTCCAGGCCTTGCTCTTGTATCGTTTATTCGTCTCGAGTCTCTTCTTGCGGTTGTGCTCGGACATGACATGGGACCGGATGAGTTTCAGCGTTTCCTCGCGAGTGCCCTCCGCGACCGACTGCGGGTCGTTATGGACCCAAAAGAGGGTCGAACGACCCTGCGACGCATTGCCCTGCTTCCGAGGCTTGCGGACTTTGGTCACAGCGGCTTTCCCTGAGCCCCGACCCGAGTCGCCAGCGACCGGTGGTTGTGCGGCATGAATCGCGTCGGGGACGCCGGCTGTTGGCGGCGGAGCATAGGCGGGCAGGGGCAGCTGCGGCGGCGTGGAGGAGGGCGGAGATACCGAGTGAGGCGGCGGATAATGGTGATGGTGGTAGTTCTGGGCTATAGCCGGGGTATTATTATTGTCGTGAGCCCAGGGGGCTGGCCGGGAGACGACAGGGAAGAAGGGGAGAGAGTGGTCGGCGACCGGAGGATGAGCCGTGGAGGGAGGAAGGGAGTTCTTGGCGTCCATCGCACAGGCGCAGCAGTTCACAGATCTCGCTGGCGATCTTCATGGGCACTCATTATTTTCCTGGATGGGCAGCTGGCAGGGGCAAGGCGAGCGGAGAATGGGGGGAGAGGTGAAGGAGCAGCTGGAGGAAAAGCTGAATGGTCAGCGCACTGCCCCTATCAGGAAAAGCCCATGTTCTTGCGACACGGGTCTCGATGGCAGTGGACACGCAGGGCTGGGCGTTGTATTGAGGAATGTAACGAAGGAGAAGACGCGAGAGAGGGAAGAATTGGTTGTCCCTGTCGTCGAGTCTTAGTCTTCTTAGTGCAAGAGGCTAAGATGGAGCACAAAGTAATGAATCTGGACAGAGCAGCGTCCGGAAGGGACTTGCCAGGCCATCGGACACGAGAGTCAGCATATCCGAATCCTGCTTTTCACCTCGCTTTTCTCGTTCTCGCTTTTCTCCTCTTCTTCAGGCCCATTTGCAGCCAATCAAGCAGCCGGCAGCCATGTTCTGGATCTCGGATGCTGCGGCTGCCGGCGTCCGGGTGGAGCTCGGTTCCCGTGGATAAACGATAACGCTCCTAGATCGCTCGGGTATATCTTCCTCCCATATGGCCTCCTTGCGTGTCTTTGTTTATTTATGAGACAGTTGTATTCGCTATTACTACATCGTGCGCCCGCGCTGCGAGCTGTATGAAATTCAATGATAGAATGGTAACAATGGCAGGAGAATAGTGATAAAATTAGAGATAACGACGCATAGAGATAACACGAGTCGCGAGGTGCCGCCGCCATCCGGAAAGCTAGACGAGCGTCACGAAAATCCAGGGCGTGGAAACACAGAGATCGTATCCAACTGCTCCAATCCGCCCATAGTGCCCTGTTGTCCGTTGGTTGTCTGCCACCCTTGACCTTGTTGTACAAGCGCGCTCTGTCGGAACGGATTTGTACTCCCTGTAGGCGTAGGCCGAAGGGTCGCGGCAGAAGGCTGCAATCCCTGAGATTGCTGCGGTGGGACAGATGAGCTTCGAGCGAAAGGATTCGTCCCCGTCCGCTGGGGCTGAAGAGCCGCTGGCTGCTGGGGTGGCTGAGACTGTTGAAGAGCCTGGGGAAACGGCTCGGGAGGGCTAGGGGTAAAAGATGGGTTGGCAGTGGATAGCCGCTTCGCAAAGGGATTTGTGTTCTGGCGGTTCATGGGCGATGGTGGTACACTCGAACCCGTCTGGGTGTTCATCAGCATTGATTGCCTGAAGGGATTAGTTGTCTGCGGTTGAAGGGTAGCCGGTGACGGCTGCTGCTGCGGAAATGCCGCGACATTGTTCTGCGGGATTGGTGGAAGTTGCGATTGGAATCCTTGAGCCTGAGCTTGCGGTGTATAGCCACCAAATCCGGCACCAGTTGGGGTCGATTGAAGGGGCGCAGGCACTTGCTGTTGACCAAACTGGCCAATATTCTGTGCTGTAAATGGTCCTCCAAATGGTGCCTGCTGCCCGAATCCAGTAGGTTGCTGACCGAACTCGGCGGGCTGGGGTTGTTGCTGGAACCCTGTCTGTTGTGGGTAGAATGAGGGCTGTTGTCCAGGAAAGCCAGTCTGTTGAAACTGCATGCCTTGTGGCTGCTGCGGTTGTTGCTGGAATTGAGCTGGCTGAGCCGGCTCAATGGAGTCGAAGAAGTCTATAAGGTTCGATGGTGCCGCCCTCGGTTGGGGGCTGGGCTCCGTCTTTGGTCGAGGAGGCGTAGGGTTCGCGTTGCTGGCGGGCTTATCACCAGTCGTCGATGCTGCTGCGAAGGCACTGCTGCTTCCACCTTTCCCTTTCCGCGCAAGATATTCTCTCCGGCGCTGATTAAAGTCCGGATCGTTCAGGTCGTCCTCAAGGAGACGTGTTAGATCAGTGGACGCGTGCTTCAACTTGGGTATTTCTAGCCTTGTCGCTGATTCGAAATGTCGAGCGACTCCCAGAAACTTGACGACCTCTTCTGTTTGCGCGGTGAAAGTCTTGTAAATATCCAGCGCGCGTTCGCTATCGGGGCGCGACATTTCAAAGTAATGTTCTATCCGCCATTAGTGATAACTGCCCAAATATTGCGGTATGCCTAGCCTACCTAGGACATTGATAGTTCCCTCATTCATGACCGAGTATAGAGTTAAGAGGTCCAATGTAAGAAGACGGAATGCCGTCAAACTTATTTCGTTTTCGACTTCATCGGTTAAGAACTGATACTCGTCAGCCACAGCCCAACGACAGGTAGATATATGGTACGAACATCGCATCTCAGGAGCTCTTTGATCTGTCTTTGAACAACTTCGGTTTCTCGCAACAGACCCTTTTCAACGGTAAGCCGTTTCATCCGACCCTGTCCGCTCCGTACGTAATCTGTCTTTGTCTGCTCGAATGCTTTTGCGCGGGCAAGAAGGTACTGGGAGTATCGTCGGATATTGCGCCCTTGCGGTTGAACTGCGTCACATAGTGATTAGCATTGTAACAGCCAAATATCCTGGCGAGCCCACCCTCTGATAACCCGTGGACGGCGATTTTCCTTGGATTCTCCGCCATGTATTGTAGCGTGGCGTCCAACTGGCCCTCGCGGATCATAAAGTGAATCACGATGAGGGCCTTGAATGCGATCGTCCATGTCGTGTCGCGAACCCGAAGATGCAGTGTCCGGAATATCTCGGCGACTCCAGCTTCGCCTGTATGCGTCGCTACTAGGATGTGTTCGATGTATTTTGACTTAGGGGCGGCAAGCTACAAAAGGAAAACAGACTATCAGCATCCCGCAGGCAAATAAAGGCGCAAGCAGAATCCCTACTGACTTTGACCTTGGTGGCCCCTTTAACCGACTTCTCAAAGTTTTGGGCCATTGTCGAGGTTGTCTGGGGTCTCTAGAGTTGCGACGGGATTGCGAGAGTATCGTAGCGCAAGCTTGGGCAATTTCCGGGTGCTAGCAAAGCCAAGTGACAGAAGAGTTTGGCAATGACTACTGTAGACTGTGGATTGTTTCGTTTGCGCCAGCTCCAATTGAAGTCATGGTGGATTAAGCCATCCCGAGAAACGTGGATCAGGGGAGCAAAAACGACAGGTAGGGACAGCTCGTGTGTGATCGGTCCAGCCGGGAATACCGATGTAATAATGTACTGTATCGTAGAACCGTCCGATCGACTGGGCAGGTGGATTGGGCGAAGTTCGCAAACCGGAGCGGTCGTGTCGTGGGGGGTGAAAGCGAGGAGCATCACGACAACAGGCCCAAGTCCGACGCCGCCTTCTTCGGTTTGGCTGCCTAAGCTCCACATCGTCTCAGGCACTCTACAAGATGACAACCTTGAACCACAACAATTGATACTGTGGAAAGCCAGTCAACGCTTACTGAGCTTGTGGTCTATAACTCAATTGTCATTTTCCAGTTCCTCCAATGCTAAGGCGTGTTTCTCTTAATCACCCAATAACTTGTCAGCAGATGTATATATGGGGTGAAAGTGAAAGATGAATAACCTCACTTACAGCTCAACCATGTTACCTCTTGAGTTATACATCGTCTTTCCATGGATTGGCACCAACAAGCTCGCAGATATAGGCTCTGCCTCGAATATCGCAGACAGAGGCCTATTGCTTATCTGCTCAAAGAACTAGAATGCCGATGACCATGATATCTTTTAACATCTTTCAACACGAGATGGGTTGAGAGGAAAAGCCCCTCGTCTATGAGATCAAAAGGTCTTCTCCTCTCTCCAATATATCTGCAGATTCCACTCAGGACCAAGTAACTTTTGTGTTGATGACTGCCTATGCTCCTTTCTCCTGGTCCTTCCTCATCTCTCCTTAATGCCTTCGAACTGCCTTCCCCTCTCTGCATTCCCTATCCGCAGATACCCCTCAAGTAACTCTTGTGTTGTCGACTGCCTACGCTCGTTTCTCCTTGTCTTTTCTTATTTCTTCTTCTTTCCACTCCAACCTTTCAATTACGCCTTCGAACTGCCTTCTCCCTTCCCTTTACCTAGGAATTCGTGTCTATACATTGCCTTCTCCCCAGTGAAGCTTCTGTTGCTTGACGACTCCAGACCATGGCGCTCAATGCCCTTGACATGCGCACCAGGGCACCGAGACTGAGATGGTCCTCGGAAACGAGGAAGTTCTTGTGCTGTCTGGTCAAGTATTTTGACAAGGATAACTCTGGCTTCCAAGCCGTGTTCAATGCTCGTTTTAGAAAAGAGCTTACCGAGTCTGGCTTCAAGGAGGAAGAGTTTATCAAGTGGGACACACTCAATAGCCAGTGGGCAGATATGAAGTTCAAGAAAGACTCCATTTGGAAGGACATACACCAGTCAGATTCTAGTCCCGAGGCGTGGCTGCCTTACATTAAAACGATTGAAGACACTGCAGCCTCGATCGGTCAGCATCTAGACAGGAAATTGCTCATCAGTGTCGAAACTTCGGAGTTTACTTACCAGACTCCCGTCCCTCGTGCAGAGACAGTAAGTAACTGAGACGTTTTGACACTTGATATCTAACTGTCTTAGGACGCCGAAAGACAGCTGTTCCAGGCGGAAATTTCCATCGAGCCCCCTCGCGTTCATGCAGACCCTGTACGTGGATGAGCTCTATTGCTGGCTAAGACTAACTGTTCTAGGTGCAGGATTTAGCCAACGATCCCTTTGAAAACACCACTTTGCAGCAAAAGGATACCAAACACGCATTAAGCCAGCCCGAGCCTGTGCCGCTTTGCAGGCCTGGAACCAAGTGTTATTGGTGCGATATCGAAAGTCTCAACGAAGTGAGTGTCGGTAGAATTCAGTAACCTTCACCGCTGACTTTTGTAGAAAGCAATCAACGGGGCAGGTGGCACGCAGCTTCCTCCGCTGCTATACCGGTGGTGGAACGTCAAGTCACAAGGGCTCAATTTGGAGAACTCATTCGTCGCCGGAATGTTTGCAAGCCTGCTCGAGGGCTATTTTGAACCAGACACGATCACCGAGGATGAGTTTGATAACCTCTTTGAAAGTCACATTCGGCGCAAGCAATTACCGTCTCCCTTCATTTCAACCTTTCAATCCATGCTTGCACCGGTGCACCGGGGACTGAGGGAGGGAAAAGGCGCCTCAATAGCCATATTCGACTCGAGAAGAATAACGTCTAAGGTCTATTCTGCCCGCAGCTTTGTCGAAAAGCACAAGCTAAGGGGCAAAATAGGGCGGACTTACCATGGTGGCGGGGAGTACTTGATATGGGGTTGGATCAACAATGCTGTTATTTGTAGCTTTGAGGTTGCTACAATTCTTTCTATTGCTGCTCAGCATCAAGATATCCACGAATTCTTGCAACTGGACCTGATTTCCAGCTTTCCTAGAGCCAGATGGCCCCTACACCAGGCCATGGCCAAAGGTGCTTTATTCTTGGACAAGCAGGCGGGAGCTACGGTTGGAAAACTTCTGTCCCTTTTGGAAGTCCCGCAGGAATTCTGCCGCACCGTCAGTGAAGGAATTGCATATTCGTGGAGGATGAAAAATAAGCACATCCCTTGGGGAGACTTCTTCTATGGCGTTGAGCTCGGTTACAGGGGCGAACCGGTCATGGCCGCATTACGCACGCCTGAGAACACCCCTGAGTCAAATGGCGGCATCCCTTGCGGTAGATTTGACTCCGAGTTTGAGATAATTGACCTATCATCTGATGACGAGGGCAACGGGTCGGACGCCACTACTGACTACCCGGACAAAGACAACGAGCACGACAAAGACGTGGTCGAGCCTATGGACGAAAGTCGAAACGCCGTCGCCATCTCCCCGGCGCGGCGGGAATGCTAACCTTTCTTGCACGAGATTGGACGATGCTCTGGGAGCACAGCTTTCGAATACTCAATTTACCTTGATCACCATTGACAGTTCCGATGAGGAGATGGTTGACGCGGAGCCTAGCTTTGCCAAGGACATGGTTGAACAGGATCCGGGAACAGCCGATATGTTTGCAATTGACCGGGCCCGCGTG